TCGACCATCCAAATAATGAAAACGTGACCTCTCAAAGGATTAACGTCGACCGATCAGAGTCGGTTTGTTATTATTACACCGCGGCTGCAACAACAATGATAATGCCACATTATATTGTTATTGATATATGTATTTATCTATTATAACACTTGCACGCGCTTCGGTTATGAAAACTTGGCGAATATGGTCGGTTGCCCGGCTTGTGTGTGTGTGTGTGTGGATACTTTTTTATACGTGTTACTATAATATTATAGTTATTATAGTATTGAGTATACTTGTGCATGCACCTTATGTCAGCAGCGGTCGAGCACGCATGAGAAGTGCATTTTTGGCATTGGCCGTCGCGCAATATCCTCTTGACATTTTGGCTTTGTTAATGAACTCGATTCACCGACGTCGGTGTACGGTAATGTTGTTTTTTTTTTCACTTATAATATATATTATATTTACTCAACAGCTTGAGACAATAAGTCACTCCGCAAGGTTAAACATACCGGCCGAGGCGTACCCGACGTTTTGCACCATAATGTTGTTTTTCTGTAGCACAATTATTTTGGAAATACTTGCTAGCGCAAAAGAACTAGCACGTCTCTAGGAAGGCGAGCAAGCGGCCAAGAAACAACAATATTATAACGTACAATAATTTTCGTGACAGTCGTAGAACTGGCTATATAGTTTTATCTATTATATTATATTATGTGTGTTATAAAAAAATGCATGACCGAGACAGAACAGGTATGTCTGTTGTAATACCGAATGCGTTTTTATTTTAATATTTTACTTAAATCACATTATAGAGGATGCTTTTTATCTAGTAGCGCTTCACGTCGAGTCCTTGAACTATAAAAAAAAAAATGTATATGTAAAATATTGGAAATTGGAATAACTATATCGCCGGACTAACGGCAAAGTCCTCCGTCGGCTCAAACAACAATAATTTGATAATATTATAACAACGTACAAACGCCTCCGGTCAACGCTCGTGCATGATATAATTATATAAAAAAAAAAAAAGGCCCGCGGTCAAGTATCATATCATGTGTTTTCGAAAAACGCATATATAATAGGAAACGCTGTTACTTAAGTTTAATGCTTTACCACTATAGTGTCGCAATACGTTAAACTCTGATCCTTAGATCATAATAATATGATCTAAGCTCTGATCGTTCACCGGGACATGTCATTCGTGTACACGCATCACAATCCCGTCGTATCGATCATCATGAGATTGCAAAACATCTCACCGTTTATTAATGATAATAATAACCAACGTGCGGTGTGACGGTTGAGTAGACATAATATATGGTAAAATATGCGCAACGTCCATTGGATGAATTTGGGCTAACGACTGTACATTTAGTTCACCGGTATATTTAGTCCAAAAAATTAATAATAATTATTAACGTTTGTTCGTTTGTAGGTAAGCGTACCGAGTAGGTACAATGCACCAGCCGTACGTTATACCTATATAATGAGCCATCTTGAGTGGACTACATTCGGTTAGGCTGTTGTTTTTTTTTTTATAACAATCGCTTAATCTGAACTTAAAGTTATTCGATCTAGTCGACTCGCTTCTCAATAGTAACCGAGATATAAAAATAGTCTCATTTTTTTTCCGACAATACAAAGTGTATAACAAAAACAGTAAGTATTGATTAAGTGACCAACTCGTCATTACCAAAAAAAGTGAGATACATTTTTTTTAACTCAAGTCCAACCAGTGTCCAACACTGAAAATAGTTATTTTTATAACTATTGATCAGTTTTCAGCCAACAAGATGGGACAAAAGTTTTTCGAAGTTAGTTATGACCTACAATGTTTCATAATTAATTTATATATTAAATTAATAAAAAGTAAAAATGCAATTACACTGTCGTGATTATCTTCAAAAATGTTGTGCTATTTTAATAGTATAACTACATTGTACAACACGTTTTCGGAACAATAATACATGGATTATTTCGTTGACTTCAAATCTGTTTCTAGTTTTTTTTTTCACAGCACACAAATTGTTTTTATATCGCCTCAATTATAAAAGAAAAAGAAGAATTTTCTAATTTTCTTTTGTGTTGAAGAAAAACTACAAATTCTACATTAATTCCAAGATATCTTTAGAAAGAAAAAAAATTGAGCAAAAACTAATTCGATATAATATATTTTTAAACGAACAAAACACAAGTTCAAATGACCACAAAATAGTGTTTTTTTTTTTTACAACTCCTATTATTCCTAGTACGTCATGTATTGTTAATAAATAAACTAATATACTATAGCATAGGTATCGTTTGAGTTGGTCGGTTTGGTCGTTGCACCGCGCAACGCACCGTTGGGATAGGTCGTGTTGATGATAATTATGCTAAAGCGCATTTTGTAAGGTACCGGTTCGGAAAGAGTAGTGGAACTTCAAACAGACTTCACCGCCACAGAGTTGTGTACTTGCATGAAAAAATATATTTATCATATTATATTCCATAAGAAATGCGCGCGGTATAACGAGGGAGATGAGTGTACAAACATCATGCGAGTGTCAAGGAAGAAGAAAAAGAATATCGAAAAAAATAAAAAATGATGGATGAGAATAATCATCGCGCGAACCGGACGAGACGCATATTATATATATATATATATAATATATTATAGAAATTAGCAAGGCTTAGGGTCATTACGGGCTCTTAACTCGCCGCCGTGAGTCGTGACCCCTAGAAAAAGACTCGGGTTGCTCATCATTGCAATTGCACCTGAACGATAGCGTCACCGACGATGATGTGATGTGTCTATGACCGAATAAATAGTATCATTTTCTAATTAAACACTTTCAATTCGAATAGCAGCACTTATACCGACGTCGTAAAAAAAAAAATATATAATCGAAACGATCAAAAGTATTTTTTATATAATAATAATAAATCATAATAATACTAATATTACACTCGCTTTCTTCTATACAAGCATCTCTCTCTCTCTCTCTTTCTATTCCTCTCCGTCCGCAATACAATCATACATAAATTATTAATATGGACATCTGTTTTAAAATGTATACATAATACTAAAATGCTGCGAGCAAGCGGTCGGTTAGACGTTAGTGATAACTAATTAACCGTCGCAAAGCTACGTGATTATATAATGAGGATATTGAATAGGACCAATAGCGTACAAATAGTGTTGGTGTTTAGTTCTAACAATACAATAAGGAATGTATTCCCAAGAGTAATTCAGGAATATTCTAAGTTCTTTTTCCAAGAAGAGAAATAAAAATGGTACGTAAAAGTGTTTGTATTATGTAAAATAAATTAGGTACAGATAAAAAATAATGACATTGACAAATTTAAATTAATTAGAATTGGAAACTCATTTCAGAAAAAATGGCCTTTTGAACCTTTTTGGTTTTCGTCGTGAGTATAGTTGTATCACCTGTAATGGTTTTTTTTTTTTCGAAATAAAATTAAAAATAATTTCGAAGACTCGAAATTCGAAATAGTCGTTTGAATAATTTATTAGTGTAATAACAATAATAATAACGGCTGGTCAACAAAAAAACGAGTTTTAAAAATTACTTTAAAAATTAGGCATACCTAATATTTATTAGTGTACCTATTTAGACAGAAGATATTACATCTAATAGGATTATCATATGCGTTTTCTGATACCCGCTGTTCATCCGCACTACTCTCCCGGCCTATGCTTGTAACTCGAGTTATTTATCGCTAAAAAACTGGTTATGTCGGTCAATCGATATTTTCAGGAGATCGTTTCCGTACAGATTAGTTATGCTGAATTTCGCATAAAACTAACGAATAAATTTTATTTTAAATCGCAAAATTAAATAACGGCGGCACGTAATAATTACATTGCAGGAGTAGGTACGAATTTTTTTAAAACTCGACTGAATTTAAAACCTATATATTCCAATAAATTCTCCGAAAGCATTGTAAATAGATTCCAAAAACAACAAATGCCTAATATTGTAAACCAAGCTGGAACTGCTATAATAACAGCGTATACGCTGCTTTTGGTTTTAAGGTTTAAACAGAAAACTTTTCGGTTTTAGTAATATTTTTCAAGATATTGTTAAGAAATAAAATAAAAAATGTTTAACTGTCCGTTATTGATTGGTCTCCTTTGTATACTTTTGTAATATTACTTTAAAATATGCAATACCCAATTATTAAGCTGGGGTTTGCAACTATTTTTCAAGTATCTCGATGTATTAAACATTAAAACCTCAATTATACAATTTTATTATATTATTATGCACCATCGGTCATCGTCAGCTCATTTTGAGTTGACCCAGCAATATTGGGGTGCGCCCTCCCCCGGAAATCGAAACGGTATACCGAAATAATTGAATATACCTAATCTGTTGTGTGTTTTTATATACCTATATATATTGTTGTTATAACGGCGGACACGATAGGCGCCTAAGAAAAACGTTATACAACGCTGTTGGTGATCAGAATAGCGTTGCGAAACGATAATAATATCGTACCTGCATGAAATACGCGCAAAGAGATTTCGAGATACACTTATTATAATTATTATCTATACATACGATATACATTTATAAGATAATATAAATAAACCGACGACGGCTGAGTTCAAGGAGAACGTGCGATTAATTTTAACGACAGCCGAAATGTATAACACCGCATTCTAATAATAATACCATTGAGCGTGAGCTCCATTACACGCACGCCGTTATGTAGTGTTATTAATCGAGCGTTAATTAAATAACGACCGTAAAAATTAAATACCTATAAGATACCTTATACCTTTCTCCTATACCGTGGTTTATCGGCGGAGGCATGCATACAGTGTACCTACTTGGCACTTACCGAATGACCACTTGTCGACCTGTCGAGTATATTATAGAAACAAGCGGTATTTAACCAAGAGATACAATGTGGTGTTTTATGAATTATTATGTATGCAATTTTTTTTTTTTTTTTTTAATCTATAGGTGTTAATAAAAAATAATAATATCGTTTTTTAACACACTCACCCGTTGCTTCTCCTCGGCCTTTGCTTCCAGTTTGTCGCACCCATAGAGTAACGTGTTTAGAAACTGTAAAACAATAATAAAAAAAAAAAAATGTATTATTATTATTATTATAAATAAAGATTAATTAATATTTTATTGCGGTTCATTTCGCGCTCGAGACTACGCGGAGGAGAACAATGACTGCAGCCGATGTACAAACACAAAAACGAATGATCTTTTTATTATTATTATTATTGTTATCTTCATAATAAAATATAATATATTATATTATACAATTATATAAACAGGAACACACGCGAGACCGTTCACGAGTCTGACCGACTTCCTCTAATGGACCGCAGTATAAATAATAATAATACAAAATGAAATCGTGTGTGTAAATGTCCATAACTAGATATTATGTGTATGCCCAACAATCTTTGTTCACCATCGCAGTATATATTGCTTAACGTCCGCTGCCAACTTTTTATCCAACACATAATATTGTTTACCCCAGCAAGCGCTAGTGAAAGTGTCTATAAAAAATATTTTATACTTAGTGCATATTATCATAGATATTATTGTAATACGGATAAAGCTAGATCCAAAGACAATAGTGGCGCAAACGAAAAGGTAGGTGTCGGTGGAAACAATTTTTATAAATCCATATCAGTTTGGTTTGAGCGTGATTAGGTTTAACCGGGAGGAGGGGTTAAGGAGAGAATATTTGTAAACAATAAGAGTAACTTAAATGCAATAACTAAAACTCTGTATTATTATTATTATCAAATTCACACACTCAAGTTCAATGAGTTGGACTTAAACGAGGTCTAAAAACAAAGTTGCTCTGAAAAGTTTATTCTTATCCCAGGTTTAAGTTTTTTTTAAGTAATTTTTATAATGTCTCAAGTCTGACTTCTTATAAAACTTGTAATGCTATAACATTTTATTGTTAATTGTTTGTTAGCAAATTATAAATTTCAAAAAAACTAAAAATTGGTAATTGTTTTTTAAGAGAAATTATTGAATACACTTTAAACTGTACCTAACTACTTTTTTTTTTTAATAAACTAACAATTGTTTTTTAAAAAAGAGTAACTTGCTCAACTTGGCAAGTGTCTTTCTTACCTTGAGTTTTTTAAAGAAGGATGGCTTTATACTATTTTCGAATTTTACTTCCCCCCCCCCGCTTTTTTTGCGGTAACATTTCTCCACAGAGTAAAAATTGCGTTTACGTGACCTCTTATCGAAAATAAATGCACGGCACTAGGCGACTCGCTTGTATTAAAATCGAAAACCGTTTTCTCAATAGTATTATATATTATTTATCTACTTCACACAAGTGCAACGGGCCTGTATATGATATGAAATTCCGAAAGACTCGAATCCATTCAGAGTTTATCGACACTGTCGTCTGTCAATATAATATAATGATATACAGATATATACTGGGACGCCGCGTGTTGCACATACACTATGCTGTGTATCAATATGAATACAGAATAATATGATTGAACGTTTTGTTGTTGCTCGTGCACTATGTTAAAAATAACAAGTATTTTTATGCCAATATTATACGAACACCGCGGTATCCATCGCTAATGACTGCTCAAACGAGCGTCGCAATGTATTTATTGTGAATTTTTGTTTTTATTTCGAGTTAAACTATATTTTTGGCCCCCATCTTACATATCACTTATGAAATCTCACAACGGTAATTACAATCAAGGTGGATTTATATCTATTATTACTATTATTATTGCATTGGCGTTGGTTTTCTTTCAAGTTGAAACGGGTGGGCGATGACTACGGCGTGCGTAGGGTCAGTCATTACATATGTTCATGCGCGTCGTCATAACGTTAAATACTTTCATGCCGTTTAATCATTATTATTTTTTCGTTTTCAATTAATAACCGACGGCATGCTATATTTATATAGTGTAGTGTAACCAGCTTTTATCACCTACTCTGTCGTCTAAGTGCCGCCGTGAAAATGACACGAGATTAAGCAATCTTCGCGAAGACTGCTTGTCCGGCTGACAGCTCAATCATTTGTGGATTTCTATAGATTTATAAATACGGTTGCGTGTCGTTTTCAATAATAATAAAAAGTGATAATACAACAACTCTATTCTTTTCATAAAACGGCGATTTTAAAACTAGTAAGTATATAACAATTCCGGGCTACGTATTTCGATTAGTATGTTTCAACCGACAAAGTGTATCAGCTCTATCAATGGCGGGTATGGCAGTCGATCAGATTTCAGTGGTTATATTACTCATTCACTGCTTAGAAAACAAGTAGATTCCTTTCGATAGAAAATCGTTTGTCGTATGGCAGTGATGAAATAAGTTGGGCCTAAACAGTTGTAAATACTTTTCAAAAAAAAAAAAAACATTAATATGAGAACATTTACACAAAAACCTTAGCGTGTTTTTTGTATTTTTTAACGGTCGTGGCCCTTATGATGCCTACTTTCTGCCCGACTTAACAACTTTGTTTATTGGGTCTTTACTGCTTTCGGAATCCTCAAGAGATATTTTACTCCGTTGCCATCGGTAATTAGTGTCCCGAAGAGTGTGTCATACATAGTTGTATCACTTTGTATCATATTAAAAATATAACAAATATGGTACGTTCCAGAAAAAATGTTAGTTACAGGCTTCGGATTCGGCTAGAAAAATAAAAGAGTAATATCACACAACACACGTGGGCACAGGCCCGCCGCACATTAAGCAGAAGACGCGTTACACGGGATATCTCCATGTACAATATACGTAATATACCTATCTATGTATAATAATATTTAATTTAAAAAAAAAAACCCGATCCGATCGATTACCGTCGATAACACGAGGCCCGACACGTTTTTTTTTTTTCATCCGTGTGAGTAGTATACAACCAAACATTACATTGTTGTTACGCGTCTAGGTTTTTAATTGCTGTGTTGTTTTATAATTATTATTTTATTGTCGGCGACAGTCTGTAGCTTAAGACGGGTACAACGGTGTATAAAACGCATAATAATATCATAATCTTATTATCGTCGACGGATAAGTCGAGATACCGTCGAGTAGGTACGCGCGATGAAGAACCGACGGTAAAAATGAATATAAATCCTACATGTTAGGTAGGTGCAATTTTTTTTAACCGGCCACTTCATCAACGTTTCGGATACAAGCCTAGCGGTTATCTCGCCAGTCGTTCACCGTATTGTGTCTGTGTATTATACCCGGACAAACTATACAATGAAATATTTATAAGTTAGTCAGTTATAACAGAATATTATATCATATTATGTACACCAATGCGCGTTATTAATTATATCATCAAACGTGACCATTGTTTCCAGCCCGGCGTTTTTAGGTATTCAACAAAAACCTATTATTATAACATTATATACTATACACAACTTTATGGCCGCGTTACACATGTGTGTGGTGGACTAACCGGGTACGAATGAGATTTCCCTCTCTCACCGATTGTCTCACAAGTGCCTCGTACAAGTGCGCTTTATATGTAGGTAAGTATTTAAATTCCATATGAACGCATTGTTATTTTAGTAAACAGATAAAAAATAATTAAGTGCCTCTCTCTGTGTGTGTGTGTGTGTGTGTGTGTAATTGGTTTTGTACAGGAAAAAACCAACGCAATTTTCCATAGAAGTAAAATTATATCATTACATTTAATTTTACTAATTTTTCCTTCTCGACTAAATTACTGATCAGATCTATTGGAAATATTATTGGGCATGTATTAAATGAGAAACCTTCACGTTCAAAACATATTCTGCGTTTACACACATAACTGGTTATCAGTCGATTGAAATGTTTGTTTTAGAATTTAGATATATGCCTATATATATAGGTATATATATAATGTTTATTTTTAATGACCTAATAAATAAGTTACTAATTGAATTTCAAAAGTTTATAATGTTAATGCGCCGGTTTGCATTAGAAATGCTGCTATGCGTTCCAAAAAATAATATAAATATTAGAATGACAATTTTATAGGTCTACAATTAGTATTCGAATATTTTTTGTTTTACATTAGTGTGAAAACGTGATAAAACCTTAATTCACATAAATTATTAAATTAACGACGTAAGGCTAATAGAATTAAATAAATATTCATTCGGCTATTTGTTAGCAACTTAAGTGTACACAACAAAATTATAATAATTAATAGGTAGGGAATGCTGTGGACATGGGTCATAGACATAGTTTTTGTTGACTTGCTAGTTTTTCCACGCGGTGTGTGTTAACAACATTATAATATCGAATTTTACAATTTATTGTTAATGTGTGTATACTTATTAACCGTTAGTTATAAATATTTATCGAAGCGACATTTATGTTGCGGTCTCAGTTTAATAAAAATAAAAAAATACAGTCAGGATTTTGAAAAACGATCAAAAGTATTTTCTTAGACAGGTTATACAATCGGACAGGACCTCCCGCTGGACAACGAAAACGTACTTATTGCCAAAATGCCACTGCGGGTATCATTTAACGATGTTTACTCAGTTGAATTAAAACTTTAATTTTATCGTTAATACCATTTGATTTAATTTTGCGGGCAAAAGTTATTTAGCGTTACGTTTATAATTTTAATATATTATAATTACATAACCATAAAAAGGATTTCTGGATTTTCATGAATGCAAATGCAGGTAAGTACTCTACATAAATTAATATTTTATTTTTTAATTTTATCGTAATAGTGCTATTAAACGTATATAATATATACATGTTTTTTTTTATAATATTCATGACACGTGACAAATAAGTTCTCCTTAGTAGTTAAGTACCAACATTTGTTTTTTTTTTTACGGTTTAGCTTCGATGCATTTTCTGACATAAATCTGTAATTATTAAAATACATTTTTCTCTCTCGATATAGATAAAACCCATCAGTTAAAATCTTTCAACGAATCATGAACAATATAACCGAAGAACTAATAAATTATATTATAACATGAAAACAAAAAAAAAATGGTTGGTCTCAAAGTTGGTAAATTTAGATACGTTGATCTAATCTATTAAAAAACTGTTTAAACGTTTGCTACTGTTGTTGCCTACAATTTTATTTCCTTGCACTATGGTCAAATAGTGATAAAATAGGTATTTTTTTTTTTAAATCTGTATAAAAAAAGAAATACCAACGACACTTGTGACAACAAATGCAGCGGCCACGAAGTTAAAGTTCGGTGGAATATATGTATGTCTAAAATAAGTTAAAGTGAAACACCGTGTTCTTTAATAATAAGTAAAATAATAATTTGAAAAAAAAAGTCGTTTTGCTCTAAATGTACGACGGTTTCTGTACTGCGGCCGGTCGCTCCTATTTGATGTCGAGAAATCCAGTTCAACGCGGAAACCGATTAGCCATTTACAGATTAACCGGCGTCTGTGTCGTACCTACCAGCTATAGGTATAGCAACAACTCTGGTCTGCAAGTGTATAATATCCAATATATACCTACACATAGTGTGTACGAACGGTGAAACGTGACTGAATGCGTTTGGCAAAATCCTTATAGTATGTATGTGTGCACGTCCATGTGATGAGAGTAAAAGATTAGGTACACACATGCGCGTTATGTGTAGGATATAAAAGCGCAATATTATTACGGCGGCGTTCCGGAGAAATGCACTTTTAATGTGTCGAACAGATTTGCTTAAAAAACCCCTACAAATTGCGAGCATGCCAAGAAAGTCGCCAATAATAGTGAATATAGTTCCTATATGGTCGTCGCGCATATGCCGAATGAATTTGAGCGTATTGTAATATTTTTTACAACAATGATAGCGATGAAACAATAATTATTATAACACTATCGGATGCACGTTTGGCGCGATCCGTTCCCGTGTAAAACATTCTGAACGTTCTAGAAACGGACTCGGAAGACGACCTCTATGTACGCGCCGTCGCTAAGAATAACTGGCCGGTATCTTGGCCAAGATATTATAGGCGCATTAATATTATATCGTAGGTACCTACAATATAATATATATTTCACGTGTACATCTACTATCTACTATCTACTATGCGTCGCGTCTATACGGGAGCGGTCGTGACACTTACCTGCATTTGCCAATTAAAGTCCAACTGTTCGCTAGTCCAATTGTTGCCGTTACAGGAATCCGGTACGATCTGATCACGGAGAGGCGACGACGACGGACAGTTCACCGGCGACAGTTCCATGCTATGTCCGACACCGATTCGTACGAGCCTACCATGCCAATACGACAATACGCAGTAATAATAAACAATTGATAATAACGCACGGGGTTCGGTGAAAAAAAATTGAGTACAAAAAAAAAAACAAACAAAAATTGGCAAAAGTAAAACCGGACGCGAACGGCGCAAGCGCGGTGTAAACGATGGATTGGTTTTTTTTGTCGTTTTTTAATCGCAAAAATTCGTACTCGTCGTGCCCGAAATTCGCAAAAAAAGCGCAAAAAAATTACCACAAAAATAAATTTCAAAAAAAACACCCGTCGGAGGAGCGACCGTCAAGTCGGATGATGTTCGGATGGCGCGACGATGGTGTTCGAACTGGTAAGGTGTTGCCCGCGAACCGGTCCGCCGGCCGGGAAATCATGAATGAAATGGGCGGAGTCCCGGTAGACCAGTGGGATACGGCAAAACCCTCCTCCGCCGAGCACCGATAATAGAAATAGAAATATTTATCATCATCATCAATACCGTGTTGCAGTAGGTATTGCGTTTGTTGGACGTTGGACGTCTATTGTGGTGATTTTCCACGTCGAAAATGTCATTTTCCGTACTCGACTAAGTTACGATTGATACGATGATAGATGTACAATGATAATATAAAATAGTAAATTGTACCTAATCGTTTTGAAACAAACTTAACGGTAACGGTGTACCTACCTAAATGTACTGCACTAGTTATTATTGAGTTTACGAAAATGTCTACAGGGTTGGGGTGGGTGAGTAGGATAAGTTTATTGGTAAATTAAATCACCTATAAAAATATCACTGTACAGATGTTTTGCTAAATTTAATTAAAATCTAGCCTCTGGGAATAGGGCTACAACATTTTTTTTTATTAAAAAAAACATTCTATCCGTGTATCGAAGGAAAATCAATTATTATTATTAATATTATCACAGAAAAAATACATAGTTGGGCCAACTAAATTTTTAGTTAAAGCAACTATAGGTACATTTTGTTCGGCCAACTATGTACTTAGTTAGGTATCCCAACTAAAAATGTAAAACCATAATTTTACATAGTTTTAGTTGGACTAACTATTTTTTTCCGTGTATACGGGGGATAGCCTCCCCTTGAGCTGTTGGCAAAATAATATTTCTTTTACGTCCGCACCTGTTTTCTAATTTTGGACGTTCTAAATTGTTTTTTTTTTCAAACTTACAATGTCGAGATACGTCGGTGGCGATGGAGGGGCCATGGGGGCGTATCGCCCTCGGATCGATAATAAATGTTTGTCAATGCAATACCCCCCTCCCTCCCTTGGTGAAATTAAAAGTTACTAATTAAGAGCATCGGTACCCGGAAACAGCTATTTATTAAAGGACAATTAGTTACAGGCAATATTTGTCAAAAAACATTTATTTTTTACTTCATTTCTATTATGCCGTTCATATTTTTATATCAACATAATGTATATAATAGCTTTAGCCTTTAGCTGGTATAATTTTTAACCTATCTTTTAGCGAGAGTTTTACCGAGTGTGTCCCGTTTAAAGTTCTTACCTTTTTCTTAGCCCGAGTGCATCCGCAGTCATTTATCAACATTGTATTCAATAGAATTCAAATTAATACAATATTATTAGAATGGCTGTGGCAACGACAGGGGAAATCACATTTCAGCAAATTAAATAATAATTATTATTATTGATGGATACAAATTAAGATTTCATAAAACATTAAAAAATTATGTACAAATAGCAATCCGGACGGCCACGCAGACAATAAGAAAACTGAAATTAACGCCTCGTCAAAAAATTGATTTTGTTGATGAAAACAATTTAAAGTTGGTCTAATGACCAAATTGGATCGTTTAAAAAGAATGGCATGCAAACATCGGCCACAACATAAGCATCAGGAAAGTAATTAAAACATAACAAACGTACATTATTGAAAATAAGTCAAGAACACAAAAAAAAACATTTTTGGGGTGCAAGCCAGTTCACCTCCTCGTGGTACACCCTAAATGGTGGTGCACTCCTGTAACTCTAAATGAACTGGGACGCATTCGGGATATCCCCCTTTTAGCATCCACATTAAGCTAAGGAGGAATTGGATTTTTATGTAACTATATCAGTTAACAGTCGTTATAGTTGATCAAAGATGACTTATACGGCGCATTAACCTGCAATTACTAAAAATGACGAAAATTAATGTTGAAAAAACAAGTTAATATATAATACATACAAATTAAAAACCGATGATCAATGCCCGATCCCCGAGTGTCTTCTTTCTATCAAAATCCCATCACTATTCCGTAAGGATAGGCGGAGGAAATCAAGGCAAAAAACTTTTATCATATTTGTTGTTGTATAAAAATAATATAATTAAAGCAGTAATAACCTATGTATTAAAATCCGACAACAAAACTAAACTGGCCGTGTGCTTGTGTACATGCTTGTGATTTATAAAAATATTAAATGGAGTTTATTTAACAAACAATAGTGAAAATCTATTATATATATGTATATATATATATAAGTGCTTATGTATAATCAAACATAAATATTTTAATATGGTTGTTATGATACATTGTTAAAATAGTATTTGTAGAGCTTTATCAACTTTTTATTAAATGATAACTTATATATTTAATTACATTTTTAAATTATGAATAATTTACTGCAGATATTGAATGGTCGATAACCACGCTTAAATAATTATGTTAAAAGTTAATTAAGTTAAAAATGATAAGAACGAGAGGCACGGCTAATGCACGCAAATAAAAATTACTCTCCAACCAAAGTCTCGTCCTAAACGTTAAAATTAAATTTGTATTTATTTATTTCCATGTACAGCTTCAAAAGCTCAAGCACAGTAATTTAATATTAAAAAATATAAGATACAAAAGTGAAATATACATTTTGTTTAAACAAAACATATAAAAATAAAGAATAAAAAAATACAATATACGACGTTTTGAAACAAAAAAATTATAATAATCGAAAAACAGCTATCATAGTATGCAACATTATAAGATTGAAGGATTATCATGTTTAAAAAAAAAATCAAAAGATGATAATTTATTACATTCAACCGTAATTCTATTCAGAGGAATATCATATCCGTGTGAACCGTATAACTTTCAAAACTGGTTATCGACCAGTCAACATTTTTAGCAGATTATTCCTAATTTAAAAAAGTAATTAATTATACATGTTACCGTTTAAGTTTTAAAAGATGATTAATCTCTAGAAAATACTAAAAAAGATACAATTTTAAGAGGACGCCACACCGCCCATTTTTAAGGAGTAAAGTATAGGCAATTTTTCTACAAAATCTTAACTTAAAGGTTAAACTGTGATGTGTTACTATGAGTTCAGTAGTTAGGACTCTTTAGTAGTAGTTAAATTATTTTTTGGACTATCACAGCATCCTTGACAGCGATTTAAAAAAAAAAAATCTGTTGAGCTGAGTTTTACGCGGATTCATTTTTCTCAGGCTTCAATTATAGATGAGGAAACAAATTCATACATATTATTTATGACAAAATTATCTGTGTTCCATCATCCGTATTTTTTCGATATACCCAATACAACCAACGCTATATCATTTTTAAAAAAAAGTCCTTTCTTAATTAATTAATTATTCATTAACTGGTACAAATATTTAAAAAAAAGGCCATGGTAAAACACAGACAATGTTGTTGTCTATATTATGTGAAAATTCGGTTTCTTAGGTTTGATTATAGCTTTTGTAAAATTAATTCGCGCAAGGCGGGGTTTTTTAAGAAAATAACCGGTGTGTGGCACCTTCTTAATATTGTGTAATATTATAATATACCCCGCATAAAAAAAAAAATGTTTTCGAAAAGAAAAGATATAAATTATTTAAGATAAAACCGGTGTAGGGCGTTAAATGAATCATCCTGTATAGAGAATACTTTAAAAATGTTAACTACATACAGTTAGCCGATTTTATCGATCCACTTTTTGTCATAAAATAAGGCGCATTGTATAGGCAATTTTTCGATAGAAATAACATTATTAAGTTAAAAATTGTAAGCTCACATACTAACCCAACAATGAGGTAGCTACTTTGATGTTTTTAAACTCTTATAACGTCTACAGACCCTGTTTTATGTACAAAACCGAATAGTTCTACTTTTAAAAGTACGTTTCCAAGAATAGTCCGATTTAAGTTTAAAAAAAAACATTTGCAATTTTCTAAAATTTATTTTGCTTGTTATTTTATTTTTTGATCTCATCAAACATACATTTCTAACAAACTACTTGTTGTAGCGTAAAAACGTGTCCATGTAAATTCAAGAATCATGATTGAATTTAAATTTTGACTCGGGCAAGTATGGATATAAAAAAATGTCTACGACATAGTTATAAGCCGCTGAAAAATTGTAAAATTTATTTTATAGTACCTCTAATAGATGTCGATTATCTGTAATAGAGAATCGGCTATGTGAAAATTAATGGCAAAACTTGGTCTTGTTGAATATTAGTATGGATTTCCTATTTCTACATCGATTATTTTAAAAAAAAATATTACTTCCTTAGTTTGATTATTTTTCTAAATACCAGCCGAATAAACAGTTTATGGAGCAATGCAAATTTTTATGAATGTTTTATTTATTTTTCTAAATGAAATTATCAATTATGGAGCAATGCAAATTGGTTTTAAATGAGAAAACTCAATTTTGTTTGTTATATACCTTCGTTTTCCTCCTAGAGAGATTTATAAAAAAAACTCAATTAATTAAGTATTTTAGCTTCGATACGGAGCTGAAGAGGTATTGTTTTTACCATTATGAGTTAGTAATATGCTATAATGTGTAATAACAAAAACAATTAATAATATTTAAAAAAAACAATTTGTATTGAAATTAACATAATAACGAAAATATTCTTTCACTTGCATAAAGCAACTTGGAAATTCACTACGGTCTAAAAGTCCTAAAACTCTAAATTCTAAAAAAAAAAATTTTAAAATGCGCCATTCCTTTAAGTGGACTGGGTTAATGATATTTTTTTTGCTTGTCAAAATTTATCGATATTATTTTACTTAGAAAAAAAATGTCCTAAATTATTGTCCATGTGACTGACTAATTTGACTTTTTTAACCTAATTCAATAATAACACCAGACATTTACGATATTATTTCTCGGACTAATTAAAATTTTCCTTTAATTATTTCACACATTTTTTTGATCGGGTTTTAGTCATAACTTTTAATGTCAGATAAAATAATCATTTCAGTTTCTTTTTACTCAGATTAACACGTCCTGTTGGAACAATGTGTAACCTAACCTGACCTAAACAAAAATAAAAATTTAGTGTAGTTATAATTTTAAGTTATTTAATTAAGTAAGTACAATGAACGACTGATTTTCAAACATTCGTTATAATACATGGGAAAAATTACTTAGTTGGCCCAACTATTTATGTAGTTATTCAAACTAGAAATTTATCGTGTCCCTTTATTAAGAATAATTTTAAATGGACCAACTATGTGTTTTTTTCTGTTTACTGTAAAATTATACAGCATTACAGTTAAATGTTGAGGTAACAGTCAACCGCGTGACTACAATAAAATCCATAATCATCAGTCAGTTCGCACAAGTGTTTTACTAAAAAAATGTTTTATTAAATATTTGTATTTAAAAATAAAGTCATTTGCCGTTTGCACCATACTTGCATACACCGATACTTGTATAGTCTGAATAATATTTGCTTAATAATGTGTTATATGATCATTTAAATATTGCGCCTGTACAACTTTAGGTTCCTTATCGGATAATGGTTTTTAGATTACAAAAGTTCATTATTACATATGCAAAGATCGCTATTATTTTAATAGCTTTCATTATCTTGGAGGTATTATTTGGTAATTTGTGTTTTTTATTATTTACTAATGGGTTATGTCGCCATAAAATACAAATTTTAATTCTTTACAAATGCGTATAAAGGGTTACCTCATATCATTATTATATGCGATGCTCTGAGCATGAGTATTATGGAAATATGATTGGCTATAAGGAGACAAGTTGACTTTGTTTTCGTTCTCCTGAAAAATTGCAATTTTGTACTTAACCACTATTACCCGGAAGCCGTCGAATTATCCTCTTTAACTTCTTATAATACCCTAACGCGTACAATATACTTAAATCGATCGTCAAATGTATCCTTGTTGCTGGATTTGTTATCTAATTAAGATCTACCATTAACGGTTTGTATATTATGTGCTTTTCTGTATTTATATCTATTTTACTTGTATATTTTGCTCCTATTTTAGATTGTACTAATATTTAAACCATGTAATTGTTGAGCTGTAATATTTTCCAATAAAGGCTAACAAACAAATTTAATGAAAAATACAATCTTTTTTTTTTGTTATAACTTTAAGCCTTAAGGTACCTAATTAAATGACAAAATGTATTGATAAAACTTGATAACTCGAATGCATTATACATTTATTTTATCAATTCTCTCACACTTTTGTGTGCGAATATGAATTCATACACTTGTAAATTTATATCCAATTCCAAGTTTGTTTTCTCTAAGTTTGGTAGTCGTTTTTGATGAAACCTGATGATTGTTTCAGAATATCGATTACCAGTCCTGTAATGAGGATCCGAGAACACAGGATTCACAGTATATGTAATTTATTGGTCTTTAAATACATATTTTTCCTAACAGCTTTTATTTCAGAAACGTCAATTATTTTTATGTTCATTAATATTTCACAAATCTATGTGACAGCAATTATTATGAAAAGGTTCATTTTTTTCACGTTTATCTAATTTAGTTTATGTCCACAAACCCTTTTATAAAATTCGCTATATTCCATTCTTTGAGTGACGGAAGGTTGCAATGATGGCCGGCCAACCAATTTATGTTTTTGCGTAATACTTCTATGAAAATATATCTGCTAATGTTTTTTTACTTCGAGATCGACCACGTCCTCGCCATTACCGTGTTGGGACAATTTCGACAACGTTGTCGGTTTCAAATTTCAAGTATATTCTGCCAATTTTTGCGTGGCGACCATTACGTTTTTCAACGCGTGTAAAACAAATTACAGAAACTAGTATTGAAATCAAAGTTTGCAAATGATTCATTATAGTACCGTCTAAAAAAAAAAACCAAAACACATTAGCAGTATTCGAGGAAAACTAAAGCACACAGAGTTCAAAAATGTAATTAAAATGTATATTTATTGAATTTTTTGTTTAAACATGCCAAAACTATTTGCCAATAATATTCGCGTTAATTTATAATATTTAAACATGGCGCGTTACACGTCGATAACGTTATTTATAATTGATAATATTGGCAAAATTATTAAAGCTGAATGTAGACAAAGGTTAACTAAACGGACACACATTCAAAAACTTTAAATAGGTAATATCCTTTTGAATGACGTGTTGTTTGAATCCGAGTATATTTGAGTCTGGTTTTTTAATTCGAACGATTATTATTTTGAATCAACAAACTTTTGAAATCAATAATTCTAGAGTCCACGTTTACTTGGGAAAATCTTAAAAAAAAGGGGAATTACACTTTGACGGTAATCAATTTCCAGGTTACTATGTTCGAGTCAACCAATAGTCATTAGGTAAATACACCATACACGAATATTACTATTATTACCTATTAGGTAATGGTGATATTTTCATTATATTGTTTATTACTAGGTATTTATGGGTATAACTATGGCAATACATTTGTATAGACAAGCGATCTACCCTAGTACTAAAAATGCACATAATTGACATTAGGTGCAATATGCTTTTATCGATATTCACTTGCTACTACTACTTTTACTCGTGTAAAATATTTCCTTACTGTGCCTTGTTCGGACTATACTGGTTTAAACCTACTATCCACAGATTCACAAGGAAGAGTTTATTTAAAAGTGAATTCATGTAGTCCTGACCTCCCCGACCCCATATGCCCCCCACATCACCGTTTTATTATACTATTAACAAAATATATGAATACACACCATTATCTAAAAAAGTGCAAAGGTATAAAGACACTAAATACTAGTTTGGTGTCTGGCATTAGGTAAATTTTTTGCTTTTACAATGTTGCTGAAATAAAAATTTTGTAACTCGTAGTATAAATAATTTTCGGTAACACCAATGACAGATTCTTGGTTTGTACACTTTGTGTTGCGACTCACATCAAATTGAATTAGAAAGCTGTATAAAAAATAATAATAATTATGTCTGAAAATAAAAATGTTAAGTTCCTACAAATATACAATTACCCATTAAGTACTTTACTATCTTCTGACTTATTCTAAACCAAATACTCACTTACATTTTTACTTCTTTTCTCGGTTTAAGTAATATTCTTTAAATTAAAATTTTTTTAAATAAAATGCCGGGCAAGATAAGTCCAATATTTAGTCTTTAGAAGAGTCAACGAAGAATTTAAATTTGTTTTTACATTTGCACAGTGGAACATTCTTATTGGAGTGCCAAACTGTCGAACAACCCACTCGTGCTGTTATTCCAATATTTATTAAATTAACATAGAAATCTTCATAGAAAGCATATTAAATTCATATTTTATTGTATAAAAAAATTATAATAATATTGAAGTATAATTTCATAAAAAATAAAAATATAAATTAAATTTTACATTGTATTATTTTGTTTAAGTTGACAGTAATAATGTACATCATACTTAAATATTATTTTATATCTAGATTTCTTCACTGCAGTTGGACATCGCCAATAATGTGAAATGAATATTGCCCGACTCGGGAGCAATAAATTTTTCTTGGATGACCTTAACTGTATCCTAAACAAAAAATATAAATATATATATAGACTGCAGCAACCTGCTTTAGATTAATTATTGGATAGTATAGATCTTACCACAAGTATTGAATCTGGATTGGATGGACCATGATTAATTGGTTCAAACTTTCTGCCATCTAGAACAAGTAAAATAAATTAAATTAATAGCATTCAAAATATTATATTTCTTACTTATCTACAAAATAATTGCAATCAATTTAAATTTACCTAATTCATACAGACTATTGTCTTTACATACAAACGCAACAAAATGATAAGGAACTGCATCGGCCGGATCTGGTGCCTAAAATTAAGAAGTTATAGTTAATAAAAAAAAATGTACAGTGGTAACATGTCATAGGGTCCTATCACTGGATAGGTTCCCTACCCAAAGTCTCCAAGTCACATATTTACTTTGTTAACATATTTGCTTATTGTATAATATTTTATGTACAGATTGTAAATGTTTTTAAAAAAAAAAATAAATAAATAAATAAAAAATTCCAAATTTTGTACAGAAAATAAACAAGTTACAATAACTTACTGCGGACTGGCCATCGATTGCGACTTCCTTGTGTGCATTACTCATTTCTTCATTTTTTTCTAATAAATGGCCGCGATCAGATGGAGACAAATTTTCCCCTTCGTCCAAAAACCGTTTTAATAGGCCTTCTTTTAACTCAATTCTATAAAATAAAATGATAATTTTTTTAACTCGAAAAGGAATAATTTGTATAGAACATCCTTTATTAAAAATTTAAAAAAAAAAAATCATAAAATTAGTTTTGGAATTTAATGAAATTACTTTACTTGTTTACATTACTATTCTAGAAATTAAATACAAAAAAAAAACATTTTTCAGCCGAGTCTGCAACCACGAAAGAGCTTTTTCCTGTCTCGTTAAAGTACCGAATAAATTTAGAGTAGTGGTGGAATTATAGATAATGAAATAGTATATTAACAAGCAGTAACAAGCTAGTATCTTAGGTGGCTAGTAAACATGTCAAGTTTCTGGCTAATATTTTAGTGTTTTCATAATATCTGGCCTAAAAACAATTCATAGGAATATGACCTCTTAAATTATTGAATTTATTTTTCAGTTCTAGTTTGAACATCGTGAATACAACATATATGCCCCCAACCCCATCCCCACCTCAACCCCTAATGTTATTACAGTAATACAGTACTTTTATTGCGTTACAGCCCTGAAAATAAAAAAATAAAAATGAATAGCTTACTTGTCCCTGTTATTAGCCACACTATGTAAAAGTGCTATTGTTCCACAAGCATTGCCCACATACTGTTTTATATAATATAGATCCTCTGACACTTTTTGACCTTTTGATTTAATCAGTAGTTCTTCTTCATTTCTTCGATTCTCATACTGTCATTGAATTAAATACACAAATTAAAGTGACAATTTTTTGTATGAGTTATGTACATTCTTGTAAAATAATACTTACAGCGTCATTAAAAGGAAATAACATAATAACTGATGCACACGGCAAGGGGACCATTGCTAGTTCTTGCTCTCCGAGACCATAAATGTCAAACATATTCCAATCATCGGGTACTCCCATGTGATGCAAGAACTGAAATCATTTAAATTGCATAAACAGTTATTTTTATTACACACGGATACATGCATAACACGCTTATATTTATATATTTAAAAAAATTTATTTGATAAAATTCCAAAATGGTACTTTTATATTTTTTAATGTTGGTATTTTATTACTGCTTGTTCCTATTTTAAGAAAATATACAATCAGATTTTTTCTTTCTGAAAATTTATAATTAAAACATTTTACATTTAAAACAGTAAAGATCCTGTTTAAATTTAATTTTAGGGTTTTTGTAAATATTCTCAAGGTATTTATTATGTGTAATCCTTTATTAAAAATAATTTTAAAACAAATTGACTTTATTGGACTTCTTTTTTTTTTATTATCAATTTATAGTGTTTAGTGCTGACTTAAAATTTATAATCAGAAATTCTAGGAATATACCATACGTGTGACGGTCATTCATTACTTTACACTGTGATGCACTCTCTCGTCCTTTATGGTTTTTTTATTTGATAACTGCTGCAGCGCTCTGCATTTGTTGGGTGGTGACGCCACGTTTATCTCTATAGCAACTATAACTTTTAAACCAGCAGTCTGCGGATTTCTGATAAAACAATTTTTAAACAGCGTAAAGAAACTATAATTAAGCGGGGAAAAAAATATTACCAGAAACTTGGCCATTTAGTTAAGTAAATTTATACCGAATTCTGTATGATGTTGGTAAATAAATGGCTCAAGATATGATCGATAATTGGTTAATAGATAGTTTATACTTACCATATATTTTTATAAATGCATAATAAATTAATAAATTTACCAATTTTTTTTTACCCTGTACACTATAGAATTAAGAATATAGATTCCACTCATACCATACCTTGTTCATTACCTGAAACAAAAAGTTTACAAAATTAGGTAGTAGTTAAAATCATCACTTTTATTGAAAAGTTAAAAATTTATTACAAACATAATTAAATGCACTAAAGTTTAAAAAATCATGTGCTCAATTTAACAATTTTTTTTTTTAATCCTAAAATACTGCTGTTTTAATTAGGTATGACATTTGCGATTTTTCAACTATTGGTTAAGAATATAAATCTTTCAAAAAATAATTGCAAAACGTTCTTCGTTTCACGTTCTATACAGCTGATAGCTTATGTGTCGCTTTTGTTTTGTTTTCGCAAGAGTGAAATTTATTAAGTTTTTAATATAAATACTTAGAGACCATGATAACTAATTAGGAAAAAAATATTGTTAATTTATAGAGTTCCAATGTAACTAACAAAAATAAACTAGTTTCAGAAAATCTTTAAATTAATATTACGATTATTAAAAACAAAGAGAAGGGGACCAGTGACTTAGATGATACCCACAGGCAGTTACCAGTTCGGCTTTTGGCTATAGGTGGTCTCTTTTTTAGGTCAGGCAACTGTCTAGAGAAAGAGCTATCAACCACCTTGGCATAGCACTATGGCAGAAACCTAATGGTGCCCCAAAAATTTCTGCCTAACACGAGAAAAATGTAAACAATAATTACAAAACGTGGCTAAAAATATTTTTTAATTAATTATCAGCACTAAATTTAAGGTATTATTCCAAGCTTCTCTAAATTTCAGCCAATGATGAAGTTATACTATTCTTTACATACTTCTGGATTCGATTCTAAAGGTAACCAAATTGCCATTTTAAGTTTTATCCGTGAAAGACGTCGAATTCCCAAACACAAAGACGAATTTGATAGGAATCAAATAGTCTACAATTATTTTTAAACAAAATTGGTTAGGAAATATATAAATAGCGACAATAAAAAATATAATTAAAATGAGATATAAAATATTATGTTTAAGTTTAAACTTTAAACGATAAACTATTGTAAATCAAATAATAATTATAATTTATAACTGATTCATTGAAGACCGGAAAAATGTGAAATTGCGATAGGTAGATGATAAGAAACTTTTATGATTCTCATTTTCCAATCATGTGCAGTGCAGCCACCTATAGTCGACTAGCGTTTTGCATTAGTGTTTATTACCAGAGAAATAAAACTGAAACATTTTACCCAAAGGCCAAAACCATATTAACAACTTCTAAAAATAAAACATTAGATTAATGCCAACATTTTCCAATTTCCATTATTTCTATTTCAACTTTCAACTTTGAAGAATAGTGACAAATGAAGAATGTTGACTGGGGGTTGCACGAACTTTCATTTAAATTTGAATACATTTTTAAAAAAGCGGTAAATTTAATGTTTAAAACTGTTTTAATTACTATTAAATATATACTTTAATTATTGACATAAAATACAGCTTGTACATGTAAGCTTACAATTATAACATAAATTACATTTATCTAATGCATAGACCATTTTATTTAACATTTGTTATTGTTATGACTCATTAGTCATTAGTCATGACAAATGAATCATACTGTTGACGCACAATTTGGTTTAAAAGCATCAAGTTTAAATTTTACAATATTGTGGGAAGGGAATGCACTGAGTATTCGAAGGTCAAGATGGACTTATAATCCAGCTTATCTGTGGCACAGCATAGATATAAGATAATAATATACTTTGATATGATATCAATATGGTACACTGTGATTTTGTGTGATGGCAATTATATTCAAGTTGAACGAAGGGCATAATATGCTATGTGATATTGTTGAAATTATTAAAAAAAATAAAAAGTGTTAAATGTTATTTATAATTTATCTTTAATATCTACAAGTTTACCATATCTACTTTAGTGCAAGATTGAAGACGATTTAGTAAGTTAATTTATAATGTTTTAATAATTTGTACTTAAAAGAATTACAAATGACATTCCTCTATACATTTTTGTATTCCTTAGTTTAGGTAATATTATAATTTAAAATACCCAACATTTATTTTGACATAAGCAGAGCTTGTATGTCATGGGGCTGGACAACATCTGATTCACAGTGTTATTGGAATTGAACCCAATCAATAGTTCCAAGCTTGAAGTCTAATAATTCTGTGCTAAACACATTTATTTTTTAAGAAAATGAAACTATTTTTTCTTTTTGTAAATGACAAACACAATTTAATGTTACTAACAACCAACCTAATCTTTCTTATTCCTTGTTACTATTGTCAACATCATGTTTCCGTAGCAACTGTTTCTCCCTAATTACAATTATTGTAACAACATAATATATGAGTAATAACTATTAAAAAAATTATCATTATGATACATATTTCATTAATGATAATAAATAAATATAGTAACTTATTATAAAAGAAATTATCGTACTTTATTAGTTATTAATTTAAAAGATACTGACTTATAATTTATCATAAGTTTTCTAATTTTTTAAATACACATATTTTTTTTAGAAAGTTTTTTCGAGAGTTCTTCAGTAGAAAAAAATGTATTCTGCCAATACACAACCAGGTAATATATTATTTATATATCTATATTGTATTTATAAGTTTTGAAATGTTACAATAAATTTACTTTACTAAACATCCTTTTTATTAAAATATTTGTTTTTTATAGCGTTTTTATGAAAATTTTGAATCTAAAATCAGAAATTTGTAGATGCTAGATATTTTGAGCAATAATTAAATAAAAGAAATAATTTACAAAACCTAACCACCAACATTACAAATATGCTTACCTATATTTTTTTTAAACAGCACTTTTATGTTTGTCAATCCTCTTTTTAATGAGGAGATTTCTGAACTATTTATATCAGGGACGGGTTGTTATAAACTTTGTTTAAAATTCAAGTTATTATTATTTTTGAACTTGTAAAGTCTGTGAATTTCTAATTTAAATTTACTATAAAAAACTACTGTAATATGTCACTATTATCAAAAAAAGGTATCTGGTATTTGATATTTTTATGAAAATGTTATTATTTAAATAGTTAAGTGATTAGCGACCATTGGTATGTAGATTGAACTGTACTCAGTCATCCTTCTAACTTAAAACTATGTTTATCAAAAAACTATGGGAGGTGCACATTTTTATTTTTATAGCTTAAAATTTCCTCTATAAAAGTTAAAAGTCTGATTTTATATAAACTATGATTATGTTACCGGCATTGGGATAATCCGGTATTAAGTATATTAGTCAACTAGTCTTTATATAATGTCAATAATAAAGCAGGCATTATGATAAAAATAATTAATAACAATATTGTTACTATTAAGTTCTGGAATTATTAAACAATTTGACAATCTTTGATTTCAGGTTATGCTCAATATCCTCCACCCTCGCAGCAGCAATATCCGCAACCTGGTAATCAGCCAAACCAATATAATATGTATAACCAACCGCCATATAATCCAGGATTTGCATACAACCCAACTCCAAACCAATATCCGCCGCCTTACTCTCCACAAGGTTATGGTCCAGTAATTCAACAGCAGCCTGGCGCTCATCAACCTCCTCCTGCAGCTGCATCTGGTAACAGTTTTGTTTTAATAAGTAGTCATCATTTTTAGTGCATTTATCAAATATATACTAAATATTAATATATTTTTAGAACCACAAAGTTTATAAGTGGTCATTATTTTAATACAAGTAAATTAATTTGTATATTTTGTAATTAATAGATGGTTGGATGGCAATACCAGCTAGTATTCCACAAAACTGTCCCAATGGCCTTCAATATCTGACTACAATTAATCAGTTACTTGTGAAGCAGAAAGTGGAATTGTTAGAAGGTAACTATTAAGACTTAATTTCAATTTTTCAAATACCATTACTGAAGATCAAAAATGTGGACTTACACAATCTGATTAATCAATTATTAATTACCCAAACGGACTTCCTAAACTAATAAATTACATCTGTGAATGGAAATCAAAGGACTGCGCAGTTCAAACAACACAATGTATGTTTTTAGAACTAAAATGATTTTTCGCTGTTTACTGTATTCTTGTATGTAGCCAATATAGCTTGATTTGTTAATTTTATAATATAAATAATTATTTTTGAACTATAGCCGTAAACAGTTAATTTAATTATTACAAAATCACTGAAAAACATTTTGCTAGGTATATTTTTTTCTACTTAATTTTTAAAATTGTGTATTTATAAATGAAACACAAATTTATTTTGTAGCCTTTTTGGGTTTTGAAACAAACAACAAATATACTATCAAAAACAGTGCTGGTCAGAAAGTTTTTTACGCTATCGAGGATAATGATTGCTGTTCGAGAAACTGCTGTGGACCAATAAGACCATTCGAAATGAAAATATTGGATAACTACAAAAACGAAATCATTCATTTATCAAGACCACTTGCGTGCCAATCGTGTTTCTTTCCATGTTGTTTACAGGTAAAACCACAATTGTTAAATAATCAAAAATATTAATAACATATATTCATATATATTCAAAGCATAAAATAATCAAGGCTTTTCTGAAAAACATTTGTCTGAAGTTTAATTTAAAATCAACAAAGATATTGTTAATAATTTGTCATGCTATAAATTAATATCAAACTTTACACTTATATTACTTTTATTTTATATAAATTTGTAACAGTCAATATAATATTTTGTATTATGTAAATATTTAGGTTCAAAGATATACTTATTATACAAAGTTGTACAGATTGAGTATATTAATTTAAATTATTTAATAAAGATAATTATTATTGCTAGGGAAAAAAACAGTTTTGTTTCAATGCCAAGTGCTTGCTATTCAACGACTTTAGCTCACCGATTTCTCATTGACTCGTAAAATATCATTATTTCTCCCTCAATTTCTTCAAACCCCTAAAATTCATATTATCTTTCCCATTGTACATTTATCCAGTTTAAAGTATTATTAATTCTTATTTAATTTATTAATTTGTGTATTTGTTATTGTTGAGATAAATATTGTTATTTTGATAAATCTCAAAGAAAAAAATTGTGTAAAATTGTTTTGGTTGTTACTATTATTATTTTTTGCTTTTTAGAGAATTGAAGTATTTTCGCCACCAGGGTGTCTAGTTGGAACAGTTGAACAAGATTGGTCTATTCTTACCCCAATATTTACCATACGCAATGCAGCTAATGAAGAAGTTTTAAAAATCGAAGGTCCCATGTGTCGTTTTTCAATGTGTGGTGATGTTGAGTTCAAAGTAATATAAATAATATTGTCATTTAAAATTTTTTAAACATTCTCTTGTAGTACATCTTAGTAGTAGAAGAACCTGAACCAGAACTTGTGGAATTTATATTTAGGAGTGTACAACACAACTGTAATGTTAAGTGTAAAACTAGGTATTTCTTAAACCATCATATTTTATTTATAGTAGTCTTAAAGTTTTGAAAATTTGGAAACTTACAAAAAACAATATTATACATAATACAATATCGGTTTTTGTTAATATCTCTTTAGCTTTTTTTTTTTAAATTCATTTATCTATTTTTTATAGTTACATAAATAAAAATATACTTAGTTACAATGACAAAAAAACAATGATGTACGCTGTATAATATTGTATTTTAGAGTAATAAAAAATTTTAAAATTTTACAACCACTTTACATAAAATAGGATAATTTATATCTGACCAATTATAATAAAAAAAGCATTTGAAAATAGGCGCTATAAAAAAAACATGAACTGCTATTGACTGACATCCTCTTAATAAGAGTGTAAAACTGCTAATTTTTTTTAAACTTAACGCTCTTTAGTTTCTACTTATTTTAAATTTATTTAATAAATTATTATAACAATAATAATTTCACGGTTTATTTTTTCATATGTTAACTAATAAATATTATAATATTTGCAATTTTGTTTTCTTTTATATTTTAGGTCTTATCCAAAGACTTGTCAACTGAAGTCGGTCGTATATCTAAACAATGGTCTGGACTTTTAAGAGAAGCCTTTACGGATGCTGATTATTTTGGAATAACTTTTCCAATGGACCTTGATGTTCGTATGAAAGCGGTTATGTTAGGAGCTTGCTTTTTAATAGTAAATACATACTATTATTTTTTTTTAAAAAATTATTTAGTATGATTGCAATAATTCATCTTTTATTTCCCTCTAGGATGTCATGTTTTATGAAAAAAGAGGCAACAGAGAAAGTGATGGAATTGGATTGTGCTAATTTATATAAATTCGTAACATTATCCTAATCAATTATTTAATAACTTGACTAAAAATGCTACTTTGCCTTAACATTTAACCGCAGTATCCTATAAAAAAAAAAAGCTATTACTAATATAATGATGTGCCAAAAATGTAAACTATATAAACAGGGGTCATTGACCTAATTGTATTTATAAGCACAAAGTTATATATATTTAAAAATACTAATGATAGTATATATTTTTAATAGTATTTCTTAACAAAAGCCTTTATCTTAAAATACATATTTTTTTACGCTTTTTATTTGTTATTAGACAATATATTTGTTTTTCTCTTATCCTAAATGATATTTTTTACAAAATAATATTTACAGTTTACACTTGCATGATGAGTAGATCAACTTATTTTTATTTATATATATATTTTTTTTTTCTTCTAAATTTACAAAACAAAAAAAATATTTATACTACTTTACAAAATAGTAGGAAAATGGTCTCACCTGACAATTCATGTTACCATAATACAAGATATATACAATCTTGTTATTTAAAAAAGACAATAATTTTCTAGTCCAGTTCTTCTGAATAATCCTATACAATGTACGTTTTGTTTTGTGTTATTTTTATACAGTATTTACAACATAAAATATTTTACACACATTTTATTAGTAGTCTGTAGTAGTATTATTTGACAGTATTACGAGCTAAATTATATAACATAAGAATGCTTTAAGTAATCAGTACTAAATTATGTAATTTGATTTTGCATTTAATTCATTATTATTATAGTTAATTATTTTACTTTTTTAAATGTATTTTATTATTTACAATTTTTATTTTATTTGCATGATATTTTTTTCCACAACAAGGGAAGTTACAAAATCAAATTTATTACACAATTTATTTTAATATATATTTTTTTTTTTTTGCAAATAAAATTAATTTGTATTTTAAGTACCTCATTGTACCAAATATTTTACTTTATGTTGTTTTGCTATTCATATTTTATTTAACTAACTTATTTCAGTCTTGTTTAAGAATTTAATTTTATTTATTATGACACATTTTATTTTACTGTATACCATATATTTATAACTTTATTTTGTTCTTCTATATTTCCTAATATGCTATTTATAATGTCTAAAATATGTTTTTATTTTTAATTAGTTAATTGCTTTATATGTTTTCTCATGATGCAAATTTTAATTTATCAACCAATTTTTAAGAAATTAAACAGTATATTTTTTTAGAAAAATATATCAAACTGCTATGAGCGAATTTTTGCTTCTATATTAGCAGATTGAATTTAATACCTTATTTACGGAAAGAGCCTACAAAGTGCAATTTGCATTAAATAATATTTAATAAATATTTGTGGTTTTTATTTTCTATTTAAAAACATTTGTTAGCAACACTGTCTATATGTTCATATAGTCTGTGGCAACACCTATAGAAGAGCAAGAATACGAGTCAAAGAGGATATCCAGGTAGCTCAGTGACTGACAGAGCAGCCGCCCGGCAAACGGAAGTTGGGTTCGATTCCAGGCCTAGAGCTAAATGTTTGACTTGTTTTGCGCATTTCTAACACACTACAAAACAACAAACAAGTATATGTCTTTAGAAAAGAAATATTGTCACTATAAGTTATACTGCACAATTTTTTAAATTTATGAAATGTCAAAGACGCATATAGACTTTACCTTCTATTTCGCACTTAAGCTAAGTAAATATTTATTAGAGAAAACTGGTTTTAGATGTGTTTTCTACCACTCACGACATAGCCTAGCTTTACCAAAAAAAAAAACTAAAATGTATGTAGTTTCCTTAACAATTCATACTATATTCATTCTTGTTTTATAGTGATCAGAATCCTAAAATCTGGATTAGACAAAAAAAAAGCCACTTTTAATTATAAAATATTATTACAATATATAGCTGTGTACCTAAGTAAAATATTTTGATGAAAATGAAAAAAAAACGCTTTACTTAAGATTATAAATATCGTTCGGATTTCAACAAATCCGAAATCCAAAAGCAGTAAGCAGTTTATCTTTGCCATCACATATCATGTAATGTTCTGGAAACTTACACATACATGACAGTGGCATGGGATAGATTATTCTATCAAAAAATATATAGATGCACCGGTGATGGTATAAAAGCCGTCGTATTCAATATAAATAATTCAGTGTAATTTCTTTGGTACTTAATGTGTTAATCAATTCCATTTTTATTTCTTTTTAATTTAGTGTTTTAATTATATTATCATAATATCTCAAACACTAAATCTTTTTGCTGTTAGTTTTATTTTTACATTTCATCATAATCTGGAGTAATACCAGGCCTCGGACACTGATAAAAATGAACTTTTCTCACAAAAATGCGGCGACCATCTTCTTAAGGCTACACTACTATAATGTTATACCTATACATATAATTATTTTTACTTAGTTGTGGTTAGATGTAACCATAGCGTAAATAATATAACACATAATAGTATATTACTATCTAAACGAATCCCCTCTGTGTACTCTTCAATCTTCATGTTGAGGAGTCTATATTCGATTTTCCTCATATCCTTTTTAATTGTCCCTCCCTGTCCCCTAAACGCGATATTTTAGCTAATTTCCTTAGGTCCTTAAACATTTCTTTTACTCTCCATTCTATGCTTAATTCCAATTGCGAACCTCCCATCCTACACATTATTTCCTTTATTACCGAGGCTGGTTTTTCGATTTAATGCATTTTGTTGTAGTATTATGCAGAATCGCAAATAAAAAAAACATAATACTAAATAGGTTTTTAAATTTTACAAAATGGTTGACGGTTGTCACTTTTTTGTTTACATTGAAAGTGACCCTTCAACTTTTATCTATTGTGTGGTAACACTCTATGGTTTTACGCGCCAAAAAAATGTGGTAACAGGTGTGACTATAAAGTTTAAACATAATATAAACTAATGGACTGCTCCTAGCACGCCGGGCCACCCTGCCAATTGGCTTATAGCCTGTAGACCAGATTGAGTGATAGAAAAACAGAAGTTTGGGTCATAATATCATGGAGGACCATAAGGACATTACAATAAGTTAATTAATCTAAGCGTGTACGAGCATGGCTATTATCGTATATACATACATATATACTTATAATACCCAACAGGGAACTCAAATGCGCATGAGCAGTAGACCTGGTGACGTCACAAGGTCCCGTTGTTTCCCGTTAGCGCAGGCCGTCGGCTCGCTGGAATCACAGAATAAATGAAATTTCATTAATTCAGTGCTGGAGCCTTGAACTACACGCATGCTCCGTCTATAGAAATATAAGCCATAAGGTATATGGTCCAAACACTCTTTCTCTCTCTAGTGTCAAGTCTCAACTATCAGCTCGTCCCTTGGTTTCTCTTTCTCTCTAAGCCCTATCTATTAGTTTAGTTTATAAGTCTACGGGTGTGACGCTATGCAATAACTTACAGCCGTGTACTGTACAGGTAAAACACCTAACATTGGATTGTCTGTACTGTGAATATTATAACACAGAATAAATTGTTCTGTGATTACAATACATTTTTATCTCTTGAAATTTGAATATTGCCGGGTGGCAGAAATCGGAATGCACTTTATAAATTACCGAAACTGATAACGAAGCGAGTAATTATACTTTGTTTTTATTTAATGATAACTGATACCACATCCACATCACATTCTAATGGCCAACCATGTTAAGTAGTCGCAATTTCGTACTTTCACCGCGTTACTATTTACTATTTACTACTTAGTACATCGGTCGTCGTTGGACATAGGTGTTTCGTGATTATTAGAAATTTCGAAATTGTGTTTAAAACATTCAGCGACTAGACAAGCATTTTGATTGCTTATGTTGGGTTTTAGTGGCTGTATGTTTTAATCGCGTTTAAAAAACTGTGGTGATACAATTGTTTCGTTGGCGGGTTATTGATAAAAGTTCTGCTGTCAGCACGATAAACTCGAGTAGGTATGCAAAGTAATAATACATGGATCTTCGAGACATTATAAACACCTCGTAATTGTAAAATAATTAAACAGGTTTGTTTTTTCTCATAACATTATTTACATGTCGGAATGTTGAAAACAACGAAAAAATATTCTTATCTAGTGTTTAGTATACAAATCGAGATCGCTTAACGTTAATAATATTACCTCCGCGATATTATAACCCTTGTAAGAGGATTGAAAGCGGGCGATTTTTAACGGGGTTTTATATAGGCAATAATTTAAAATTAAAGGATTTTAAAAAATTTCGACCGTGCCAATTTATTTTCTGGTTAATTTGTAATAAGGTTCAGGGTACGATTTTTGAACTTACACAATTTTTTCTACGCGTTATAAACCAACTCCCGGACCCGGATAAAGTCATACTCAATAATAATAATAACCTACCTCAATACTGGTGCTCAAGTTAAATTTAACATACTTAACCCCTACAAATTATGTTTTGTGTATTATTAGGCCGATTCTAAAGTGGGCTGATGAGCTCATTTGGAATTAAAATGATTTCAGTAGTTTTTCTAACTGCCAGACAGGATCATTTTATTAGTTCAGTTATCTCCAACTTAAACACTTAACTATCATTTAACAAGACACAAAACCTCTAATAATAATTTTTGTAAAGTAAATTTTTCCAATGTTGAAAAATTGTATTAAGTATATTAATTAACTATTATCAATTAGTAATTTTACGAGAAATTGTTACTTCTGGACTAGGTAGTAGTAGCTATTATTATTTAGCCATAAATACAAATACAATCCTTTCTTTTGCACAACTATGTTCATGTGGCAAATAAAGGTGTCCTGTAAAGTAAATATGTTCCGTGATGCATTAATGTAAAGTTTTTAAATAAATTTAAAGGGCACTAAGGCAACCATAAGTCGTGTAAAAATAAAGGATTGTATTTGTATTAATGGTTAAATAATAAAATCAACTACTACCTAGTCCACAAGTATGTATTAATCAATATATTGATATGTTAATAGGTCATTTCAGCTGTATTTTATTTTTCATTATTTGATTCAAATGTACCGACTGGATTGAAATATTTTTTCTTTGCTATTTTGTAGTGTTTTTTCGCTAATTTAGAAATAAAAGTTACATTTGTATCATAGGATATGTATAGATAAGAGATACATAGCAAAAGTCGACTCTCTTTGGAAAGTGCACATCCCTAATGATTGATATTGTGATTTATTAATTAAGATACGTTAACATGTTTTTGACAAAAGATCCGTGACAATTTTTGTTGATTAAGGGTTAAGTAGTTTGTCAAGTGTTATTGTGTAATTAACCTTCATCCAGGTGCGTGGGCGATAGTTTGCCGTCTTATTCATAAGGTGCGTGTAATTTTTCCCCATGAGAATAGGGTAGGATCAGAGGGGTTCTCTGATGTTGTAATATGACACTAGATGATAGAGTCATCCTTGTGAAAGTTTCACAGTCACTTGTCTCAAGTTAACGTGAAACGTGCAATGAGTAATTTAATGGTAGATAACCGCCAGTGAGCGCCTGTTTATTTAACTTTTTTTTTTTAAATTTTTTTATCCTTTGATATATTATATTTATTTACCATAATTCAATACTAAATATAGCCAATAATTATTTTTGAAGATTTTGGGTGAAGTGTTGAGCAAGAAAGTCACAAAAACTCAGGGAGACAGGGGCGATGAAGGTTACATTCAAATAATTATAATAGTAATTAGCATAGGTATATTTTGAGTTCTTACGGCCCTCTTTTCCAGCTATTTTTTTATTGTACTTTTACGTATAGTTTTGAGATCGATAAATTGGACAAGTGTGCAATCTAAAATGTGAACATAAAAATATAACAAGAATACCCTTTTATATTCTGACTTTTTATTTTTATATTTACAATGCATTTTTTGCATACATTTGTTTATGTACACTTATTATTACCTCCAACGACTCTATAATTAAAAATTAAGCATCAAATTAAGTAGATTTAGATAAGCTCTAAATATTCTTACAAATTTGTTATGGATTGATATCTAAGATTTATCACATTACTATCTTACTGCTTACCCAATTAAGTAAGTTAGCTTGCCTGAAACTTTTATTTTGTTTTATACAAATTACCAAAAACAATGACCTATTTATTATGTACCTATTTAAACATCAGGGACTAAATTTGTTTTAACAGACTATATGTCTGTGCCTTCGCATAAAATATTCAAATTATTAATCAATTTGTTTTTTTTTTTTCAGTATTACAAAATCATTTGAAACATGGCAGAATTGGATTCGGTAATAAGTGAAATCAGAGCTTGTGTTATTTCTAATGCAGGGAAAAGTCAAAGTGGTATACCATTACAACAAATAGATAGTAAGTTTCATTCTTTAATGAACTATGTGTCAACAATTAAGTGTTGTGAATTGTAATGATATTTTATAAGCGTTTTCTTAACCCTTTGTCAGTCACCTGATTTTAGGTCGCATTCAAATAAAGTGTAACCGGTGTATATTTCTTAACGAAGTCACAGTGTGACTGGGGTACATTCTTACCCCATGTGACTAACTGAGAGTTTAAGTACCAAGTTACTATAATTTGTTTAATCATAGCTCACAAACTGGTAGCATAAGAATAAGCTTCAAAATATACTTGCATATTTTTATCATTTTTGTTACAATGCTAAATGTATGGTTATCTATTGAATCATTAATTCAGTTAAATTGGATTGGGGCCAATTCGATCAAATAACATGTTTAAATATGCCACTACTTTCATAGATGATCAGTTTTAAAGTTGTCACATATCTTGTGTTCAAAAATTAAAATATTAAAATTCTACAATGCAAATGCCATTATTTTTAAAACAAGATTTCAACATTTTTTTTTTCTCATTTGTTAAAATATATTGTTATTTAAAATTGTTTGTACTTGCAGAGGATTATTTTGGTCTTGTTGGCCAGCGAATACCATATAGAAAACTTGGATTTTCATCATTGGAAGCATTATTTCAATCATCAAATCAGTTTCATCTAGAACATCGTGGAGGAACACTTTGGGTTAATATGGTTAATAATGATAAAACGCAACATTTAACAGATCTTATCAAGAAACAAAAGTCAAAACCACCTAAAAAGAAGAAAATGGTATGTTAAATTTTATATGTTTTCTAGTAACGTATTTGAGGACGAGTGGGTAAGGCGGCAGTGTTTTAGCACTCACTGTCGCTAGTTCGACACTTGGTCACGGGCGCTCTGTTTGCCGGGCGAGCAAACATCCAGTGAAAAGGAACTGCCATATCTGGAGTTGTATTGACGACCCGTCCCGGATAGCAAATTTGTCAATAAACCAGTGTCGGGCCTTAAAGGCCTGTGTTAAGCTGATGATGATGAATAACATATTTATTAATACATTTTTTATTCTGATTTTGAATCTGCAAATTTATCACACTGCTCCCAATTAATTTAGAAGTAAGAGATGTTTAAAGTTTACACGTGTTTAGTTTTTCATCATCAATCATCATATTCATGTAGGCTTAATAGGCTTTGATGGCCGAACAGTGCCATCATGAGATAGGTTCTTGACAAATTAAATTTAGGGATGCAATAAGTAATATTTAGTTTTTTACTTCTGTGAAATGTTTCCTATAATTAATTAATAATACTTTTCAGGTTACCCAACCATTCAATCATTTTTCGCCACAGAATAAACCCAACTATCAAAATAGAAACTATCAATATCCTAAAAATGGGCACAACACAAATTATAAGCCGGTGAGTAAAACGAAAACAGTTTGTTTTTTTAATTATACAATATTTATTTAGAAATTTGCTTTTTTCTCCATTAGTTGTCTGGATTTAATGCCAAATATAATAACACTTATAAAACTTCACAATCTTCTTTCAATAATAACAAAGTTGGATATCATAATGTAAGTACAAAATATTTTTCAAAATAAAGTTTGAAATTTGTTTTATTAATACATTTGCAGTTGGGTATAGATTATATTATATATTTTTTATGGAAATATTAAATGTTCTTCAATTCTGTTTAAAACTAATGTTATGGAATTTTTGGTTGCTATTGTATAGAATATTTAAATAGGAATTTATTATGATTTCTAATATGCATTATTATTTGTAGACCTATCAACCACGACCACAGGATGGAGCCAATTTTAAAAAGGTAAGATTTATAAAAATTTAAAAAGATTACGCTTAATGACTATGCTAGAAAAATAAATCAGTAATTAGGAAAATAAAACTGCTTTAACTGTTAAATGTTTTTTCTTCAATTACATAAACTAATTGATACAATCAAAATCCAGTTACCATGTTTAAGCAACATAATTTATTTTTCTGAAATTTGTACCATGAATAGAGTAAACTTCTAAGAATCAGTCTATAAACAATCATCAATATTGTGTGTCAATATTTTTTCATGATATAATTGCGTATTATACAATTTTAGGACTGCAGTTTTTCTATAAATTGTATGTCCTTGTTGCAAAACTGAGAAAGTTTGGTACAGAAACAAAATAATAAAATATTTAAATGATGAACCCTTAACCACAAGGAAAAAATTCACCAACGTTTCTGTATTTCGGCAGCAATGTTAACATCATCAGCACTCCGAACAGACTGTTGTTCTGTTAAATATTTTTGCGTATTATGTTATATTATGCTAAACAACCAGAAATTATTATTAAAACAGTTATAATCTTTCGATGTTTATTGTTTACTTATAAAAATATTAAAAACGGTGTTAGCAAAACTTAGACTAATAATGTATAATTTCTTTTTTTTTGTTGTCAAATAATAAATAATTTTTTATTTTCAAATAAAATTATTCGTTGATAAATAATAGTTATTCAGTTTATTTATTATTTTTACAAAACATATTAGCTTAGTTATTTTTTAATTTATTTAAAATACATTTTGATAAATGAACAAAGCTAAAAATGTATCCTAAAAAACATATATTATAAATAATAAATTAACTATTTTTTTGTCATATCATTTTAAATGTTTTTTAAATCACTTCTTTAATTTAAACAATTTAATCAAGTTCGAGTTTCTTGGGTAACCTAAGTTGGGTTTGATATTGATAAGCTTTATTTTTTCATAAGAAATTTAAAAAAAAATTGACATAAATAAATTATAAATAACTTGTTGATTTTTGCAAAAATAATCTATTAAACAATTTTTAAATAAAAAAATCACTTTATTGCTTTGTTTAGATAAACATAATATAGCTTTTGGACTATTGGTAGTTTAACACTTATATTATTCTTAAAAAATATTATTATACAATACTGTCGTTTCAATTACTTATCTTGATTGCACTTTTACTACTATGTTTAATCTTATTTTATTTGACACATATATTTTAGATGCATCAAAATTACAATGGTACAAAAAATATTAATGTAAATACTAAGCCAGCCATTCCATTTTCCAACGTAAGAATTAGTACTTCTTTCAAATTAACTGCGAGTAACCACCTAACAATACAATTACACTAACCTACATTGCTTGTACTAATTCAATTCTTATTTGCATGTTAGTCCATGTATCTATTGGGTGAAGATGTGAACCTTGCTTAAGTAATACAATAATAAGTGCAATTGGCAAAAATTTAAGAGGAGCTTAGCTTCCTCCAAAAAATCTTGTTTTATGTGCAGTTAGATTACTAAATTTAACTATAGTAATAAAGTATTACAGTATGGGAACTAATTTTTTTTTCAGTCCGCCCATCCATATAAAAAATGAAAAGCTACAGTTATAAAGATATAGTTGCAATTTTGATTTTTAAATGAATATTGTTTTTATCTTCAAATTTTAAATTAGCTGTTATTTTTCAATTTAGCTCAATCGGTCTAGCTACTCATTATTAGGTTTTATATTATGTATTTTTATCTGTGTTAACTTATATTCAAATATTTTATTACTATTTAATTACAGTAGCGTATTATGCCAATTGGGAAGGTGACAATTTCCGATGTGGGTCTCGCGACCTATCCATAGCCTTGGTCTTAACAAACAAAACTGGCACAACTTATAAATCAAAATATTTATTTTTATTTTATAAATACTAAATGCAATTGAAAAGCACAGGGGAAGAAGGGTAATAGTCCATGTATGAAAATTTTAGAGTATAGCAAAAACAAAGTTCGTGAATTCCTCCCTCTTTCATAAGAACAAAAAAAAGATCACATTAAGTGCTATTCTACTAAAAAATGTATTTATTTAAACAATCTATTGACATAAATAAACAAAATTAATGGCGTATATTGAAAAAAACTATTTGAAAAAAAAATGTCATAAATGGACTACTACCCTTTTTTCCCTTTGCCCTTCATTTGTTATCAAAATTATTCATCGTCATGATAGGTTCATACTTCAAAAAGTGGAAGTAATTTTGGGTTGATAATTTTATTTGTAGGGCCAATTTTTTAATAGCCCACCACCGTTTAATTATTTTTTTAACTTGTGTGTTAACCAATTCAATTTATGTGTTATTACTTTAATTGTTTCTTTTTTTTTTTAGAATCGACTTCCTGTAAATGCCAATAGCAATGGACAACTTAATAATAAAACAGATCAAGTACCATTACCACCACTGACGAGCAGTTGTAGCAGTTTAGAGTCAACATACAGTACTCATTCAGTTGGTCATACAGTTGCATCTACTGTTGTAAGTGTAGTATGTAAAAGATAAAAATTTAATAGTTTTTATGTTATTTATTGTTGACAAGGAAAATAAAGGGTGTCCATAGAGGGTGTACATACTTTTTGAATCTGACAGCATTTTTAAAAATGTTTGTTCGCAATTCTGTTCACATCATATTTAGTATTTAATATCACTCCGATTTATTTATTAGTGGTTGTTGCTGAATTGGAAATATGTATATAAAAATGCATTTTGTTACAATTTTACTGATTTATGAATTTGTCAAAAATTGCGTACTCTGCGGAATACTCTATATAATGATCCAAGGCAAAAGGTTGTAAACGACATTATTGTAATTTTACAAAACAGCCAAAATAAAAATACAGTACTTTTTCTGTTCTCTTCTGTTAGGAAATTACTTAAGGATGTAATTTTTATGTTGAACTATTTATCGTGTATTATTTAAACTGTCATTGGCACCTAACAGCAGTCGTTTACTACTGACAATAACTTAATACCTGTTAATTAATGGAGTTTACACTATATATTTAAATATCGACATTTTACTTAAAATAATCGTAACAATATGGGAGTTGTCTAAATTGATAGAGAATCGTGGCTTTGACACTAATATATTAAAAATTCATTTTCAAAAGAAATGTCGTTTACGACCTTTTGCCTTGTAAGTGTGGATATGTAGTATGCAATATTTTAATTTAATGTCTAAAATATTTGTGTATTACATTTTTTTAATTCAATCGTACATTTGCTTAGTTTGCATGATAATTGATAGTAAAATCATTTTATTATATGTTATTATAAATTCATGCATTAGGGTATTGAAACAAGTTCCGGCCAAACATTTATATTTTTTTTTTAACTAAAAATGTATAAACTTGTCTTGATGTTTGAATATTTTTAACTATTAATTTAATATTCAATAAATTTGTGCTCAAATTTTATGAATTTGGTATTGTTGCAGCCAAAATCTCAAGCAAATACATTTAGTAGACAACCAATTGTCGATAAACCAGAAAATACGTATAACCCCAATCTGCAGGTTAGTATTTTATTATTTATGTATTTTAATGAACATAATATAATATGTTAGATTGAAAAAAGAAGGTATAATTTGAATGGTAATTTAAATTAAATTAATCGTTATTTAAACCTAAGACTTTACACTAATTACTATAATGTAGTAACCATACTTGTTGATTTTATAACATATTAATTTGCCATTATATTATTGAAAATGACAGCGGCCAACATTCATTCAACAAGAGTTGGATGGTGTGTGCGGGTACCTAATTTTATTTAAATACAATATTAGCTTTAGATTTTAAATTATTTTTTAGCTTTGATGTGTTTTTCTTTTTATCTTTATATGGACCCACAATATTTTCTAAACTGCTGAACCGATTTCATCGTGTAGCAACTTTTTAGATCAGGAATCTGAAGTGTACTTTATTGGGTAAAGAATTTAAAAAGCACTCATTTCTCTTCAAAATTAGAAAAACACCAAAAAAATGTACATATTTTTCAACTTAAAATTTACAGTGATGTATTATTTTTTAAATATAGTCGAATTAGTTGTATGGAATTTTCTTTAGATAGTACTACCCAAAAACGTTGACAAACCAAAAAAATATAAAACACTGCCCTACAAAGGGTGGAAACTTTCTTTATTTCAATTTTTTTGGCAAAATTTGAGGAATAAAGATTTGAAAATTAGACCGAAGGTAGATCTTAAATATGCCCCGTATAACATTTACAATTTTCTCAAAAAATCTTCAGTCAAACTTCTTTTTTATTGAACAACCAAATGAAAAGGGAAATGTGCATGTGAAACCTCAGTCAATGGGCATTTGAAGATATTTTCATTAATTGTTCATTACGATGTATAGATAACTATGGCAATAAATTATTATAGACTGACGATCAACCCTAATACCAAAAATACATTTTTATGCTCATTATTGACATTACGTACAATGTTATTTTTTTGATACTTGTATTTCTACAATTACAGTTTCGCATCGAAGTGTTTATTTGGACACTTTCAGTTGTAATAATTCATATAGACTTGTGAACTCCCTCGCCCTAAATATGCTCTGTTCCCACTAGCCCCAATTGCACTTTACTGGCATTTTTTTTACCTTGGTAAAATTGAAAATACTACAACTGGATTTTTGCTGTTAGATATTTTTTCTTTAGATTAAATTTTCATTTTGTTTCTTAGAAAAAACCACCGCCAACATCTGCAACGTTAATTACTTCATTATTGGCAAAACAGAATTTGGTAAGCTAGAATTTTGGAATCATTTTGTTTATAATTAAGAAACAAGAGTTTAAAATATTCATACTTAGAAAAAAGTTTGATTTTGTTCAGTTTTTAATATTTATATACATTAATAGGTTGTTAAACCATCAACTGCTCAAAGTCGACTTCAAAAGTATCCAAAGAAATGCGAGGAAACAGCAAACAAAGTAAGTTGATTTTTGCCAACTCATCATAGAGTAGTTATAGGCTAAAATAACCAAAATTTACATTGCAACATGTTTATCAGAGTTATGAATTAAAGTAAGATAGGGGGTTTTTTCACAAATTTACCTGTTCACACATAATATTATGTGTACTTGTTATCAGTAGAAAATTTTTTTTTAACATTTCTAAAAATACATATTTTAATCGAGGATTGGTAACGTTCTATTTTAAACGAGTTATATTTAGGCAATATCATAATTATTTTGTACTGCATTCTGGCGTAGGGACTAGTGCGTGCTGTTGTAAAAGTAAATGAACACACATAAATGTGTGTGTAACACCTTATCATTGCCTATGACCTGTTTTGTACGGTTATGCCTTATGCTCAGTGTCATGTCATGTCGACTGTGTTAATATTATACATAATATTTATTTTACCGCTAACAAGACTTGTTTTTGTTCTACCGTATAGATCGATCTAATCTAATGATACAACTAATTATTTTTTAATTGTTTGATTTTTATTTTGCTAGTTATCTTCTAAAATTTTAAAGAAAAATGATAAAATCAAAAATTTTCTAAAAGTAAAGCTTGAGCAATTCAAACCCGTTTTCAAATTACTATTATCGCATCATTATTTCGATCGGTACAGTAAAACAATAACAGTTAGGTCTTTTTTCACCTGAAAATGTGCAATGTTTTCAATCTAAGATTTAACTTGTTGGTTTATCACTAACTAGGCACCGGTTAAAACTTTTATAGAGACCGTTACATATACTATTATCATAATTTTATTACCTACTGAACTTGTAATTGTTGAAACATATGGATCGAGTATTTTAAATAGTTTTATAATTATTGTATACATTATTTGTTTAAAAATAATTTTACTTTTTTACGACAACCTCGCACTTAATTATATTTGATTGTACCAATGACTAAAAGACAATATGAGCTATTAGTGTAAACAGTTTTATGTAATGGACCATAATAATATTTTGTCACATGATAAAAAGGCCAACTTTATCGTTTTGAGAACCCTTGGTTAGCCCTGTCGCGCAACGCCTATCGTGGCTCGCCGTTTTCGTACAACAACAATAATGTTTTTGGGAATTTCCATTTTTTTTTAATATAAATTCTAAGAAATCTAAGTACAATAACATCCAATCAACGTAATAAATACACTGACCACGTGCTACCATATCACTTTATTACCAACTTAACATGTTTGAATTGTGTCATTTACTATGATAACATTCACATTAGCTGTATAAAGAAAAAATAATGCGTCCTGGTAGCTGCTGTAAGCTGTTAATAAATTGCTTAACTTACCCATTGGCGGTTAACTCGTAGACGGCAGATGCACATTATTTTCATCTGTGACTAGACTTATGCTTCATAGCTTTTGTTCTTAATTATCTGAGAGCATGTGTTTCTTATTAGATTAAAAAGATTTTGACTTTTTGACTTTCGTTTTTTTATTTTAATTATTCGGTTAAATTATACAATTATTTAAATCTGGGACCTCTATTGTGTAACTGGAGTACACTATGGATTTTAAAGTATTTGTCGATTCGTGTTTAGAACAAATAAAAACTGTGCAGGAAGCCAGTAAAAATCTTGAATGTTTACTAAAAAATTATTACGTTAATAATAAAGTATGTACATATATTATTGAGATATCGTACTTAGTTATTCAAAACGAGTTGTCGTTTATTTTATAGGATGATACTAAAGAAATACCTCAAACAATTCAATCAAATGGTGTTCAGCTTGACAATTTTACTTCTCAAGCAGTAGGAAACGACATCAAGGTTTGTAACTTTATAAATTTAGTTAACATTTTGTAGATAATACCTATTAAGAAATTATCTTACCATGTATAACCCGAGGATCAAACACAAAGTAAAAATTAAAATGCTTATAAGTATTTTTTTTAAACAAAAATAAAAAATCGGCCTATTAGCCCCTTAGAGAAGATGTTAAACTATAAAAGCAAACTAAAATGATTGAAATCAGTTCGGTAGACACTCTGGAAAGTTACTCTGCGTTTTAGTCTTTATTTGTGAAAAATTGACGTATTCCGATCCTCTTAATTATTAACATAAAAGCGCCTAGAAGAGGCCAAGGAATACATTTTGAAATATTTTCCTTCGTAGTTTGCACTTGTTAGTTGTACCTAGCATGTAGCTTTTCAATTCATGTTTTCATGAATTCATGAAGTCTTTCATGAATATTTCTCATTCGGAAGAAAAATTGTATTATTGAGGATACACAAAGTAACATTTATTTTAACCTTATTTGAAGTCAAAGATTTTTGAACTTTGATACCTTATATCTATACATTTTTAACAAAGTATATTTTTAAAAGTGACTAAATTACCTGGCCCCATCAAGTTGGTTAGTTTTCTATTGAATATTAATTTTAAAAACGGCATTATTTGTATACACATTGTAAAACGAGGCTTACTTATTAAGCAAAAAAAAAAATGTATTAATAGTATACATGTTTGACAGTTGCTATGGATACTTTCATACCATCCTAAATAGGGTAAACAAATAACTCTTAATAGTAACCAAATTATTCTTAACATAGTTAAATAGTGGGAAATTAACAACAAAAACGACAGATCAAACTAATAATTAAAAAGCTCTTTCTTTTTCTTTTTAAATTCTCGTAGTCATTGAAATGGTAAGTATTAGTGATGGGAATCCAAAAATTCGAATTTTCACAAAAAACTGCAATTTAAGCCACTAAAAAATCATATGTGTTAAATATTTTTACAGTATAAAGCTGTGTACCTAAGTAAAATATTGAAAATGTAAAAAAAAAAAAACTACAAAACTATGCTTTTTGATTTTGGATTTGTTGAAATCCAAAAGCATTTTATAGCTGTTTTTTTTCTTCAAATTTGTATTCAAACATTTTACTTAGATACACAGCTTTCTATTGTAATAATATTTAATATTTATAAGTTTTTCTAGGGGCTTAAATAGCGTTTTTTTCAAATCCAGATTTTCGGATTCCCTTTATTAGTAAGTACATAATTTCATTGTTTCTTAACGCTGTAACAAAGAAAATTGTGATGCAAAATCTCATATAAATTAATACTTAAAAATTTGCTGTACGGAGTATTTATTAAACAAATTTCAGCAATATTTTTTATTGTAAAGCTTTCCATCTCTATGGAGGCTAGTAGCTTTTTTTTTCTTATGAAATAGTTAAATAAACAGGTGTTCCCTGGCGTTTGTGGTTTACCCCCGAGGGATCGCCTACGACTTGGAACGACTAGTAGCACTGGGCGCTAATTGCGGGACGAGGAAGGTTGGGCTCAAGATGTAGTGAGCCTTTTAGTCGCTTTGTACGACAGGCGGGCAACTCCTTGAGAGTAATCTGATCCCCATTTCACTGGGATGTCATGGCCGGTTGCCCGGTGCCACGATCGACCCCCTATATGTGGCTCAACGAGTTAAATAAACAATTATATTTTACTTTTTATAGTTTCTGTAACATATAACAAAAAATAAATAAATTGGCCTTTTCGCCCATATATTTCTTAACGTGCCAACAAGTGACTTCCATCGAAGTTAATTTTCATTAAACATCTGATAGGTTAGATGCAGACATTTGCTTGTATAGTTTACTTTCTTGTGATCATTTTGGATGAACCATTCAAAATGAACCAATGTTAGACCTGACCTAACATTGTTTATTGTTAACTCGGAATGAACAATTTTAATGTCAACATAACTACATCTTTATTATTATAATTTCTTTTCATACATTTTAGGTAAATAATACTTTCCAAGCTAAGAGGATCCAGGCTGCAGAACAAGTTATTTCAGCAGCCGTGTTGGATAACAATGCAGATTACCCTGTTACTGATGATATCAATGTGATGGCATCACGTGTAAAAGATGTAATTTTACTTAAGTTAATAGATTTATTATAAACATTATAATTAATTTACTTTTATTTTAGTTGTTGAAATCGGATAACCAGAAATCTGGTGTCCCGAGTGATGACTTAGAACAAAAATATCGAGAAAATTATAAAGAAAATTTGTTAGAAAACTGGGTTGAGTATTTGGCTGTATTTAAATATTTTACATGTGAAAATGTAGTTCCCAACAAAATGGTCATTTATTTGGTAGTTGTATTTTATTTAATAAAAGCATTATAACAATTAAGAAGACTATTTTACTAAATATATATTGGTTAATTTTTTTACTATTAGAATGAACAACCTGCGACCAACTTAAGCAATGGCCATAATGGAGAAATAAACGGAACTCATCAAATTTCCAACGAACCATCAGCAGATGAGGATACTACTGATGTTCCTGGCACGGCCTTATTCTTAAATGACTACGAAGAGAAATCTGTACTTGTCACAGCGATTTATAGCTCGTTATGTGTTTATGTCCGTTATGTTGATGAAGACATAGATGTAAGAATATTTGCTCTATTCTAAATTAATATTTACTTTGGATTATAGTATTTATTTTACATTTGTACATTGCGTTGTAGGAAAGTTTTATTGAAATGGATGCCAAATTTAATACTCAAATGAACTCTAATTACTGCCTTGTTGAAGATATTATCGAAGGGGAGTTCTACGCTGTACTTTATGAATCGTCATGGCACAGGGTTCAAGCTGCAAGCATATCTGAAGTAGATGTTGATTGTTATATGATAGATACTGGAGAAACATTGACAGTTTCTAAAGATCAGATTTGCTTCATAGATCCAATTTTTCTGAAAACTAAAGCACAGGTAAATGAAACTGTTTAATTTTTATTGACTCATTAAGACAATTCCTATAACCTGAGCATAATCATGATAAATACATGACATAATCATCTCAGATGAAATCCTCATGTAAAAAACATTATTTCTATAAAAAAATAAACCAATGAACATCCAGAATTTTTTTCTTTGTGTTATTATACAAAGTGTTGGAAATTCAAAAGCACAAAGGCACATGGTGTCATATTTCACAAAAATTGCTTAAATGGTTTTTAGAATACTCTATTCAGAATAAGAGCGGTCAGGGTTGCACATGGCCGTGGCTTTATTCCGGAGCATTGCATTGTGCGCCTCGAGACTTGGTGGGAGAAACCGCCGACGAAAATCGGTCGGCCGCGCGGACCACTCTTATTTTGAATAGAGTATAAGTTTTTTCATAAAAAAGATAATTTGCTGTAAATAACAGTGTTATTTATTTTTGTTCAAATCATTATTTATTGATAAAAGACAAAATATATTTTTGAGATTAGGAAAAATTATTTTAATAAATCTGATTTGACCACCTCTAGTGGAGAAAAGCAGCCCCATGGAATGCAAATTTTAATTTCAAAAAGCCCTATATATCTTACTAATGCTCTGATGAGTATGGGTTTTATTTTATAAGTCGTTAACTAACGGACTTAAATTTTTGGATATGTAGTAATGTTAACACAAGTGAATTTATTTATGTTAAGGGCATTCAATGTGGATTAACTCAACTAGAGAATTTCAGTGCATTTTTTGGCTTAAAAGATATATTGGATGAGGTGCTATTAAATAAAAAGTTTGTCTTAGTACCTGACAACTTGGAAGATCCAACATTACCTACAGTAACATTATATGAAACAACTGATGATATGACAAATGTTAACGATTTGATTGTGCAAAAATTCATAGAAAAATCCATCACCAAACTTCCTTTATTTGAGGTAAATTATAGAAATTTAAAAAAATTGTGTAAATAATATAGATCGCCTGTTATTACATGGAGCCTAGGCCAATACAACCAGTACGTACGTAGACAGTAGTAGTATTCTTGCTGTCTACGTTCATGACGTTACCTGCTCGAACTCAGTAAAACGCTCTACAACGGCAACAGTTAAAGTGCTATTGAATAACTAGCCAGCAGGCGATCTATAGTATTTATAATAAATGATTTTGTAATGGACTAGCGATTCGTCCCAGGTAGCGTATCCTTGATGAAACTGTGTAATTGATTACAGGATAATGAAGTCGTGAATGGTACAGTATCATCGGTTGTCGCTTCTGGTCATTTGTATTTACAATTGAATTCAGACGTTGTTGCTTCACTCGAAGAAATATTGCCTACAGATTGTGATGGATATTATCCTGAATATTTTGTAAAATCTAAAGCTGAAATTGATTTGAAAAAAATTTACTTGGCGAAATATGAGTTAGATAATATTTGGAGTCGTGTTCAAGTTACTGAGTTTATTGATGAAAATGAGGCAAGTATTTGTTTATATTCAGTCGGCTATTTGGAATTAACACAGCAGTACTAAGGTTTCTAACTAATAATATTTTCATGAATAAATAAAATAATGAAATATTTAAATAAACCCTTAACCACAAAAATAGTACTCTCATCATAGACATTATACTAACCTATAACCTAACTACAGTCTTACCTACATAATATTTATCACATTCTTCATATTGTATTTTTTAAAACCTCGATTTATGCTCTTCCCCTATTTTGTTTTCGGTGCTACCTAATAAAGATTTTAAAAAAAAATTGTTAAACCCTTGACATACCTTGAAAATAAACCATACCCGATATTAAACATTTTTCCTCCTACTTGTGTCCTGGCTGTCCTAATATCCTTGACCATTTATGTTTATTAAACTAATCTTTAAATCGTAGCTATTTCAATTATTAAATTAAGTTCTTTATCAAAATAATTTTACAGAAATATTGACTAATCTAAAAATTACTTTTTCTTTGATTCTTAAAAGTTTAAACTCAAATTATCTCTCTTGGTTAAATTATATTTTTATGTGTACCGTTACTATAAATAAAAAATACTTAATAATTATTATTAATCAATAATCAATTTATTTTAAAAAATATATTAAAAAGAAGGAATTGATGAAAATAAAGTATTGATCGTGAAAGAATGTGTTTAATAGATGATAACTAAAATAACCAAGTAAGCTAATGTATAACAATGAATTTTTATTTTATGTCCATAGGTTAACATCATATACATTGACTATGGTAATAATGGAAAAAGTGAAATCGCAAAACTACTGGATTTGGAAAAATACGATCCACTTATGACAAAGATTCCACCTCAGGTATTTAGCTTTTTATAATATAGAATTTTTAACAACTCAAATTATATTTAAAGTTTTATTGTATCACATAATTATAGGCAATAAAAGTGACAATGAACTTGTTGCCACCTAGTATCATGACCTCAGAAATAGCGAATGAAATTTATAAAATGGTAGGTAGTGAAAAAGTGTTGGTGAATCTAGTTAATGCACCGGCAAACGAAGTTCCATGCATACAACTTTACAAAACACAACCTGAAGATGATACCCCTATTTGCTTGAACATTAAATTAGCCAAGAGGTATATTGCACTAATTCTTTATTACATTATTCAGTTTTTGTCTTTTTAATCGAAAAGTGTTATTTTAAATCTTATTGTATTTATTAATTGTATGTGATGAAAACTCAGTAAATTAGTAGCTTGTAGAAAAGTGTAAAGAGAAGAAAAAAAAGCTATGTATGGTGTTTATAGATTTAGAGAATGTATATGGCAAAGTGCTGACAGAGGTTTGTTAATGAGAAAAGGAGTTCTGAAATTGAATTTTAGTTTAGTAGAGGTTATTGTGTATGAAGATTCAATTACAAGTATAAAAATTATGTGAGGAGAACAGAAGATATTTTGGGTTAGAGATGGCCTGCATCCAGGTTCAACTTGGAGCCCCCTACCTGTTTTCTGTTGTAATGGTGATGCAGTTACAAAAGAAATAAGGATAAGGTATAATGTTTGTTGATAATATAGTTCAAGTAGGAGAAAATCTAGAAGAAATTAAGTAAAGGCTTGCTGGAGAATAGCATTTGAAGGATAGGGACTAAGGATTAGTAAAAGTAAAACAGAATATATAGAATATGAACTTGGAGGAAGGGAACAAGAGGTTTACAGAACAAGACGAGTAACGAAAATAAGCTGAGAGGTTGAGAGTTACGAGTATTTAGAATTTTTTGTACAGAAGAACGATTTTGATGATGATTTGAAACGGAGGACATGTGGAGAGAAGCAATGTTTTTTTGTGATAAAAAGTTCCAATTAGACTTAAATATAAGTGTGGTTAGACCGACTTATGTTGTATGGTTTAGACTCTAAACCATACACAACATTTCTAAACTTTAGAATGTTGAACTGTAGGCAGGAAAATAGAACAGAGATAATGTGGGAGATCATGTTGATTGTAGGTACAGAGAATAAGGGTTGCCAACCCCAAATAGTTGGAATAAAGACAAAGGATAAGTAGAAAAAAAATTCAAAAAATGTTATTTTAAATTAATTAGAAGGAATATTAACTATAAAGTCTTTTAATATTGCTTTTATAATTTAACCTGGAAAATTGAACCCAAATAATAGTAAATATATGATCCAGTGAAATAAATTCTTTTTCATATTCTAATACCACTATTTTATCTCTATTGAATTTTAACAGAAGTGTGTATTATAAATAAAATAAATGCATTGCCAGGGTTTAAAAAAATTATATAAAAAAATCCACCCTTGCTTCCTCTCGATTTATTTGAATTTTTACCTATCTTTCACATGTATACCTCAATTTTTACTGTTTTATTAAGTTATAATTTGTACTAATACTCTAAGCTTTCGGGCGTTTATGAATAAATATACGACAAATTAATTGTAGTAATAAATAATTAATATCAGTTAATGTAGATTATCGTTACATTAAAACCTGAAAGAAAGAAATATAAAAATATTGTAAAGAATAATCACATTAAGGTAAAATTATAATAAAAAGTCGTTTTGTAGAAAAATTCTCAGTATACAATTTTAATTTAATATTTCTATGCTAAATTAAAAATAAACTACACACCGTTCACTTTGTGTAAATATTAAATAACTAAATTTAAACAATTTAAGTAAGTTAATTTCATAAACAAAAATTAAAAAAAAAAAAGTATTATTAACTTAACAACAAAAAATATTGTTGATAATTGTTGTTTGCTCAACTGAGTTTTAGTCATTATTTTGTATAACATTTGGCTATTTTTTTTCTCCTTAAAACTACTTTGAAATTATAATAATAATATTGCTGTTAGGCTTGTCGTTTTATTTTTTTTTTTTATATATTTTTTTTTTATTATTATTTTTTTTCCAGCATTAAGAAACAATAAGACTACTTACCATGTCAATGACTACGAGAATTTAAAAAGAGAAAAAAAAGATCTATTTAATTGTTAGTTTGTTTTGTCGTTTTTGTTGTTATATTCCCAATATTTATCTATGTTAATAATAATTTGGTTTTCTACAAGATTTGTTTATTTACCATAATTTGGATTGTTTAAATGTAAGACTGTCAAACATTTATTAGTTATTTAATTATTTTGTACTATATTTGGCACTAGTGAATGCATGTTGATCCTAAAAATCGATACATCATTAACATTTTCTATTTAACCTCTCCAAAAAAAAGAGGAATCAACAATTTTTTTGAAAGTGAATGTTGATTTTGGTAATATCCAATAAAAATTGTTTTTTCTTAATTCTTTTGTAATTAGAATGTAATTACTAGTTTTAATATTTTGTAAATAAAATAAAATGAAGCCTTTTTGAACTTAGTTAATGCAGTCTTTTTTTTTTTTTTTTTTTTTAACATGTTAAATTATTTAAAACAATTATTTACATATAACGTCATGTAAAAGGGTGCAATTAATTTTGATGATTATCAGTGCCAATACGTGTAAAATATTATACTTATATTCATATTGATACCAATATTTTTCTCACTCCTAACTTTTATAAGGAAATTAAGTGTTTATGAAATGCTTTCTCCTTCTCTGTGTTGGTGAAAGAAGTATTTTACTTCTATAAAATGTACATTTTGTGACTTAAGGCGTTTCTTAAATGACCAATTCATACAATAAATTATAATCCACAGCTCAGAAATTGTAAATTAGCGATGGGAGTTACCCAAATAATTTGAATATTTAGCCTAATTATTCAAATAGCTGACAATTTAATTATTAGGCGAAAATTAAAATGTATTATAAAAATTAAGTATTTAATAATTCGAATTAAAATCACTTCTATAAGTGAATGTTTTTCGTGCAATGGTAAAAGCAAAAAACTTGAATCTATTTCGATTTCCACAAATACATAACCGATGTTAGCCACCTCCTCTCTACAAAACTAAGCTGAATTTTTTGTGGGGAGGGTTTTAATTTAAAAACTTTTCAGAAAATGTACATATTATTATGAGTAAAGAAAGCGCACAATTTGATTTTTTATCAAGACGCTGTTGATAGTTCTGTTTTATTAAACTAGAGAAAAAAAACAAACAATAATTTTATTTACATTAAAAAAAAAAACTTGGTACATATGATGTCTAATTAATATGAAACTGATGTTATTTATTTCATTTATATGTCTTTGGACATATTGAATAACTCAATGCCTTGATCGATATCTTCTATTAATGAAGATGCAAGTAGTTTGGGTGTAACTGAAGTTTTTAAATAATCGGCTACTAAACTTCTTGCCGGCTTACCGCCACCATGTTGTAAACATTCATTGCGCAGATGTTCACCCTGACTATTGTTGAGTGGGTCTTGGCTTAAAAATTCGTGCCAAGTTCGTGCTGCTATAGCTTTTGACACTAAATATGAGTAATATTTTGATCCATAACCAACAAAATGAGAAAAACGTAATTGCCATGCCTGAATATAAAATTTAAAATAATTAATTAATTTTGTAACAATTTAACAGATGCAGACAAATTCAGGATTTAAACTAGTTATTACTGTGTTTTCAACATAAGGTAGACCATAATATTCTACTTGAAGCTTGGCGAGCATATTTGTTGTACTCTTTGGTTGAGGTGCGTTCGTATGATATTGCTGATCAAGTACAGAATAGAAAAGTTGCAATTGCATTTCTGATGCGGCAAACAAATATTTCGAAGTACACAATCTGTTCAACATCTCATCGGGCATAGGTTCTTTAGTCCTATAGTGTTTGGCGTATCGCTTTATCACCTATTGAAAACCAAATTTAAACACTGACATTTTTTCTTGATTTCTGACTTACTTGAGGTTGAGTAGCGTAATATTCCATTAACACTGATGGAAATTCCGCTAAATCTGTGGCACACCTTGTCCCGTTAACATGTTGATATTTCGTACGACCCAACATAGAGTGAATAGCGTGACCAAATTCGTGAAATAAATTTTCGACCGTACCTGGATGTAATAACACGGGACCGTGACTACCACGCCATACGACATTTAACATGACTACCACTATTGGAACCTAAATAATTATTAATCAATTAATACTATTTTACATTATTACTATTTTGCAGGATTATGCTTATTAAGAAGTAAAAATGAGTGGTTTTTTTTTAATTGTTGTTTTTTAAGTTAAAAAAAGTGTGGTTTACAATGAAAAAATCCTTTGTCTTTTTATAAAAATAAAAAATAATTTTATTTAAAACACTGTTTTTTTATATGTCAAGCCTACAAGCAGGATTATGATTTAAATAACCCAATAACTCAAATTTACATAACTACAAAGTTTTAATTCAAAGTATCCATTTATTTTTGAGAAGCGTAAAGGTAACTGCACCTAATTCATTTGTTTACCTATATTATGGTAACTTTTTTGTCAATACGAATTAGAGTACTTAAAATTTGTAAAAATATTTTATATCTATATAAATACTTTTTATACTAAAAAAAAATATATGTCAAATTAAGGAATTATTTTATGTTTTTGACATGTCAATAAATAACCATAATGTAAATTTATACTTGATAAGAATCATTTGTCAATTGGCGTCCACCTCTAACCACATAGTGAGAGTCATTATGTAATTTTCCAGGTCTTTCGAAAAAATCACAATATATATAGCCCAATAAACCTTCAGTATTATGTGTTACTAAAAAAAAAAAAAATTAAGTTACAAGAAACAACACAACTATATTTGTTATAATACCGGCCAATTTGTGTACTCGGTCCGCCCATCCTTCACCCGGCTCTAGATCTTCAAATACCATGTTGATGTTGTATAAACTATTAAAAATTAAATTCAAACCTTCCATACAGTCTCCCAAGGAAAAAAAGGCCGAATAATCAATCATCGAATATTTGAGATGATCTTGTTTAATTTTATTTGATATATATTGTACGTCCCAAGGTGCAACAGTCTAATTCATTTTTTTTTTTAAACAAATTAATTAGAAAGATAAGCAAAATAATTTTTACAATAGTTAATAAAGTAAAAACCTGGGCAATTTGTATTTAAATAATAAAAAAGAATATTACGCATATAACAAATTTTTTGAAATTATTGAAAATAATTTATTACTTAAAAGTTCAAATTCCTTTTTACTTGGTAATATGCGTTTTGAATGATTCAAATAATGTATAATTCAAATAAATGTATTTTAAAGAACTAAATCAAATAAATTTATATATTATTATAGTGTAATATATTATATAAATAATATTCACAAACTTACAAAGTTCGATTTTCTAAATAATTATTTAGGTATTTAATTTTATTGTTTGAACTTTTATAATGGCTGGACCAAGCAACAAACGTTTCCTGGCAAAATGAAATTTTATTAGTTTATCAAATGTTATGCTACCTCTCTACTACTCATGAGCACTACAGGCTATAGTGATCCTTGACTTCCAAAACACTTTTTATCCACTCATCCCGTTCTTTATCTGCATTTCTCCAGTTTAGTATATCCATCTGTTGTAGATTTTTCTTTACTTCATTCAGCCATCTACTACTTGGAAGTTCTTAACTTCTGGTTCCTTCCATTCTTGCATTATGTGTTTGGATATTCTTTCCTCATCCATTCTTTCGACATGACCCAATCATCTGACCTTGCATGATTTTATGTATTTCACAATATTATCATTTTCTATAATCTGCTCTATTTTGTTGTCATCCATCTCCTTCTTCATTCACTATTTCTTATCACTTTCCTTTTAAATATCTTAACCTGTTGGCATTCGGTTTTGACAATGTCCAAGTTTCGGCTCCATAGCAAACTATGGGTTTAATATAGCTTCATCTTAGTAGCTTTCAACAACAGCTTTGATTTACAGAGTGTAATATTGACAAAGTATGTGCGGTTGTTAGCCATAATTCTTCTTTCATTTCTTCTGACAGAATTTTTTTTTTCATTCTTGCTATTATTAATGGGTGATCCTTAAATACAGAAATTCATTTACACCTTCAAAGTTATTTTCAACGATTGTAATATTTTGTACTCTGTGACACGCTTCTACTACGGATGATAGTTTCATGTATTTAGTTTTCTTTTTGTTAATTTTTAATGCCATAGTTTTTCCCTCATTTTCTTTACTTCAGTAAGCTTCCCTCATGGTGCCTTCGATTCTTGCTATTATTACAATATCATATGCATAAGCGCAGATTTTCCACAACTTGTTGATAATGCTTTCTGTTTTATTTGTATCTTATGCAGCTTTATGCAAAACAATGTTGAATAGTATTGTTGATAAAACCTCACCTAGCTTAACCCCTGAATTTATGCTAACGTTGCCTCTCGCATGTTTAATATTTTGAAAGGGCCCTGACTTTTATTATTATACTATCTAATACCATTGAGTATATATTGTTCAATATATACTCAATGCTAATACTTTTAGAGCGTTAATATTAACTTTTATTTACATTAAGTATGTATTTAAACAATATTTTTTTATTGTTTGAATTTTTATTTAAATAATGCCCAAGTTGGATATAGAATAATTGGATTTTACCTGATGATTATTAGCCTTCTTCATAGTTTTATAATCAATTACTGAACGAGCCCTTAATTCTGTATTTAATACATTTAAAAATTCCATTACAAAAGTAGGATCTTCAGCTATGCTATTTTTTAAAGCCCTATACACATCATTTAACTTTATACTTGAAATACAATTGTTAACATTATTTCTACCTATGAGCGTAAGAAGGAAATCCACATGTCAAAGCGAGCTTATGGCGACATTCCAAAAGATTATCCAATAACTGTTCAGACTCTTCATTTGGACTATGAAAAATTTTAAAAGCTGCCTCTCTTACCAATGGATTATCTGAATGAGCATTAGTATGTTTAACAATTATTTGTCCATTTTGATTAACATACCTAAAAATAAATATCAGAATTTTCAAATTTTATTGATAATATAAAAGACTGTTAATTTACTCTTTTAAAACAGTATCAGAAATTTTGGATACATCGACATTTCTTGATTTTTCTGCAGCAATCATAAATCTCTGGCCAGTAATTAAAATATAGTTATTCAAGTCAACGACATATTGCCTTTTTTTCTCTTCTAAATGAATTCCATTTAACTCAAAGTCGAATAAAAATAGTTGACCAACGTGAATGTCTTCTTTTGTCATTGGATATTTATCACCGTTTGTAAGTACTTCTTTCAAGTTAGTATAAAGTCTTTTATTAGTGTTTAACCTGAAAATTAAAATATATGCTTTAGGCTAGGTAAATTGGCTAGCTTAAAAACATTAGTTGGATTTTGGTATAAAATACAAAAATCTCCGTTGCTTATTTTTATTGGTACAAAAACACAGCATTCGCTTAAGAAATAAGGTATAACTTTATATTATTAAAAGCAAGGTAGAATTTGAATAGTTTTTTTTTTTGCATATGATATGAAGAACATATCATGTTACTTTATTGACCAAATGGCAATAGACTCTAGCTGCTATTACTGTCAGAAAAAAAATTACTTTTCAACGATGGAGTTCATTGAAAGACAAGAATCTTCTGCAGCTACAATGAATGATGAATCGGGATGTGCAGTACGAATGAATTCAGCTAAATCAGCAAGACAACAAAGGCTATTGGACAGTTGATCAAACAATGGCACTAGGTTTTTTTTACTGTATACATAAAAATAAAATAGTATATTATAATATTCACAGATTTCAACAATGTTCTAGTATATGAGTTAGTAGTATACATTGAACACAATAAATAATTGTAAGCTGAAAAGCAATACATATTGCCATGAGTTTATACCAACAAGTTTATATCAACAAAATCTAGCATAATTTTAAAGTGAATATTAACTAACATTTACACATATAATACGTTAGTTCTCACCGGTCAGAGTTATAAATTTCTTCAATTAAACTGTCACATTCCAATTTAGTACGTTCTCTAAGTGCGTAGAATCCTTCAAAAGAACAAAGTTCTGGTATACCAAATAATCCCTGTAATTTGTATACAAGTATTACTTATTACTGCTCAATATATCAGTTATTTTTTGTTAATAGACAATAGTCAATATGTTAATTATGAAAAAGTATTGTATTAACAATTAATTTGTAATTAATTTGTATTAATTGTAATATACAATTAACTTACAGTTCGATTATTAAAAAAAAAATTAAATTTTGAATCCGGATAGTTAAACAATTTAGACAGGGACTGTGTTGATGAAGCAGTACTATACATCCTACAATGTCGCACATTGCATATTAAATTTTGGTATAATAGTATACTACGTAATTTCTCCATAATTATTTGTTTCAATGACCAGCAACGCTGTGAAATCTTGTTGAACTTGTCAAAAGCTGAGTTTCACATTATTCAAAACAGGAGTATTATTTTAAATTATTAAGGTACTAAAGAAACTTGAAACTTCACTAGGTAGTTTGTCATAATGTCGTGACTAAAGTCTAAAAATTATTTAATACTTAATTTGTTTATAGAGTATAATAATTAACGTCTGTGTTCACTACAGCGCGGTGTTTAGTTATCGTATCATTAGTTGTCGATTGATAAGAGATTTTATATAAAGCATAGACCTATAAAGATTTCTTTATAGGTCTATGATATAAAGTGCCCCGGACACTGATAAAAATTAACACGGGAAAGATACTTATCACACTATCACACAAAAACGCGGCGGCCATCATCTTAAGGCTACACCACTATAATGTTATACCTAAACGTTATTATTTTTGTTGTGTTTAGATATAACATATACTAATAATAAGGTCTTTACAAAATGGTCGTCACTTTATTTGTTTACATTGAAAGTGACTCGATTTTATCTATTCCGTACTTATACCAAACTGAGAACACCATTGCGCATGAGCACATGACCAAGTGACGTCATCTAGACCCGCCGACAGCGCAGTCACGTCGGCTCACTGGAACTACATGCGTGCTCCGTCTAGTCTTGTAGTATTAGGTCTATTATAAAGTGCGATAACAACTTTGATACCTTATCTCGTTATCATTTGTAAGGAATTAAAAAAAAAATACTTTCCGTTGCTACCATCACTTTTAATGATTTCCGTACAATTTATGATTTAATTGTTATTATTAAAATTCTAAAAAGTTTTGTTTTCGTTTGATTTTTTCATTTTTGTCTTCATGGATTTTGTAAATAATATGTACTTATAATTTGTATTAAATATACCTCAAATTGCTTGATGAGTAGTGGAGATTTGTGATGTAAATTATAAAACCGACAAATAAAAATGTCTTCGAAAAGGTAAAATCCCACCTTAGAATTTATTGTACAAATAAAATAAAATGTATTAATAATGACTACATATGCATTATATTTTTTTTTTTAGCGAATTGAAAAAGTTGTCCGAAGAGAGTTTAACTAGGCAACCCGAAGAAGTGTTTGATATTATATGTAAACTTGGAGAAGGGTAATGAAATTGTTTTCACTTGCACACAAATGAGTTTTAATAATCATTTTGCATTTTAGATCATATGGAAGTGTTTATAAAGCTCTACATAAGGAATCTGGTCAAGTCTTAGCTATTAAACAAGTGCCAGTTGATACAGACCTTCAGGAGATAATAAAAGAAATTTCAATAATGCAACAATGTGATAGTCCTTATGTTGTCAAATATTATGGATCATATTTTAAAAATACTGATCTATGGGTTAGTACTTATAATTTAGATATCTTGACTAAGTAAAACCTTATTTTTATAATATTAATTATTATAATAGATTGTAATGGAATATTGTGGTGCTGGGTCAGTATCGGACATCATGAGGTTGCGAAAAAAAACTCTGTCAGAAGATGAAATAGCAACCATATTATCAGATACGCTTAAAGGATTAGAATATTTACATTTACGGAGAAAAATACATCGAGACATTAAAGCTGGAAATATTTTGTTAAATTCTGAAGGCCATGCCAAACTGGCTGATTTTGGAGTAGCCGGACAATTGACTGTAATTTATAAAAATGGTTTTAAATTTTTTCTTTCTAGATAACAACTTTGAATTATTAATGTATAGGACACTATGGCCAAAAGAAACACTGTTATAGGAACTCCATTTTGGATGGCACCAGAAGTTATCCAAGAAATAGGTTATGATTGTGTTGCTGATATGTGGAGTTTAGGTAAATTGAATGTCAATTATAATTTTAAAAATTATACAAACTGTGAATGAAGGAGAGGTAATTAACTCTTAATAGCAATACTGTATAAAATAGAAAACTAGGAACGTGTTTTAAAAAGAATAGGGTATAAGGTGCTATAAAAAAATTGGTATAATAAAATAAAAAATATAATATTGTCTATATAGGGGTGCCTCTTGTCCTATTGTCTTCGTGAAACACCCTGTATAGTACAAAAGGAAAAAGGCATAAGCGACTCTTGTCAAATAATTTGTAAATAATTGTATTTTAGGCGTTCAATTTTTATTTGTATTGACATTATTTATGCTATAAACATTATTTTCAAAACAATTATCAGTTATGGCTTAAATTGAAGCTTAAGTGCAATGTAACTGACGTAAGCTCTCATAATAAATAAATTAGTGTATAATATCCGCTCCTGTTAAATAACATAGGCTAATAAAATAAAGTGTAAGTCTTAAAAATGTCTAACAATACTCTAGATAGGTAAAAATTTTAAAAATTAATAAATTTTATTGTACTAGTTTATTCAGAATATCTATATCAGAATGTCTATATATTTTTTCTGACTAAAAATTTAATCAATTATTTTCAATTATTTCAATATGTTAAAAACCATTTTAGGGTATTTTGAGAAATATATAGAAATTGTTGTTTACACATTTTTTTTTTTTTTGTCTACCATCACTATTTTAAAGTAAAAGTAACATGTAATTGAAAATCTAGGAATAACTGCGTTGGAAATGGCAGAAGGAAAACCACCTTATGGAGATATTCATCCAATGCGTGCCATATTTATGATACCGACCAAACCACCTCCATCGTTTCGAGAACCTGATAAGTGGTCACCTGAATTTATTGATTTTGTTAGTCAGTGTTTAGTTAAAAATCCTGAAGAAAGAGCAACCGCTTCTAAAATGTTGGAACATGAATTTATAGGTAAATAATTTGAATTTCTAAATAAATCTGAAGAACCTGCAGTTAAAAAATTGTAACTAAAACACATTATTGCATATCCCCACTTTATTATATTATCAATTCATAAAATGGCAGCGTAAGGGTACATCATTGTTTTTTTGATAAATATATAAATAATACCTTTATAAAATAAATTAATTTGATTGGCTAACCCTTACGCTGCCATTTTATTTTTATCGTTGAAAATTTTGATGAAGAAGGGGTAAAAGTGCATAAACCTAGTATATTTAATCATGGTCGTTGGCATCAACTATACTTTTAATTTAAGTGAAATTTACTTTTTAGTTTAAACTACGCTCAAATTTTTAAAACAGTTGGTGTAAACAAGAAAATTTTGCACAATCACAAAAATTTTAAAAAATATATTTTTATTCAAATTTGTTTTAAAATTAATTTTAAACTACTAATTAATTATTATCTTTTATTATAAATGTTAAGTGTATTATAATGTAAATTGCATAATATTATTTAGTTACAATATCAAGGTTTTTTTAGTGCCTATTTTAAATAAAACAAAATTATTATTATCTATATTATAATTTGTAATAAAACTAATTATTATAATTTAAATTTTTAAAAGGAAATGGTAAACCACCAGAAATTTTAAGTCAAATGATAGCTGAAGCTAGAGAAATTAGAGAAAATCAAAATCTTCGCTCAAATACATTATCTTGTGTAATAACTTCTACGGAACCTAAAGATCAAAATTTAAAAGTAATTCTTATTTATTCTATTTTTTATTGTATACCGTACTATACAATTATTATAATTTTATGTAATCAAATTTTCTAGGATGATGACATTGATAGTCGTACAATGATAGTAGATGAAGGTACCCTTGTACCAGATAAATCAAAGGGTACAAGTTTAAAAAGTAATTCATTAATTGAAGAATTACGAACAATGGTTATCAATAGTGACGGAGAAGATGACTCTACAATGAAAAGTATATTATTTTTTGGGAAACCCCTAAAGTTTTTACTTTACAAATATTTAAACTTTTAGGGCATGATACTGGTCCAGAAGAGTCAGGAAAAAAGTACAGACCTTTATTTTTGGATCATTTTGATAAGAAAATAGCAGAAAAGTCAAAAGTATGTAAAATATATGTCAACAAAATCATTGTAACTATTTAATTTTGTACAATTTATTAAAAAAAATGTATTCTGTGTTACTTAATGTTTTTTTGTACTAATGATTTGTTGTTAATTTAGGCTGACAATTTAGTAGAAAATAAATTATTTAATGAGATTTCTAGTTCTGCACAAGATTCAACTCAGGTAATTAAATTCAAGTTTAATATTTTTTATAAAATATTTTTTTATTATACATTGAAGAATCATTACTAAATTTAGACCATAGACCCTGATAAAACAATATCGTCCAATCAATTTCCTATGCCATCAAATAATTGTAGACCTGATGCAAATGTACAAGCCGTGGCCCAACAAAATCGATACTACTCGCCAATTGTTGAAGGAGATTTTGAATTCGTAAGTTTTCAATGATAATGTAGAAAGTAGAATTTTAGTGTACATCTATCATCATAATAATCTATTATTAAACTTCAATTATTTAAAACTATTTTGTAGTTAAAATTTTTAAGTTTTGATGACTTACAACAAAGAATGTCAAATTTGGATTCTGAAATGGAACATGAAATTGATGAACTACGACATCGGTACCAAACAAAACGCCAACCAATATTAGACGCAATGGATCAAAAACGAAAAAGGCAACAGAACTTTTGACGTGTTTTATTAATTATTGCAACTACAACGAACTCATTTTCAAACATTAAAACAATTATAATTTAACTAAAGACTTTACACTAGTAAGGTGCTATTATTATTGCTTGTTAATACTAAGACAGGTGTAACATAGATACACATTTTCTCATAACTTCTATGGTTGACAACATAAAAGTATGTATGTAAATTTGTATCGTTTTAATAGCTTTAAAAAAAAATCTAAGTCATTTTTACTGTTTTTAGTATTATTATTATTGGCAATAATTTATTGAGTTATTAAAATTCTTTTAAGTATCAGTTGTACCTAAATTATCTATATTTTGAATGTGATTTTTCTTGATAAAAGTTTTAACTTCTTTACACTTTTTCAATAATCAAAATATAATTTAATAATTCATGTTATACATTGGAAGTTATATTTTTTTAAATATTTGTTTTTATATAGTTACACTAAATATTTGTTGTTATAAATTTAGAAACAAAATAATGGTTGAAAACATATTTTTATGTTTATTTCAAATATATTCATGATTAAAATATTAGGATTAATTAAATAATTAAAAATATAAAAGAGCAATATTTATAAAAATTATCCGAATATTTTAATGCAATAAACATTTGTATAATATGACTAACATTACCTCTATTTTACTGTATTTAAGTAAAAGTAAGAAATTCCTAAAATATATTAATCTATAAATACAAATTTGAGATTTTATATTATATTTTAGAAATTTTTCCTTAAGAGATCTAATAGTTGTTATTCTAATAATTATATATATATATATATATATATATATATATATATAGTATAAAAAGTTTGTTGGGGAAACATTAATGTCATGAAAAAATAATTAAAAATTGACTATGCAAAAATCAAACACAATTATTGTTAAGTATATATTTTTATAATTGTATAACAAACTATTTTATTCGATAATCAGATAATACTTATTGCTTGGTGTCAAACTTTTTAATGTAGACAGGGTGCGAAGAGGTGTAAAACCATAACCGAGATTTGAAGACTGGTTATTACTAATTTCTTGATAATTGTATCGAATTAGCTTCTGTTTTCAGTCTTATATTTTTTTAATTGTTTATTTTAGTATGTAGATAGTATGTGTTAGTGTATTTAAAAAAAAATATATATATATATAATAAAGTGACTGAATGATTTTTAATTATGTACTAAAAATATTATAAGTAACTATTTTGTACATTTTACTTTAAAATTGTTTTATGTTCAGCTAAAAAGGTGTACAAATTATAATTGTGAACTAATTGACTAACATGTAAAATAAATAACAATCATTACTTCTACAACTTGTTATTTTGTGATAAAAGTGCTATAATGTAAAAGTATATAATAGTGCGATTGTTTTTCAGTGAAAATTTCAAATCAGTTGGGGATGCAACCATTTGTTGAATGCACGTTATGCAATAAGCTTTAGACAATTTTTACAACGTCCAGACAAATTTTGTGACCAAAATCGAAATTCAGAAAGATAATACAAAAGTGTTGTTTCTTGTGTTTTGTTCCAAAATTGTGTTTTCATTTTATAACAGACACTACAAAAAGTATTTAAGGAATTATTAGTATGGTAGATCGCTTCTATATAAAAAGATACTGCACTGTGTACATTGATATTGTGCACGTTGTTTTCTCAATTTGTATAGTCTATGTAAACCATGAAATCATAATAATTAGAGCTTGATAGCCTAACATGGCAATAAATAATAAAAATTACGCGCTACTGTCACTTAATTGAGTAGTAGAGAAAAACTCAATGTACATGTATTTGTGTTCTCGCGTGTGGCTGCACTGAATTATTAACCCGTCATATTATAGTGTTAGACTTATCTCAAAAGTCGCGAAAAAGAAAAAAATTAACTTTTCTCGTTAGTTTGTGGGTGTTTTTCTTTGATTTCATGATAAATATTTATTTACCGTACTTGGATTTTCGCAGTTTTTCAACGAGTAATTAGTAAAACTATGGAACCCGGGCTAGCATAGGAGAACTTGGCAGTTTGATTCGTATCATCAGAGGTTTTTCAAACTTGTCTTCAAAATCGTCGTCATTGACGGCGAGTCGTTGTTGGTATAAGAACAATCGGCATTCGAAATGGTAAGCGGCAAACACCGAGAGCACAAATAATAAATTCCACAATAATATAGTTTACAAATAACATGATTACCAATAACTTGTTTATCAAACATTTTACGCGCACATTATTGTTGTGTTCAAAATAATGAACGGTTTCAATTCGATAGAATTGAGTGTACAGTCGTCATCTATGTAATAATTGTCTGTATTCAGTGTTAAATCATTCGCTATTATTATTTTAGGCATTTTTTATGCGTCTATATACGAATACTTATAAACGTTAGATAATCTAAATTTACATACATAATAATGATATAATATGTCAGAATCTGTTCTTCAGTGAAGATTTATTATCACCATAAAGTACTTCATGTTTTATAATGTAATCATTATTCATTCAAATTTTACCTAGATGTTTGTGTATGAGTATTTAGAGTTTATAAGCAATGCATAGATTGCTCATTCTAGTACTTGAAATAATTTCTAAATAAATACTGGGGTATTAAGAAAAATAACAATACAACATATATTTTATATTTATGAATTATTTTTAGACTAACTATTTCGATGTTTGTTTAAGTAAACAAGGTTTCTAAATTTGTATTTATATTTGAGGTGCATAATTAAGTTCTATCAACATTTAACATACAGTAGTGTGTTGTAAACATAAAACTGCATATACAAAGTTTATTATATTATAGAATGAATATAATAAATATCAAATTGAAGAAAAGCTTCCCTAAGTGAATAATATAAAATTTTAATTATTTTATCAGTTAGGCAAATAAAAAAGAATTAAAACCTTTTCGAAATTCAGCAAATTCGACATTATAGTCATTTTTTTTTATTGATACCACAAAAAGGGATAGGTTTCAGATATTTAAAAACAATTGTATATGAAATATCTATTTATAAATTATAATTAGTTATGTGAAAACATTTAATTTAATCTCATTTTTTGTTTTTTAACTTAGACATTTTTTGGACTTGGTCAAACAGCCGAAGTAGAAATAATACTAGATCGGCCCGATGGAAAGAAGAAACTTGACGAGAATAGTAAAAAGGATCAGAGCTTAATTTACTATGATGGAGAAACAGTGTCCGGAAAAGTAATTTATTTTTGTTTAATGATGTACTAAATTATTAAATGTAATGTTTTTTGTTTACCTACTATTTTTTCATTCAACTATGTGTAGGTATGTTTTTGTTTGATATGGATAATCTTTTGACTTAAATTAATGTATATTCATTTTTACGTTAAAAGTTAAAAGAAATATTAAAAACAATAAATACTATTTTACCTTTAATCTTATAAATTATGTACATAGTTTAGGAAGTAAAACACTTGGTAATTGTTGTGAATTTTTTTTTATAACAGGTAAATGTTGTATTAAAAAAGTCGAGTAGTCGTCTGGAGCATCAGGGTATCAAGGTTGAATTTATAGGTCAAATAGAAATGTATTATGATCGAGGAAATCATCATGAGTTCACGTCACTAGTCAAAGAGTTAGCCAGACCTGGTGAAATGTTACAGAATACTTCGTATAATTTTGAATTCTTAAATGTAGAGAAGCCATACGAGACTTATACTGGTTCTAATGTTAGATTAAGGTATGTACTAGTATTTAAATATATTATATAGTGCTAATAAGCTTTTTGTGTTTGATTTTCCAGATACTTTTTAAGAGTTACCATTATACGAAGGATTTATGATATTGTTAAGGAAATGGACATAGTTGTTCATACCTTATCCTCTTATCCAGATATGAACAATAGTATAAAAATGGAGGTTGGAATTGAAGATTGTTTGCATATTGAGTTTGAATACAACAAGTGCAAGTAAGTTTTGCTGTGCACGAAATAAAAACAAAATTACAGTATGGTTAGGGTTGTCTGATGATTTCCAATATTTTTGTTTTACTTTTACTCCTTAGATACCATTTAAAAGACGTGATTGTCGGTAAAATTTATTTTTTACTGGTACGGATAAAAATTAAACATATGGAAATAGCCATAATTAAACGGGAGACTACCGGATCTGGTAATATAAATATTATTATTATTAATATTTTACAATATAAGTAAAATGAGAACAAAAAAATGTACAATTGTGAATTTATATTTAGATTGTTTTTTTTCTTCTCCTACGGCTTAACCTTTCAATGAAAGTAGACAATTAAAATAAGAATTCCTTCAAATTTCAGATCCTAGTTTAATTCTTAAGCACTCCCTCATAATTTTCTTTTGCATTTGATTAACATAGAAAATAATAAACAATTTCAACTTGAAAATTAATCAAATATGTTTAATTGTAAAAAAGATTCTTAAAGCCTTAAATATTATAATTGGAAATCCTTCTTTTGATATTTTGTAAAATAATTTTTTCATAGTAAGTTATCAAGCTAACAGTTTTATCAATTTAAATGCGCTGTAACTTGATAAAACAAATTTTCATTGTGATTTACCTAGAGAGTGATTATTAAGTATCATAGTTCAGCTTTAAGAATCGTTTATTTAAAAATTTGATTAGTTTTTAAGCTAGAATACTTGAAATTTTAAGGCTTTTTTATCGAACTGATCAACAATTTGTTTTAAATACTATTGTAAACATTGTAATCAGGTCAGGCAAATCTTCAACATTCCAATTGGTATTATTTTTATTAACTATTATATTTTGTTATTTTGTCTATTAGGTCCCAACACATTTAATGAAAATGAAACTATTGCAAAGTATGAAATAATGGATGGTGCGCCAGTACGTGGAGAGAGTATTCCTATTCGGGTATTTCTTGCTGGTTACGATTTGACACCTACAATGAGAGATGTCAACAAGAGGTTTTCTGTGAGATATTTTTTGAATCTAGTTCTAATGGATGAAGAAGATAGGCGCTATTTTAAACAGCAAGTAAGTTCATATGATTCTAAAAACTAACAAATTACACTTTTATTAAACTAATAGTTTCATCACTCAACAAAAAAATTGCTGGTGTAAATGTACTTTATGCAGATAACAAATCTGCGAAAATTTAACTCAACTTTTTTTTAAAGTTGTTGTTTGCAATTATGATTTATAACGGTAAGGATTATTATGATCCTCAAAAAAGATGGTAGAATAGTAATTTTACTGATTAAAAAGGATAGGTGGCTCAGAACTGTACAAAATATGATTAAGAATAAACTAATCATCCAAAAATACTTAATTAAAATTTAATAAAATCATAATTTAAAGTTTTAACGGTAATGTGTAATATTAGTTTAGCAATTAGGGCTCTTTTTTGGTAGTTAATTAATTTTTCAAACTATCACAGCATCCTTGACAGGGATTTTAAATATTTTTTTCATTTAAATATAGCTATGCAGAATGTGTTTAATTAGGTCCATGGTTGTTTTAGAGAAAAACCACCTATTATGAAATCGAAAGATAACAACATTTTGGAGACAATGTCTATCTGATTTTGAAAATAATAATGTAAAAAAGAGTTATAGCTATTTTCATCATCATTATGTAAGCCTAACAGGCCTTGAAAGCTCCATCATGCGATGATGGTTTCCAGAAGAATGCGCTGTCTGCGACGGTTTTTCATGAATTCGCTATCCGGGACAGTTTGTCAATCCTTTGCTGTTGGCGGTTCCTTTTCACCAGATGTTTGCTCGCCCGGCAAACGGAGGACCCGTGACCAAGTTTCGAACCGGTGACAGTGAGCGCTAACACACTGCCGCCTTACCCACTCGGCCACTCCTCTACTCCTAGGCCCAGGCCGTATAGCTATTTTAAAAAAGTTAAATATTATGTTTATCAAAATAAGGATATGACATTGCCTCAAAAATTGTGTCATCATTCGTTTTCATTATAGGTATTTTTGCTCTAAGGAGCGAGTTAAATGCATTCTGCGTAAGTATGCTTTAACGCTGGAAAGTGGATGTATAATATCATCTTAAACGTTAATCGGGGCGGTGTGGCGCAGTGGACACCTCAGCTGACGCGTGGCTCTTGAGGTTAAGCTGTGGCCGTTGCTGCTTGAACCCGGATGGGTGACCACCCAGATTTTTAGCGGCGACCCACACCATCCACCCCTGATAAGCATGGCAGAATTGCTATGCGCCCGCAGGCGACCAAACTGGCATAAGTTAGCTATAGTCCTTCCGGTCAAATACGCCATTCGAATATTATTATTATTAAACGTTAATTATTTCTCAACTAATTGTGAGCGGCACAACATTGCATATTCTTGATTGGCATACAAAATATTATTGGATTGGCATTTGATAGTGTACATTTAAAATTTAGATCTGTACACCCAATCGTCTCTTAAGATATTACATAGAATTCTCATAAATTAACAAATTTACATAGCTTACGTAAATGAATACTGATTGTTGCATGTTATTATATGTGATACCCAGCAAATTATAAAATAAAGAATTTCAAACATTTACTTCAACAGGAAATAACACTATGGCGAAAAGGGGAAAAAAATATTAAAGGAATGCAAAATCGTAATGAACCTTCTCATTTGGTATCGGGCAAAGATGGTCCTAAGGGCAGTGAAACTCCTCGAACAACAACTCAGGCAGTCCAACCATCTGGTTCATTCGACAACACAGATTCTGAAAATGATCATAATCATTCCTCTCCCCCCACAGTTGAAGAAGAAGGTGGCGGTGACCAGCAAAATCAGTCTTCTATTGAAGATTGTACAAGCGATTAATACATATTTTGTTAACATTTATTTAGAAATTTTAACGAAATGCCATTTATATAGATTCCGAATTTTTTTTAGCAAATAAAATGTTTTGATACCATGGAAAATATTAGTATATTATGCCTATTCCTATTAACTGGAAAACGATATGTACATGTTAACTGTTTAACCATCAATTATTTATATTAATAATTTTACCATATAATAAATTCTAGGATAATATAATATAATATTTAAACAATTTATCAGTTGTATAATTTATATTAACAAAAAATGGTGAATTTTGTACGTGGCTAATAAGTAATTGTTATTTATAATAATAAAAAAAATATATATATACATAAAAACATTATCATAAATAATTAAATTGATATATTGTGTAAAAAGAAAAATATATTTTTTATACACAGTTTAATCTGTTATTACTTATTTTCATAGACTTTCTATAGGTACCTAATTGTTATTGTGATTTATTGTTTACAATTTTTTAAATTATTTAATTTGTAATGAAATATACATTTTGATTAAAGTAGTTAAAACGTTTAAGGAATTATTAAATATTATATTCTTGTACCTTAAGTTGTATATATACATTCTTTATATATATATATATTTATATTTATATTATTAAATATCAACTATGAATTATTAATAAATCTATTACTATTATTACTTATGGAATTTATGCATTTAATAGACTTTGCAAAATTACATCAGCTAATTACAATAATTATATAATAGTAATATATTATTATGGATTATATTTGTGTTCATTATAAGAGCATGTATTTTTTTTTTTTAATTATACGTATTTATTATTGTATTTATATATTATTTAATTTTACTGATTTAAATGTGTATCATATAAATGTAATAAATATATTTAATATATTAATATGTAATATTATTTTATATTTATATTTTGATATTTAATATATCAATTTATTAGCATAAAGTGAGCTATTTGGTAAGTACTGTAAATATATAATTGTAGTAGCTGGTACAGACAGGACAACAGCTATATCGGCATAAACAAATGTCTTATTTTCAACATGACTTCTATCTCCTGGTATTTGTTTGACAAACTACGGATTATTCGTTCTTGTGATTTAATGATTTCATTCATGAAGAATTCCAGGGCAAATTTTTCATCGGCCATTTTGATGAAGTATTCTTTTTGTCCTGATCTAAACGCGTAGCAGCTGTTCTTATTTTGCAAATTAGCCACTAAATCGTCCATGAACTGTTCACATCTCTTAATCTCGTAGTCTAGTGCTGTCGTTTTGGAATTTAAATGATCAGTCAGCATCAAAGCGTTTTTCAAATATTCGGTATGTCTGTATGTGATAAGAAACAAAAAAATATTGGAATAAAAATACCTGAAAAGCCTTTAATATGGCCACTAAGTGTAAAAAAGTGATGCAAACATAAAATAACATAAGATCTCTTATGTATGTTAAATATTGAATTGTTTATAATAAGTTTATCGTTTAAAGATACTTAACATAGTTATAAGCCAAATAAACGTTTTGAGTTGATACTTTTCGGTTATTAATGTTTAGTTCTATACATTTTGATGTTTAATAAAAAACATATTTGTGTGTTCAAATAAAATGTGAATTTTTTTCTATTCTGAAATCATCATAAAGTTAAGTCACCAGAGTAAAAGTTGTACCTTTAACTTTTATTATGTGCAAAATTAAAGTTTTAATAAAAAACTAATATGTATTCAAAAACTTTGATTTTAACATTTTTTCCTGAGAACTTTTAAAGTGAAAGTTTTATTTTGAAAATTGTGGCCACTACTCTTACCCGCCTTACCGACTGCGGTAAGTACGCTCGCTTGCATTACCTTTGCAAGTAAAGCCTTACCCAGTACATTTGTTGGCGATTTTGTTTTTGACATCCGTCAGACTCTCAATGTTGGTCATCAAGTAGGTCATGATTTCTGGATAATTAGACGGCGCGTTGCACTGTGAACAATGCGCATCCGAACGCAACGCCATTAGCATGGAAATAAACGAATTCATCCGTGCCGATTGCGGACAACGCAAAATAGGGGGCAAGGCGGTTTCCGGCACATGACATTTGCAAGACTCGCCGGGGCCGTGGAAAAACTCGAAGGCGTCGCTGGTGCCCAACATCTCGTAGTGCTGGCTGACGTAGGCCAACCGATATTCCAAGTCGCACCTGGCCAGCGGTTTGTAAACGGCCACTTCGCATTGGTTTTCTGCGCATTCCGGTCGAACTACGACGCTGGCCACCATTTGCGACACCGAGTGGAAGTTCGACGGCAATACTACTACCATGTCTTTACGGTTCTTCGCCATGAAGTCCGGCACCGAATATTGACAAAGCACATTTTTGTCCACATCTTGTCGGCCAGCGCACGTGAGCCTAACCCAATTTCGCATCGATTCGACTTGTTCAAGTGATCGAGTTCGAGAACAAGCAACCGTATAAAATCCAGTGTAGCGCGAACTACGGATTTGTGCAAAACACGTCATAATAGCACCGGGAAGTTCCCGTTATTTTGGTGATATCATACAGGAAGCTAATAGACCACCTCGCGTATGCCGAATGTTCTGGGTACGTCATACAAATGTGGGGTGGCTTTATTGGCTTCCAATTTGATGTAGAAAACATAACAGAAACATCTTGTTTTTTTCATATCACGACGTTGTGATCAAAAATCAAAAGACAGTAGCCCAATAATAGGTGTTACTTGATATCCTTACACTAGTATTTGTTTGAATTTTGAGAATTGGTGGTCATAGGGGAAATTTATTAAACGAATTGGGTACCAACTACAAAGAAGGTTTTGTAAATAAGAAAATTCTACAGAAAGAAAATTCAAACTGCAAAAGATTTAAGGATCGGGCGTAGTAAATAAACCTGTTAAAATAAGTAAAATAATACGTCTTAATTATTAATAAGTACTTACGTAGGTATCGATGTTTAAATGTTTGTCTAGTACATATAATTAACAATTTTAACAAGTAGGTGAGTATTTTACAAGTTTTTAATTAAATTATATTCTTTAACACCATACTATTGTGTAGTTCATTGAATAGTAAAAAAAACTACTATCATTATTTAAAGACAACATGGCAACACATAAGGTTGGAAACGAATCTTACACGTTGTCATGGAGTTTAAATTTCAACTAGCTCATATTAAATTTACACTTGGAAAATTATAAGCCTCCTCATCAAGTCGTATCTGACTTCTTTATTTACGTTTGTTATATAAACAAAGTTTATTAGAGATTGAAATTATAGAGATTATCGAGAGTAACTTTAACGGATCTATGACGAACATGGTATAGTCAATGTAAAAATCAACGTTAACTATTAAGCCGTGGAAAAATCAAAGGCAAACAAAGTTTTTTTAAGGAGATTGCATGCGGTTTTTTTTTATGTTTTAGACTAAAAACCAGACAAAATTTCGACTACTTAGGATTGTACGATTTCAATTCTGTAAAGATATACGAGTTCTTCGGCAACTTTACTAAGTTTTGTAGGAAATAGATTTTTGATTTTTTGCTTTTTGTTTTATAAAAACTTGGGTTTTAATATTGAAAAAATTGGAAATTTAATTTATTTAGTTACAAGAAACAGACATTTTTAAATGAAAATCGGCTTTCTATCTAACACAGTAAAGTAGCAAAGCACTCGATTCTCTTTACAGAATTGAAATTAGACCATCCTATATCGAAATTTTATCTGGTTTTTGGTCTAAACAAAATAGCTTTTATTCCTAGCAAAAATTATTTAAATTAAAAATAATACATTGAAGCTTATATAAATTAACCGGTAAATTAATTGACATGATCGAAATTTATTAAAACCCCTTTTTTCTTAAACATGCCTATACAAAACGCCTTAAAAACAGACCGCATGCAATCTCCTTAACACAAATGCTAAAATAGTTTATTATCCACAGTAATAATTACTCAAGAAAAGCAACAATAATTCAAAATTGTGTTTGTATGCTGACATGCACATTTATACAAATGAATAGACATACACGAATGATGGAAATATATATATATAGATCTTTTAGAAAACTTATTTTGTTATATTGAATTATTATATATTTAATTATTGTATAATTAAAATAAAAATATAAATTAACAAAAGTTATAATTTATTTACGTACAGCTGTTGTGTATGCGATTTCACATTTGAATTTTAAATTATGACTTTGTTATTTTTTGCCCATTTTTTCATCATTCGTATCATATTTTCGACTTGTGAGTTTGATGAATTTCTTAGTAATTGAATGATATCTGCTAGTTGATCACTGAAAATATTATTGGTGTTAAAAATAATAACAATTTAAAAAAATTATTTTGTTAAAAATGATTACATTTAAGAACATTTTCTTATCTACCATGGTGTTAAGTGGTAATAACTAAGGGGTTCTTTGCGATTGTAATACAATGTTATACAAAATAATTATAGTATGTATAAAACTAGTCATATGGGTTACATCATTTTTTTTTATCATAATAAGTATCATTATTATAAGCATTAGGGGATAAAACAAAATATTTTCTCTATAATTATCCAAAAGTAATAATTTTACAATTATTGTAATTCTTTCGTGCAGCTTCTAGTTCCCTCGTCACTAAATTATTTTTAAGAAAATAGATTTTTTTTATTGTTTAAATAAATTGACTAGAAAATGTAAAAAAATGATGTCATTTCAAATTTTATATAATTTTGAAAAATTGAAATGGGTTATTTTTATTGTAATAAAAGGAAAAACAATTCTGACCACCATGCCATATTCAATCTTTTTTAACTTTAACAGGTCTGAGACCTCTGTTATTTTTATATAATATAATATGTGTACAGGGATTCCGGAGGTCTTTTCCGAAAGTTTTTTATAGTCTAAACGAGGATTGTAAATTTGGACTAATCAAAAATAATGACCAAGAAATTCTAAGACAATATTTTAATAGTTATAATAATTTGATTGGCTATATAATAGTATAATATGTAGCCTGTAGGATTTACGAACTTTGATTGTTTTCCAAGAACGATTTGCTGAAAAACTCCGGCGCAGGCACCGCGTTTTCCTTCCCAATATTCGGGTAACAAATCCAATCTTTCTAGCATATCAAAAGCTTTAGCTGCTTGCCAAAATTGATTAGTTTTATAGCAATCGTTTGCAATTGATTGCAGTATTATTATAGAATCTTGAGAGTTTTCCATTTTTAAATACAAATCCCAAGCCAATTGTGGCTTTTTGTTCATAATAACTAAAATCATCAAATCAATATTTTTACATAAGAAGATATTCTATTTGAATTTTAAACGTATTCTGATATTTGTCGACACGTGTCTAAAAACGATCTGAGTTATAAGTATAAAACGCCAGCTATGCATAATAGTCGATCGATTCTTAAATAGAAGTGATATAACTCATTCGTAACTCGTTTTTGAAGTACCTAATTATAGTTTATAACTTACAGCAATGTGTTAAATGACTTTTATAAACGAAACTTTCCCTTATTGTAGTATTTTTAACTTGTAAATACATTTCTTCCGCATCTTTGTATTCGCCCAGAGCTAATTTTACCTAAAAAAAAACCAAAAGATAAGTATTGTTCATATTTAATAATAACTATGTACGTCTAAGGTGACCGTCAATAGTTACCTACCACCAATTTATTTAGCGGTAGTTAATACTTTAATTTGATAGTTAATGGTATACCTGAGCAAAATTGAAATTGAAACTATCGTCTTTTGAAAAATAACTCTTTATGGAACTTAAATACAGACTGACTTCGTCGTAACGTCCTTCCAAAAAGAGAGACGAAGCCATACATTGTCTTCCTGGTATGGTATCGCACTCGCTGGAACTGCTACCGACCATATTGAACAAATGTTGTCCGGTCTCGATTTGTTTTGACTGAGAAGTGTATTAGATAAGAAAAAAAAATTGCATCGTCAGTAGGTATTAATTACATCATTAATTATAATAGATTGTCAATTATGGTTGTACGTACATCCCCTTTTTCTTGGCCTACAACCACATTAACAATAGCTTTTAATATGTATTCCTGTGGAATAGCAGGTTCCAAGTCTTTGATTAGTTCGTATGCTTCTTCGTTGTTTCCTTGTTTTAAATAATAAACCACCAAGTTGAGACGAGCTTCCGGAAGGATATCAACGAGAGGCGGTAACACTTGTAAGGCTCCTTCTCCGTCTCGGAATACGACCATGTTGTGCTTAATTAGGTCTTCGCAAAATTTAAACGTCGACGATCGTCTTGCCTTTAATTAATACAAATAGTCTGTGATTTATGGTCCTCAAAGTATATACTATAGATATACAGCATGATTCATTTAGGATAAGTAACTCATTTTTGTTTAAATAATCGCAATTTTCTAGTTTTTATTTTTGAAAACATTTTTGTCTATGTTATTTCACAATATTAATAAATTATTAAATAATACCTTTTTTTAGTATTATTCATAGCTCTATCAACTTTTTAAATTTAAATGGTAACGTATATATTTAGTTAACTATTTAAATTAAGAATAATTTCATGAACATTTTTACTGGTCGATAACCAGTTTTGGATAATTACTTTTTAAGTTACAAAGGTTTAAAATTTAGGATGGGAGCGGGGAGGCTCGTTAATGTACTGCACTCCACTTCCCGTCCTAAATTTTAAACTTTGATAATTTTAAAAGTATTTATTCAAAACTGGTTATCGACCAGTTAAAATTGTCAGGAAACTATTTTCTATTTAAAAAGATAATTAAATGTATACGTTACCGTTTAAGTCTTAAAAGTTGATAGTGCTCGAAAAAAAGCTTAAAAGTTAATAATTTGAATTTTGTCTTATATTGTAAAATTACATAAGCTGAAGTGTCGCCAAATTGTAAAACTACCAAATTTCAATTATTTTGGGAAAATATGAGCGTCTAATTCTTAATTATCACGCTGTAGTTGTGTTAGTGTATTACTATCAGATTTTTTAATTCTGCTTCCGCCGCTTTGCCGTCGTAAAGTCTGTACAAATTGCACGCTTTTAAATTTAGTAGTATCATGGAATCAGGATATTTTTTAATGTACACGTCTAATATTTCTTGAGAGATATCATAAAAGTCTAATTTGTAGTAACATAGAGCCATATAAACGTTCAACGCCAAGAATTTTCTGTAAAAAAAAAAACAAGTGTATCTATTTAGGTATAATATATTAAACATATTAGCTACGGCCTACGATTGTTGTATGATCATTTTTTAATTATTTTTTTATAGAAAGATTATAAAGATTTGATTGACCTAGAGTATAATGTTTGTTTTGTATTGTGTGTAAATCAATATGCACCTATTGTTGACCATTAGTTTTTTATAAATGTCGATTGCTTCTTGGTAATGCGATCTCAAGTAATGTATGGCTGCAAGGGATATTTGATCTTCTACAACGTCAGCTAAAAGCTCGTGAAATTCCATGAGCTTTTTCTCGTCGCCTTGCTTGTGTGCCAAATGAAATTGCAATCGGATTTTCACTTCAGAGAAATCAGATTTTTGTAGAACCTTGTCAATATATAATCTTAAAATAATATTTAACGGTTTTTAATTATTACAATATCAATACATTACTTCGTCGGCTTCTGGATACATGCCTAGATAAAAATAACAGCAAGCTAAATTCACAAATACATGTTTTGGTTTCGAATTCTCACTAAGCTTCTTATAAATGTTCATTGCGTTTTTATAGTCGCCTAGGTGAAAATAACAATATGCTACCCATTGTTCCAGTTCTACGTCTTCTTTTGATTTTTCCAAATCAAACTAAAATATTAATTAATTATGTGTTAATTTTAAGTAGTTGTACATAGGTATGACACATAGGACACGCGGAACATCCAAAGACAATAGAAACGATTTAACTACATACATCTACGTATATTGCTTCTCCATATAATTTTACACATAAGCACAAATGAGTTAATTCATCTTAAGGGGGATCGGTAAAAATATAGATTGATCCATTGTATTATACTCATAAGCCGACATTGATAATAAGAAAATATTATAATGATTTATGGATGTGAGAAGCTGTAAAGAATATTATAGTGGTACCACCTTCATTTAGGTGGCGAGAGAAACTGGCTAGTTAATTTAAAATTTTCTAATTGGTTTTTAATAAGGCGACAACGTACTCGGTAGTCTAATAAAATTATAGCCATAAACCTAGATCGTTGGCGAAAGATTAACCGTTAATTCTCAATCTCGGACCCCCTACAAACTTTTGTACTCATTTTTAGAATTTTTCCCTCTGTCCAGATCATCTCCCAACACCACAGTTTTAGTTAAAGACTCTAGTTTTAGTTATTTTTCATTCATAATAATTGTCAATATGATTACGGTTTAATAGATTTCAGGTTGATTAGATTTTGTTGATAGGAAATATGAATGTCGTGGTTATAAAAACAAATTACAAAATAATGGTATAAAATGAAACTATTTTTCCATAAAAAAAAAACAAACTACTAAGCATAACCAATATATTTTATCCACTGACTACTGAGCCATTTTATTTAAGTTCAAAAAATAAACATTTAATGCGAATTGTGTGATTTTAAACTAGAATCTAGATGACGCAACTTCCAGTGAAAGGGCTCTACTCTTTCAAACACCATCTAGCTTTCCCCTTCCAATTAAAAATATACGAAGTTCACAGACCATAGTTTAACAGTATTATGATTTTTTCTTATAACTGACGGGAGTTTTTAGATGCTACAAAAAACACCCTGTTAACTTCCAACAAATTTAGTATAAGTAGGTCAAGGTCCCTAATTATACTTTTTTCAGGCCAAGGCAGATTGTGTGGACGGTCATGTTGACTGATAAAATATTGTTATCGGGCTATGTAAAGTGTGAGCACTCCCATCTTGAATCAATGCATATTATAATCAGTATTTAATAATTTTAAAAACATTATTTTCTGCTTACTTTATTTACATTGTAGTCGGGGCTTTACTTATAGTTATCACAAGAAATGCTTATTATAATTTTTTTACTAGGCACCAAACATTTAAAAAAATATACAATAATAATACATTTATTTATATAACCAAGGGCGCCCGCAGTTGAAAATTCAGGAGGGGACCGCCTATGAATTTGTAATAAATTTTACAAATTTAGCATATTAGATATACATTTTTTTAACTTGCGGAAAAGCTAGGGAGGAGTTGTTCCCCCTGCCCCCCCCCCCTGAGGACGCCCTTGCTATAGACTAGTGACTACAGTGTGAAACAGAGGATTTGGTGCATATTATTATTACATAACGAGTAGAACTCAATGAATACTTTTAATATGGTGAGGGCTCCTGTGTAATCTCTTTTCTGTATCAAATCTTTAGATGATATTTTATGATTATAAGATACTTGTTTTTCCTCAGATTGCGGTTCTACCGCTGGTTTTACCCGCGACAATAACTAAAACGATGTACACATTTTTAAGTATAATACTTTTTATTAAACCAAAAAAAGTTTCGTATAAAAAAAAATAATGCTTTATTACAACTTACCATTATAGATGGAGTATAATTATTTAATTAAACCAAACCTTTTTTCGTTTTGAAGTTGAGAAGGCAATTTTACTTATATACATACCTATTACACATTATGGCGACAGTCTAGCTTTGTAATTGTAGTGGTTTGTATTTCTATGGCAACTGCTAATTATTTGATAATACATTGGTTTTATTGATATGATTGAAATGTTTGTTATTTACGTTTAGCTGATGTATTTATTATAATTTATAACATAAGTCTATGCTGGATACGGGAAACCTATAGGCAGGCATGGCCCATCGTAAAATATTAAAAGTGTACAATTTAGTACTTAGTATTTACTAATGTTTACACGAGTTCCAAATTAGGAATTGATTATTTAATATAAATATTTAAAAATTAAAAGGCCGTTAACCTTTATTTTGTAGAGAAGTTCAATGACCCTTTGTTACAAAGTATAATTCTTGGATCAAATTATAAATATATATGATTTGAGGTATCAACTGTTATAGGTGGTAGTGGTACGCATAACTCATTAGCGTTCATTGTCAGCATGGTGATTGGTGCTTTGAAAAATTGACCTTGGTATTCATATTCGATGTTTCGAGTAGCCACGTTCTACCATAACCTTAAATTATCATCACGATTTGTTATCAACTTCCTCCGGATAAGACTAAATTTTTCTGTGATTAGTGTTCTACTTTCCCGAGTTCGTTTGGCTACTTACTGTTCTTGCCTGCCTCGAAGTTATGTATTTTGATTTAGGTCAGTGACCTTAAGCCGGATGTTATTTTTGCATTAATTGCATTAACTAAAATGTGGATTTTTAAAAACTCTAAAGTTTATTATTTATTATAACTTAAAATAAATGTTTGCATTGTGATTCGTGTAAATGTTATCAATATGTATTTTATAATTTGTTTGTTTGTAAATTCATTTCTTTAATTTACGTTTATTATTTTTTTTTTTATATATTTTTATAATTGTTACGTTGTGGAGAATAAAAGAAAATGATGGCTGAGTATAGTGAAATCAATTTAACAAGTCAAGAGCTACAAATGTTGTCGGATTTAGACAGGTGCGTGCTACTGCAATTATATTTTGCATTACAGCTAATTGCTTACTTACTATGTAAATGTATTCTAATAACTAGGATATTTAATTTCAACTTATTATTCAATGTTGTAAAAAAATAATTTCATAGACGGACACAGTGTTATGTACGGATTTTACTTAAAATCTTTTAAGTTCATTATAGTGATATATTATGTAGCTTAATAATAATGAGAAATATAGGTGGAACCTATAAATAATAGTTGTTATAGTAAAAAAATATAACCAAGAATTATTTTTTCCTTAAAGACCGCATTCGATTCTATTAAGACTCTAAACAACAAAAATTTGTTCATCGGTTTCAGATATCTGCAAGTGGAAAGAAAAATAGCTAAAATAAATACACATATTTTTTAACTGTATAAAACAAATCATTTATTTAAAATTTTTTAAATTTATAATTTGTATCTTTTTGACAAGCTCTTTGTAATGAATGAGCTTAGAATCAACTTTCTATCTCTTATAGTTTAAGAGAGAATTGAAAATTAAAAATTTTAAGATCGTAATATGAATATTTTTTTTAAATTCAATATTAATCTATAAATCTGAAATCCAATCTATCCGTTGTATATTATTTAATATTAAAGCTATGACGAAATCTTCTCACTTTTAGTGTGTAGCGTTTTTTTTTTCTTATTCACAACAAGCTCTTAGAGTTACAGAGTAGATTTTTTTTCATTTCATTTACCATAATAACTTGATTTTTTAAAAATCAAGAATGTAAAATTATTAAGTCATTTAATTTGATTAGTTATTAAATTTGTTATTATTTCTGTAATATTGGTCCTATTTAATTTTACTAAATTATCAGTTCAAAACATATTTATATATAAGTAATGAGTGTGTTATCAATTATCATTATTATTGCAATAGAATATAATTTACAAATACAAAAGATGATAATAATATTATTTATTGTTATGAGAGAAAAATATTTTGATATAATTACATGTATAATTTTAAAATGTGTGTAGTTTTTTGTAAAATAAAAAAAATATTTATATACTCTTAAAACAAAGCCGTTAGTATGTAAATATTTGAAAAAAAAATTGTATTTATAAAAAAATTTAAAACTACGCTGCATTTTTTGATATAGTATAGGTAAGTTATTATTAGCAAATATTGTTCTTAAATATGTAATATATGATAAATTCAATGTACAACTATTTTGTTACCCATGTCATCTCATTTCATTTTAATATTATTTCATTTTATACTGATTTTTCTCTTTATTTTTAAATAAGTGAATAATAATTTAACATTCAACTATTTCATATAAATAATTGATTTCATATGTTTATTTTCTAGTCGGATGTACGGCTTCTTGAAGTTAAATGATCCAAAAGAAGAAAAGAAAAAAAACCTTGTACTCAAAGTATGTATATTACAAATGAACATATAAGTACATTATGTACTTAATGTAAATAATTACCAAAAAGAGACTCTATAAGCAATGTTTAAATATATTGTTATTTAAATAAGGCTGTACTGAAATTTAAGAACAATTTTACATTGTCTTTGCTGTGAAGAATCAAAATTAAATATGATTTTTTTTCTAGTTGAATGCATGTATTTTAATACTTTTTATAATGCAATATTTTAGTTTTATATTAATTTGCAGTTTTGGTAAATTTCAGCTGGTTATTTTATTTTTGTGACATAATTACTATTTATTAATAAACTATTATATTTACATCTACATAATGATAAAAAAATATGTTTAAAAACAAAAAGATTTTATTTTTATTCAAGTTGTATTTGTTTACTGTTTAGGCCATTAAATATCTTGAAAGGATGTTAATGCAGATGCATAAAGAAAGAACAGAAGATGAGTCTTCAAAAGCAATTAATATTGATTCAAAAACATATTGCAAACTAGGACATTTTCATTTGTTGCTAGAAAATTATTCCAAAGGTAATTTGCTGTATTTGTTGTTTTGGAAGTATGTTTTTACTTTATTAGATATTAAAACTGACACTATACGTATAAAAAAACATTAAAAAAACTTGTTTAAAGTAATTAATAATTCCTTTCATTTCCAAGGTTGACTTTCATTTTGATTGATGTATTATTACTTTTTTTTAACTACTTGAGAGCATCTTTATTGTTTTTTACTACGCCACATCAAATTATTAAAATATTATGTATAATCTCGTTTTTTTCTAATGACTTCCTTTTATATTACTGTATGTACTATAACTACTGTGCCTTCAGGACTACCAGTATTTGAGTAAAGGTGTTTGATCATTTTTTTTGTTTGAAAGAGGTAAACTTTTATTACGACTATTTTAATTTGTTAAATAAGAGATCTATCTAGTAAACACAAGTCTCCTTTTAAAAAAATATGTTATGTATATTTCCCCATAACATTTTGGCCGAGTTTCCCTACTCAATATTAATATATACTAATTTTGTTTTAGCAATGTCTGCGTATCACAAGTATTATCATAATGCAGAATTTAATCACTGGAAAGATGCAAATTTTTTGTATGGTTTGGGCCTTGTATACTTCCATTTTAATTCATATCAATGGTAAGATCTTTTATGTATTATATTAAACGGCTGATTTATAGGAAGGTACCATAGGCATTGGCCTCTAAAAAATGTTTGTCATCCCTATGCAAATTAACAGACCTTGAAGGCCCAAGGCTGCCATCATGGGATGAAGATGAGATTAAGATTTCTTAATGAATTAAACTTTGGGATAGGTTGTTAGTCTATCGCTGTAGAGAGGGATGGTAGTTTGTTTTTTCTAGATGGCTTTCTGCCCCGCAAATTAACCCTAATGTTGAACTAATGACAGTAAGCGTTAAAACACTACCGCCGTACCCACTCAGCCAAATTTTCTCGTCCTTTTTTTATTTTAACAATATGAAAATATTTAAATTAATTAAAATATTGATTTGGTAAAGTAGGATCGAACATTATTACATTTTCTTCTGATTGGCATGTATATGTAGTCTTTGGCATAGTACTTGTTTTAGATTGTGTTTTTGTAAACAATTTTCAAAAAAGTGAAGGAGCTTTAACACAGATATATATCACAAGTTAAGGTATTACACTTTCTATTATTTTTTTTTCTATGAAACAATAAGCCTCAGCTGTTATAATTTTAATATTTACATCATACAATAAACAGATTTTGTAACATTATATAATGTGGGACAATAGTTATTATGTACAGTATTTTTTTGGACGAGTATTATTAAAGTTTTAAGTAGGGTAAGTTTTATAAATTGAGCTAAAAACACATAACATACATATTGTTAATATTCTTGCATTAACATGCTTACAAATCATCATATTATACATTAATTATATATATATATATATATATATATTACGAATATAATATTTAATGAGTATATAATATAATTGCAATTGTCAATGTTATCTATTTCGCATTTTGCCGTTATCTCAGATAGGTAATGTGCCTTGTGCGTTTAAATATAAATGATAACACATATTCTATAGAGTATAGAATATAGGCCATGATTATATTTTAATTTTTTATCTTTCGAATATCAATATTAACATACCTAAATACTTTAAGTATATAATTATATAGACTAATTCAAATTTAAGTGCTTAACAATGCTTAGTGGAACTCGACAACTGTACAATATCTAATAATAGAAATAATAGTCTCGTAATATTGTGTATTATCTAAAACCATCACTTGATTGACTTCCTAGTCCCTATTCTGTTTTTTTACACAGCGGTCTTCAACTAAATGTATAATATAATTTACCTACGTCGGTAGATAGTTAAAATTTGAATACTATTTAATATTGGTTTGGAACCCCTCCTCCTTTATTGTTACAATATACTCGTTAGCTATTATATCCAAGATCAGTCGTTAATTTTGTCGTTTATGGTAAATAAAAAGTGAATAATTACTTTTTTTTTATTATGTTATAATGTATCATAGATTTAACAGTTACCAAATACCAGTTCTTATAAACTATGAGTATTGAGTCATAATTTAATTTTCAACTCTTAACGTTTTAAATTACGCCAACTTTAATAAAATACGAAGTATCTTTAATACTAAAAAAGAAGGTTTTAAATATTGACATTACTTATTAGTACACGTTTACAGATGGCCATAATTTTTGTTTAGACAGTAACGATTTATATGGTTTTGAAACTGAAAATAACTCACCAATATTCTAAAGTTTTTCCCACACCATTCCTTTTTGCTATTATTGACACTGTTGTACTAATTATACCTTTTGGGTTTAAAACGTTGAATCGATGGTCCGTATTAGTCAATGATTATAAACAAAAAAAGTTTAAAACAAATTATTTTTTACAAATTATTGTTGACATTTTTACTGAACAAATAGATTTTACAGTTCTTGTATTTATTTACATTCGTAGGTATATCATGGTTTAAGAAAAATTCGTGCCTATTTTTCTAAAGTTAGTTCTGAGAGTATCTATTTTTAATTTTGTTTATTTTATGTATTGCAAATATTTTAATATTAGTTTTAAAAAGTGTTTCTAAACGTATAATATATACTTCAGGTTTGATTCTTAAGATACCAAGTCAATACTAGTCAAAAACTTGTCTATTTTTTTGAACAAATTTAAATTTGTAACCTTTAAAATAAAATTCTCTATAGCTAAAAAGGTACATTCGTTCCTATCACTAGTTTATGTAGTATAATAAAATTATATGATCTATTATTATATGGCTCTATTTTATCGGTTGTCCAGTTCGATTTGTATTTTTTTCTCTCTATTTTTCAAGTCTGAAGGTTAGATTTTTGTGAAAAAAAAATAATGCAACAACGCATTTGTAAGAAGCACAGAGAATAATACAAATAATCGATGAAAGGAAACCTGTTTCTTAACTTCAGTATTGGACAAAAAAAGGGAAAGAATAGAGGAACCTCGAACTCGTTTACCTGATGTCCACCAGGCACCATATAGAATCTTTCTACCCTCCGGATGATCTACATCGCTGTTAGGGCCTATCAACAACAACAACAACACAATACCTAGTAAAACTATTTGTACAATATTAATAATTTATATATATACATATATATATATATATATGTATATGTATAATATCATATTAGTAAATTTATTTCTTGATCTGACGTCTGCGCAATGGCTGACGGGTAGTAGTGGGTGCTCGTCGGCGTCTTCGACGGTGAGGAACCTGCAGGTTACGACTTACGATGACTGGACACGGATTTGGCAACCACTGAAGTGTCTCACTCCGTACTCGCCGCCGAGGTTAGCGTCCCACAGGTCAATGTTTAGAACGGCCGCCGCCGCTGCCACTACGTTTGTATACTCACGTTAGGCGTAGTAGGGATGCGCGCGGACGCTGCCGTTGCTGTTCCCCGCTCACCCTCTGGCCGTCCGGTGCCGTCACTCCGGCCCTTCATCTCCCGTTCCACCCCACCACTCGGACGCAGCGGAAAGACCCTCTTTTTCTACGGCGGCGGTAGCGGCTGTGGCGTGCGGCGGCGACGACAATGTCCTCTACACCGCCGCAGCAGCGCGACCTGCGACTGTTCGTATTATATTTTTTCCTCCGCTTTTAGTGTGTATTATTTATTATTTAATATTTTCAATTTGTTCTCCGCTTATCGCATTATTATTATTATTATTTTTAGCACCCATCGTCGATAGTGTATATTAAATTTGTGTTCATTTTTTTGTTTATTTGTGTATTTATGTTATTATTAAATTTGCTCGTAGTGTCGTCGTCTCTGCGTAGTGTACATCGCATCGTTCTCTGCCGTGTTATCTCATCAGGTAAACGATGACACACATCTGCACCGCGTTGTTTCCTGTGTTCTCCTCTCTCTCTCTCTCTCTCTCTCTCTCTTTCAGGACCTCCCGCTCGTCCGCGTGCAGTCCGCGGGTGCATCGTTCTTGTGACGCCGCAAGCGATTGTATAACACAAAACACATCGGCTCTCTCATAAGTCATAACAAACCCATTTCCGTCGGCCGTCTGTCAGCGATTACTGTCGTCGCCCGTGTCGCACGTACACGCTGACGGCGTTGCTTGCGTTGCGGCCAATGCAGATTCTAGAGTATCTTATTTGCGCTCGTGGCACGCTGTAAAAATCATTGATATTTTTCTGATCCTGTAGGTTACTAATAACAAGATATACCTAGTGAATCAAACACAAAACATTCGGTCAGGATTCCCACAATAATACGACCATTACTTAGCTGACGAATTTCCGATACTGGCAACGTCATAGTCTGCTAAATTATTAGTCATTGTTATTTCCCAAATGTGTTACTAATGTTATTTAAACAAGCTAAATAAATTATTGTAGTTTGTATTTATCTGTCGGTGGTCGACTTGCTAACCAAAAGTCAGTGGTGTAACTAATTGGCGTAACTTCTAGTCTTTAACGTCGTGTTTTTTGTTTATTTTTAGTGTTCACAATGTATGACAGCAATACTTGAAAATTGTATACCTAGGTATTAATTGTATTTTATATATATATATATATATATATATATATTTTACATTGTTGTGAAAGGTATTAGATATTTACAAAATAATATATTCTTAATAGACGCATCATTATACAAAAAAAACCTACTAAAAAGTTAATTGTATAAAAAAAAATAGTTAACTTAATAACAAATTGGGTTTGTACACTGTAAACTTAATGATCTAATCCGAATGGATTATGAGAGCACGTTACTGTTGTAAACATTTAATTATAGTTGTGTTGTTAAATGGCTTACAATTAGGTACAGATATATTATGCTCCTTCCAAGTATTGAAAACAATAAAGTTATTACTGCTAAATACATGGCCACTGTGTCATTGAAAACTGCCATAACTCATAAAATTACTATTGTATGAAGTATAATTGTTTTAAACATTTTAGTTAGTATTTAAATGTTGAAAGCTTATTATTAAGTATTTTAAGAATATAGTTATATTTTTCGTAAAACGGATATGAGAGTTTATATCAAAAATGCTAACTCATTTTTTTATTACATTTAAAGAAATAAAAAATTGTGAACACTAAAAGTAAATATTGTAATTAGGTCATCCGTTGCAATAATAGTTGTGCATGTTATGCATTATTAATACCGTTGAATGTCAATTCTCAGTGTTATGCTTAAATGAACATTGTGCTCCAAATTAGTAGGTATAAATATCAGCAACTGTTATATATTTTATAGTTGCATATTTTGTTTTATTCTTGGATAGGTAAAAAAAGTAAATACAAGCACAATAATGTAAAATTCTATAGTAATCTATCTAATCCTAAAGTTAGTATTGTTATTTTAAACTTGCTAATCTAATGCATAAAATAAAATTGCATCATACTTGTTAGGTATTAAAAATATTCTGTCTAAGACTGGTTCACTATATATCTTTCAAGTTACATTTATTCTTTTTTAAGACAAAGAAAACGCATCATTATTTACACAATAACAGTTGGAGGTATATCAGTTATTAGTTGTCATACTTTTATAACAACTGTTAGGCTATTTATATTGGATTTATTTTAATATATTTATTAGTTTTTTTGTCCTTTAAAAACTACTTTAATATCAAATTTTCACATGTGTAATAAAAATTTAATTTACAGGTCTATAAAATTTTTTCAAAAACTTCTCTACGTAGACCCAAATTTTCAACGAGCAAATGAAGTTCATCTCAGATTGGGTTTGATGTACAAAGTGTTTAATGAATGGGAAACAGCTTTAAAACATTTAAAAAATGCTCATTCGGATGCCAGTCTTAGTACATTTTCAAAACTAGAAAGTAAGCCTTTTTTTGTTGTTAAAACTACATTTAATAAACTGGTATTTAAGTATTAATGTTTATTTTGTTTTTATTTGCAGTCAGCTTTCATATTGCACATTTATATGAGGTTCAAGGCAAGTATAAATTAGCCAAAGATCATTATGAACAGTTATTAAATGATTCAAAAATTACCGTACATCTTCGTGCTGATATTTGTCGGCAGTTAGGTAAGGGTATTTTTATTTTTATTTTTTCTGAATTTAAATGGTATTTACATTATTGACGCTAATCAATTTTTTACCTTTAGGATGGATGTACCACAGTTGTGAATGCTTAGGTGATAAAAATCAACGTGAAACTGTAGCTATACAATATTTACAAAAATCTATAGAAGCAGACAATAAATCAGGCCAATCACTCTATTTGCTCGGACGTTGTTACGCAAGTGTTGGAAAAGTTCATGACGCATTTATAGCATATCGTAATTCTGTTGAGAAATCTGAAGGAAACGCAGATACATGGTGCTCTATCGGGTAAATAAACATACTATATTTGAGTAATATATTATATAATTTAAATAATAGTAAATGTTTTCTATATAATAAGAACAAATAGTTATAGAAAATGCATAATGTTGGTAAACTTTAATATATTTATTAAATGATACATTTTGCCACATAAATGTTAAATGATATTATTAAAACTACAATCGTTTTAATTTATTTTAGAGTTTTATATCAGCAGCAGAACCAGCCTATGGATGCACTGCAAGCATATATATGTGCAGTGCAATTGGATAAAGGACATAGTGCAGCCTGGACTAATCTAGGTAATTCATTATAGTTAACATTAATTAACATCCAAATATTAAATAATTATGTTTGTTTGTGTGTAATTTTTTTTCCCCACAATTATTTTCTAGGTATATTGTATGAAAGTTGTAATCAACCAAAAGACGCACTTGCTTGTTATGTAAATGCAACCAAAGGAAGTACAGTGAATGAATCATTAATGAAAACCACAATCAATGTGCCAGTATCTACAATGAATCCTAATCTTGGTCAACGTATCAAGTTTTTACAAACGCACTTATGCAATGCACCTATGCCTAGTATTACCAGCAAGTAAGTTCAGTATTCAAGTGGAACTTGAACTATTTTTTTATCATTTATTACATTTTTTAGTACAATAATTTGTACATGTAATGTATATTTATAATGTTTAGGGTGTTAATTATCTAAAACTGGGGAAATAAAATATTATTGAATTGTTGTTTTATCAGACGTCGACAGTTGCCTTCAATTGAAGAAGCTTGGAATTTACCCATTTCAGCTGAAATGTCATCTAGACAACAGCAGCAGCAACAACAAAAGACTACTGCACAAACTCCTTTTCAAAAATCTCAAGAAATGATATCCAGTCAGCCTCCTCCTTATAATTCACCTAAACCAGATCCACAAAGTGAAAATACCACTAAAAGAATTAAAGTATGTTTGTGCAAAAACAATGATTTAATCTTTTTACTCTTTTTATCATTATAATTTAAATATAATATTTTTTTTTTATAATATTAGGTTGAACCTAGAATTGGTTCTAACGATAGCCCTCAGCCTTTGCCTGCATACTATTTAAGTAGTCAACAAGTACAAATTATGAATGTTCTACAACAAAATTCTAATAATTTATCACCCCGGGAACAGGTAAATAAATTATATTCATAGTGATTAAATTATTTGCCACTCTACATAATAATTTATTATGATTTTTTTTATGAATCCTCAGACAATGCTCCAACAATTGCAAAATAACTATCGAATGATGCAACAGCATCAGCAGCAAATGCGATTGAAACAACAAAACGGTAGCGGTGTTGGTCAGCAAGGACAATATCAAAATTCTTCAGTCATCAAACAGTTTCCTGATCAAAATAGGAGTGATTCGAAATCAACAGATATAATAGACAGTACAAATGAAAATCAAGAACTAGACAGGGAGTTGCAGGCTCTTTTATCCCAAAAAGAGCTAACTACCTCATTAGCTGAAGATTTGCTCAAGCAATTCGGTTCTTCTGATGAACTGGATAACATTAAGATAGAACCAAACGAAACGGCAACAGTACAGTCTGAAGGTATGTTATTTATTTTGTTATAAAATTGTTTATTGTTGAAGTTATGAATAGTTAATGCTGTTAATTAGATAATTACTTATTAATTTTGCATAATTAAATTGTTTGTTGAAACTTGAAATAGCACTATAAAGTGATAGCAAATAACTATAACTTATGGTACGTTAGTATTAATTATGAAGTTACTTTATTAACTCGTTTTATTTTATTAACATTTTTATGGTTGATATACAGTAATTCATATAAGAAATGATTATGATCTTATTCTAAACTTACTAATTATTTATTAATTTTAAAAATTGTAGAAGTGAAGACATGTATTCAACCAATAGCTTCTGAGCCTGTGGTCAGATACCACGATACTAGTTCTTCCGATTCTGATTACTCATTAAGTATGACCGCTGAAGAAGTATTAAGTGTTGCCAAGTAAGTAATATTTAAATAGCTTGAAATTGTGACAGCAGATGGATAACCATAATACTAGTGAGCAAACGTTTAGGTGTTCATCATCAGCTCAGTGTTTTACTATTTCAAATAAAAAATTAGGCATTTAGTTATCTTCTTAAGTACTACTCTTACAAAATTTCTTAAAGTAAATATATTTTTAGTTATTTCTGGTTTCATAATTTGATCTAGAAAATCATCTTATCGGTAATTTGTTATCTACCAAGTTTTTGCATTTGTCTGTTTAGTTTGGTGTATAAAACTGGATAGGTTGTTATTGCATTCATTTTTCCAAAGTTAGGTTTGTGCTCAAATTGTTTTATAAATAACTTAGTTTGGTTTAAGATAGAATGAATTAAAATAAATTTGGTTTGTGTTTGGAGTTTGACATTAAAAATCAAGATTTTTCGCATTATTACGAAAAAAAAATGAAGGTAGAACTAATATTTTATTTAAATTGTTGGTATCTGCTAACATAACGTTCTTTCTTAAATGATAATAATAATGGCTCTAATTAAGTATAAATCACCTTTTTGTAACACAAGGTTTGAACAGGTGATTTGAGTATTGCCTTTTGTGTTCACTATACCACCTGTTTCTTGTCCATTTACTACCTGATCATTGTATCAAATTATGTTACAAGGTGGAGTATTATGCTTCATACAAGTTCTTTAGTACCCATGTACTAACCTATACTTACTATAATTTAAATTATTTGTAATTTAATATCTAATTTTGTATGAAATTCTTTATTTTTCATCAAGTGTTTCTTTAATTGTAGAACTGTTAAAATACTTAGTTGAATGCATTTTTTTTTCTTTTTTATCTTGCATATAGTTTTTAAAATAATTTTTATTCAAGGTCAATAAAAATATAATAGGAAATACACCTGTTGGCTGTTAAGGCAGAAGATTATATGTAAATTATTATTTATTTATATATATATATATATATATATATATATACATATATACATATATATATGTTTTAAACCTGTCTCTTAAATGGAGACATTTGATTAAGATACTATTCCCAATTTTTACCTTACCTAACAAAAATTGAGTTTTCCATATTTCTCTGATTGCTAAATTAAAGTTGCTGAACTTATTGTGTCGTCTAAAACTAGTTTCACTATTGAGTATATTCATTTATGTATATATTTTTTTCAAAAGCAGAAGTTACAGCTGTTTGAAAAAGTTACAGTCTGCTTAAAGCCTAACGGCAAAAATGATAAAATATGGAACATGCTTTAGCCTGCTGGCTCCTGAATAGTGATTACTTCAGATTTATAATCTTGCGATTTATGATGATAGTATAGTCTTTATTATATGTTCTGGCCAAATAAACAATAATCTATTGCGCTAAATTAGTATCGCAATTAGTGTTATTTTCGTGCTGGGGGGCCAAAGCTAAAGCATGTTCCATGTTAAAACAAAATGAGATTAATATTAACCTTTTCTATTCAGATTCTTTAAGTATATTATTTAAGGACGTACAACAATATAAATATAGTGCTTTAGTTAAAAAAAAGTCTTCAAGTTCTATTTATTTTTAGGAAAGAAACTGGATCAGGTATGTGGAATAGAAATGTACTGAGTCCAAATGGACCTCCACCTACACCACCTGATCCTCCGCCACAGCAACTAACACGAGAACAGTTACTACCATCTACCCCATCCGTGATGTTAGAAAATAAAAAGGATGCATTTAGCCCTCGTTTACAGGAATTTTGTTTAAAAAATCCTATTGCGGTTGTCCGTTGTTTAGCTGCTGCCCTTAAATTAGGTAAATATTGTAAACTACTGTAGAGTGATTAAAGTATTAATGCTAATAAGTTAATACGTATAATTTAATGTATTATTTTAGATTTGGGATTATTTTCAACTCGAACGCTAGTGGAAACCAATCCAGATCATTCTGTTGAAGTTCGCACCCAAGTAATGCAAAGCAGTGACGATAATTGGGATGTCAAACAAAATCGAAGAGGGTGGGCTTGCATAAGTCATAGATCACATACAACTATTGCTAAATATGCCCAATACCAGGCATCCAGTTTTCATGAATCAATCCGAGTAAGATTGTTACTACTAAATTTTTTTAGTTTAATAGAGTCGGTATATTGAACTAGTTTAAGACCGAATAAACCGAAAAATAAGTCGATAAAATTGAGTCCGAATTAACCATAACATGTTTTAAGCAAGAATTTGTCATACCTTTTTAGTTGCTATTAGCTGTTAGAGAATGTTGAATATTAGTTTCTGCTGTAAAACCACTGTAAAATTTAAAGTTTATTATAATTATAATATTTCAGGATGAAAAAGAAGGTATCACTGGTGTTCATTCAGTTCCTAATTCTAACTTATCTGATTCAGATTCCAAAGATTCTATGTCTATGGAAAAGAAACGAAAAAAGAATATTGTAAGTTTTAATATTGTATACCAGTAGGTGTACAATATTTGTATTAACGTTATAATAATAGTAAATGTATTTATTTTTTTTGTAGAATTTACCCGGCATTAAACCTCCAGCGGGTAGTAAGATGCTCAAGTTTGGTACAAATGTCGATTTATCAGATGAAAAAAAATGGAGATCTCAGTTGCAAGAACTTACAAAATTACCTGCATTCGCACGTGTTGTTTCCGCAGCTAATATGCTCTCGCATGTCGGCCATTCTATATTAGGCATGAACACTGTACAGTTGTATATGAAAGTATGTATTTATATATTTTTTTAATTGTCCACTATTGATATGTAATATTTAAAAATAGGTTCCTGGAAGTCGAACTCCTGGCCATCAAGAAAATAACAATTTCTGTTCTATAAATATAAATATCGGGCCTGGAGACTGTGAATGGTTTGCCGTTCCAGACGCATATTGGGGTGTCATCAACAATCTTTGTGAAAAGTAAATTTATTTTACATTATTATATGGGAGTAAAATATTGTATTTATAAATACCTTTTTTTTTTGTAGATATGGGTTAAACTATTTACACGGTTCGTGGTGGCCCTTGATTGAAGACTTGCTTGCTGCGAATGTTCCTTTGTATCGATTTTTACAAAGACCTGGTGACATGGTTTGGGTAAACTCTGGTAAGATTTTATAAAAATAATTCAATATTAGTTTTAAATGGTAGATTTGTTAAAAAAATTTTTGTTTGGTGGCAGGTTGTGTTCATTGGGTTCAAGCCGTTGGTTGGTGTAATAACATTGCTTGGAATGTTGGCCCATTAACTGCAAGACAATACCAACTTGCAATAGAACGTTACGAATGGAATAAATTGCAGAGTTATAAAAGCATTGTTCCTATGATACATTTAAGTTGGAATTTAGCTCGAAATATCAAAGTTTCAGACCCTAGGCTCTATGACCTCGTAAAGTAAGGCTACTATATTGAGTTAAGGGATTTTAAACTAATTTTACATAATAGTAGGAGTTAGGCAATAGGAGAATAATAGGGGTAGTCTGATGGTATAAAAGAAATGTCTTTCAATAATGATCTGTAACAACACTTTCTCAAAGTGTTGTACCAATTTTAAATAATGCAGTCGACAAACAATCATTTTATCAATTCAATTTTCAACTTTTCTTATTTAATTATTATTATTTAAGCTTAAGCTTCTAAGTAGATAAAGTATTATTTTTACAATGATGTGTTTTAATTTTTTAATTTTTGTGTCTAGACTCACAATAACTCTTAAATCGCTGAACAGATTTTTTTTCATGTAGCAAGTCTATGGATCAGAAATCGTACCCACAAGGTACTTCATAAGGCCAAAAATGAAATAAAGTTTATTGCTTCTCTCTCTAATTTGGAAAAAACACCCTAAAAATTAATGCATTTTTCATTTACAAATTACGGCACACAAGAACTTTTTTGAAAATGATCAATTCATTCTCTTGTTCATAATATTCTTTAGATGTAGTACTACTTATGTATGGTGAAAAACCAAAAAAATATTGTTCTTCCCAAAAGGTTATCTTAAAGGTACTCAGCACCTTGACTTGTTTTCAAGATAATTTCTCGATCATGTTATATACTGCAACTTTTTAATTTTCAATTATTTTTTTATTTAATATTCGATTCCAAAACTATAACAATATTCCAATTGAATGTTACAAATTTGCCGAAAAGAAATAGTGACATTTGATGTTGTATAGAAATATCGGTATCATTCAAGACCACTATTGCAGACTAATATAAAAAAATATAAAAAAATATTATAAAACCATATTTTTTACTTTAAATAGGATGTGTTTGATGTGTTCTATGCGACAATGTGGTATCACAATGGAGTTTATTAAATTAAAAAAAATTCAGACTCGTTTTCATGGACGAGGCAAGAATGAAGCTTCGCATTATTGTCATGACTGTGACGTAAGTAGTTTTCAAATAATCACAATTATATTTTATTTGGTATTCAAACTATTTTAGCTAATGCGACAATGTAATTATAGGTGGAAGTGTTTAATATTCTTTTGATACGTGAACAAGAGAAAAAACATTGTGTATATTGTGTTATATGTGCAAAGAAACAATCTCCAAATTTAGAAGGGTTCGTGTGTTTGGAGGAATATAAGATGTCTGATCTTGTAGAAATCTATGACAATTTTGTATTACACAGTCAGGCTTTACCTGTACCGTCGTCCAATAATAATACTGTAGTACAATTGACGTAAGTTTTAGTATCTACGATATTACACAATATTTGTATTCATTATTTTGTATTAATATATATATATTTTTTTTTATATAACTAATTGTATATAAAAGAACACGTATGATTTTAAGTATTTGTCCCTGACAAACTCTTATTGCAAGCAATATTTTCTACTAATTGTTTGAATTTTTTTTGAGTATAGAATAAAGTTTTTACAAGAACGTCAATTTTTCGTATGCTTTAAGTGAATCATTTTTTTTACCATATAATAAGATTAAAACGATAGCGTTTATAGTTTTATTGATACTTTGTTCAAAGCGTAAAGTAAATTGATGAAATTGATTAGTCGTGTGTGACTTATGCAGTCGATTAATAGTATATTTTATATGTCGTTGGTACGCTTGAAGTACTTTTGTAATTAGGTTATTTGTCCTTCTTTTAAATGAAAACATTTTTTTTTTCATGTGAAATATTACCGAGGCTAAGTTAATTACAAATGATTAAGTGTAATAGATAAATTAAAACATAGCTTTAAAGCCGTCATTAAAATGATTTGGGAACATCTGTTGTATATAGCTATTAAATAAGTTATTTTTATTATATAACATTGTCAACATTAATTTTATAGTAGTTTAATCAGCTCTTCACACACATTATGTGTTCATATAATATGTACAAAACTTAAACGACTGTATAACCTCTGAAAGTATAAAATGCTGTGTCTTCTATTATTATAATTAAGTAGAAAATTATTGTAAATACACATAATTAAATATTTTAAACAATTTTTGTTGGAGATACATTTTTCTAGAATTTCAGATCTCAATTTTTTTTTTTTTTTTTACCAAAATGTTCTATTAATTATAATGTATATTTTTGTACTGAAAATCAAATTATTGTATTATTTGACTCAATTTTTTTGATGTGCAAAAAATGGAATCCAAAAGTACAAACTGAAATACAATTTAAATTAATATTGTATAATTTTTAGATACTTTGATGTATGATTATAAAAAGATCTGGATTTTTTTAACGCTAAAGTAAAAAAAAAAAAAACTAGACTAGAAAAAAACATACTATCTGAAAAATGAAATGAGAGGTCCAACAAACAAAATTATAAGATGTGTATTTTATTTTATTTTTACGCTAGGTTTTGTTTTCTATTTATTTGACTGCTTAGGTATTTATGTATAAAAATAAATATTAACAATTTGTATGTAAACTGTTTTGAGGCAGATTTAAATTATTATTTATTATTAATTTATGTCTTGATTAATAATTTGAACTATTAATCAAGCTGTACTTCTTCCTAAGCGTGAGATCCAAAATTTAATGTTGACATTAATAATTATACTTGATAAGTCATTTACATGTTCCATTTAGTTAAATTTTATACATTGTAATTAAAGCAAAACAAATTTTTTTGTCTGGTCAATTTTTTGGTTCCTTTTTTTAAAATTTGTACATGGAATTTTTTATAACAACATAATTGTTATTGTTAATTTCATATTTTGAATTAATTTTAAACTTAACTAGTGTGTTAATGAAGATTTTTTTTTTTGTTCAATTTAATAATTTATTTTAAACACGTTTTATTACGCCAACTGATCACTGCCATAAACTATTGCGAGATAGTTCTCGTTGCTTACAAGTACTGATTTCTCCTGTTATATACAAAAATATATATTTTGTTTTATAAACAATAATTTATTATGATTATATTGTGTTCAATAGTTTAGTTGTAACCCACACATTAATACTGTATTAAACAAATTGATAAAATATTAACAATTGTTCAAATTTAGTTTAAATGTATTTATCTATGTTAATTAATGGAGAAAAAAATACTGTTGCCTGCTAATTTTAGTTCATAATTTAATTTTCAATGTGTTTATTTTTCTACATAATTATAGACTAGAGAGCATATGTATGTGTAATTTATACTGGTGTTAATGTAGCTAATTTTGTAACGTCGGTACAGTCTTTTTGTAGCCAACGTTGTTGTGGTCGTCATGTATTCATTGTATAAAATAGTTGATCTCAATATTATTTTTTTTTTTTTAAATTGTAAAATTATATAATTAAATCATTATTGTAATAAAACTTATAAATAATAGATTTGCCGTGTTATCTTAATGTATTAACAAATCTATTATACAGCCAAAAGAAGAACCAAATTGAAAGGTAAGAGTGTTATTGTTAATTATTAATTACAAATTTTGTAAGTTTTTTGTATAATTTTGAGATCTATGATATTCGTGTTTCTCGAAAAGCGGGAAAATTTAACTGAACAAAATTTACAATTCAGACTTTTTTCAGGCATAAAAACGTACAGCTAATTATTGTAAATGTAATGTATTTCTCGTTCCTTTCTTATTTACAACATTTTTTTCTAATTGGTTATCGTAACACTGCTGTTATAAGTACTGACATGAGTGTGCAGTTTCTATTTTATACAGTTGTATTTCTAGTCTTCATGCTATAAAAACTGTAAATAACTTAACTCAAGCCACACGGGATTTATAAAAATTGGAAAGAATAAAAAGAGCTCGGAACACAGTATCGAATAATTTATCGTTATCAATATGTTTTCTGTTATCATTAAATATGATAACAGCGTAAACAACGTTGATTTGTGTAATGACTTATGTTCAGTGTATGAGTAAAGTGATGACATACTCGGTAATTCAAAATTCGTTGCTTGTACAATTGTATGATTTGTAAAGTTTTTCCAGATTTGTTGAGTGTATTTTGATGAAGAAAAAATCATAAACATTAATGGATCTTTCGTACGCTACAAAAATCTAAAAGCGATCACATAGGTGATTTTCGTTTCGATAATGGCCAATCTCAAACTAGAACTCGACGAATACTTGAAGAGCCAAAAAAGTGCACCCAGCAATGGGCACGTACACATACCAAAGGTTTTCAAAAAATTCATTACCAGCGAATCGGGCGAACACACAGAAAACCTACTGGATTCAACGCAAAACACTTACATTAATTTTCCAACATTGGTAAGGTATGCTCTTCATTTAATTTAAAGATAACAGCTGTAATTATATAAATTAACATTCTACTTTAAATATTTGTTTACAGACCAAAAAGCAGAGAATATTCGGATTTATGATATGTGTGTGCGTTAGCTGTTTAATGTTTTCTTTATCAGCATTGTATTTGCCAGTTCTATTGTTGAAAGCTAGAAAATTTGCAATATTATATTCAGCTGGAAGCATATTTGCATTTGCGAGGTTTGTTAAGTTGTTCATGTAAAATGGGGATTGCTTCGTTTCTTAAATACCTATTATTAATCTCACTTTTTCTGTAACTATTGTCAATATTATTATACAACATAGAAAACTTGAGAAATTAAACATTAGATTAATAGGAGGAGAATGAAAATATACATAAAAATAAAATTATTAATTATAAGTTGTTATCACAAATTTTTCTATTTTTAATTGAATAAAAGGGGATTTATTAAACATTTTTATGTTCTATTCAAATGATTTTGCGGGCTCTTTCTAATGTCATAGACTTTGTCCTTAGGTTTAAATCACATAACACTTTTATACATGATGCCATTAAGTATATATTGTTAATAATATACTCAATAATGATAGATAATATGTTTTGTATTACATTAAATATTTATTAAAATTAATTTAATAATATGTGTTATCACTTATCAAGTTTGTTTTGCTCAGTTGTGTGTTTATTTTATTTTATTAAGTTTTTTGGTTGAAGTAAAAGGTGATATTTTTAATAATTATACCTTTTCTAAAATTACAATATGATACATTTGAGTACAGATGAGCATGAATTGATTTTTGTTGTTTATTGTTCTAGTGTGTCGTTTTTAACGGGTCCGTTGAACCATTTCAAATATGTTACAAGTAAGGAAAAACTACCTTTCGTGTTTGGCTACATCATCACACTCATTCTCACGCTGTATTTTTCTTTATTCATGCAAAGTACTCCGTTTACTCTATTATTTTTAACTGTTCATCTAGTACTCATATTTTGGTTTCTATTAAACTCCATACCATTTGGACAGAAAGGTTTAACGTTTTTTGGACGCATTTTCTCTTCTGCAGTGAGAAACAAAGTGTCAAATTCTTTACCAGTTTAAAATTATAACCTAGATGAATTTTATCATTCCTAATATTTTATTGTTGTTATTGTAAATTATATTTTTGATATCAAATGCCAATTATTTTTGTATAAATTATATTTTTATGTTATTATAAACTCACAAAAACAGACCGCATAATAATAAATGTTGAATAAGATATATTTTACTATTTTAAAGAAGTGAAATATTTTATTTAGGAAATATTTTGTTAAATAGATACTATACTATTGTGTCCAAATTTGTTTTTATTACAAGTGTTTTTTTTCTAAAACCATTATGGCTCGTGTAAAATACATTCTGTGTAGTAAGGTTTTTATGAACTTTTAACCTTATAGTTATTTAATACATTTTATTAAGCGGGGGAATTTTAATAAAGCTTATGGAATTTTAATTTCAAATTCTGATCCTGGAGAAATTTTTGTAAATATTTATTATTCAAAATGTTGAGAAAAAAAATTTATTTTTAAATTTATAAAAAAAACATTTGAGTTTAAATTTAAAATGTTTAATAATACTATTGTTGTATGGCTTTAAGTAAATCACTACGGTGTCAGGATACAATTAATTAAAAGTAATTATTAGATTAGTCATTAAATATTATCAACTCGAAGAGATTGAGAAATGCATTAATGAACATAACAGTTTTGAAAGAATTATTACTAGGTCATATATAGATCAAAATGATTTGACGTTAGAATAAAATAATTTGTTTTTTATACTCGTTTCCAAACCATCCATAAGGTAGAGTATTTGGCTCGTTTTTTTTAACGTAGTATCTCCATGTATGATGATGTTAGTGTAGTGAATAAAACGTACGGTGGAGGTTTGAGTAATCAAATATTTGGTGCAAGATGTTATAGTACTGGAAGTATGATGAGGTATTTTCAAAAAAGAAAGAACAATTTAGGAAACGTTAGTCAAATAAAGGGCTGGAAAGTCATTAATGATGTTTAAGTAAACAACAAAGAAGTATAGACTTATAGAAATAATTAAAAATAAAATAATGGAATACAGAGGAAATCGATAGATGAAAAAAAACAGAAATTTGATGAAAGTAAGACTTATAAAAATGAAAATTGACAGCAAAGAAAGGCAGTAAATAAACGCGTAGAAGTCTTAACTAGGAAAAATTGTAATTTCGAATCGCGTGACTGCTATGTTTTTAGATAAATGGTAGTTCTGTGATGACTTCAATGAAGGATAAGTTGTAAACAAAAATTGTCATTTCAAATTGCAGGGCCTCTATCGTCATACATAGACCTAATCCAGGAGTACTTGACTTGGAGGCATAATGCGCAACAAAAGGATTTGAAAAGGTACCCCAAACATTTTTTAATTTCTTCTAAACAGTATAAATACATGAATTATTATGGAGCATTTACAATAAAATGAAAAATACGTTTTTAATAAAGGCGACCCAATTTTTATGAACTTTCCAAGTCAAGCACTTAAGTGAATAGAGTTAATCATCCAGTAAACATTTTATTTTACACATAACTAAGTAATTAATATGTATACACAAAAGTTAAGACTTGTGGTGCAATGTTTTTGCACCACAAGCTTAATTAGGCTTTGTTCTGTATTATTACAGAGACAGGCAATTGGTATTTTCCATCCAATATTTTATTTTAGCCAGACACAAACCTACTCATGGTCTCATAGTTATTATTTAGAACGTTTAGCAGCAATTAATGTTATTAAACGATTCCGTGTATGTTTAGAAAGCATTCGCTTAAAAAATGATTTCTGATTGTGACAGTTTTTGACTTGCGCTAAATAAAATATTGACGGGGGGTTGTTTTAAGAAAATTATATTTTTGAAATTGTCCACTGCGATAGTAGTACAAAAATGAATCACGTAGACGCCCTGTCTAGTGATGTCTAGTCAAGTCGTTGTCATGGAATCATAATATTAGAACCAAATACGTTCGAACAGACTTAAGCAATATAACAGAATTTAGACGATAATATTGTAAAAATTATGGACCGAACTACAATCTTATGAAAATAAATTATTTGAATTGCGCGAGGAATTAGTCTATAGGAAAGATAAAAAGAAATTATTATTTTATGTACCATCATATTCTGTGGAAATTTGTTATAATTACTTGTCATGGCGATATGATAAGGTAGTAGAAAATATGATTTACCTATGTATGTATTAAAATGTGAAATATGTAGGCAGACGCCTCAACGAAGCACACTATTCTTTTATGCAGCTAAATTGCCTAAACTCGACGCCGTTTTTTTACCAGGCGTGTTTCTTGTCAAATTCAAATAATATGATAAATAATGTGATGTTCGAAGATTATAGTAAATACCATAGCTATAGCCTGTACCTAGGTATAAAGGGCGTAGTTTAGCTACCGATGAAACCTGGGCATTATTTGAATTATTTTTTAACCAATTTCTTCGTGTAGTATGTTTACAGATCAGAAAACATACATGGAATGTACTTAATTATAGACAAATAAATGTCTCCATTTTCCCTTTAAATTTTAGAAAAACATTGAACGTGCTGAAAAAGTCAATTCCTTTACCCCCAGACCAAAAAAATTGACCGTTTTTTCAACCTTCAACTTTGATATGATAAGCTCTACTTAAGTAGACATTTTTATAGAGTATTCTTAAGGCATGCTCCTCTGTCTAAAATTCCATCAAAACCCAATTTTCGATCACTACCGACTCTCCGGGGGGGTTGAACATGTTTTGGTTTTTAACTGTTTGGCGCAATAAGTCTGAAGACACGTCCATCACAAACTTATAACATGTGCAAACAAAATACCTTCCGTCAAAAATTTGTTTATGTACGAAAAAATCTCAAAACTGACTCAAACATTATAAATATGGATTTTTAAGACTTTTATGGGCTTACAAACTTGAAATTTAATATATCACATGTTATACGAATAAAAAAATAAATATGTAAAAAAGTAAAATTAAACGAAAAGAAAAGAAATTGGAAAACAAAAATTGACCATTGAAACAGTGTACAGAAAACCAAGCACTGAATTAACCTTACAGTCTAAACTGGCATAGTCTAAACCAATATCAGTCTAAACCAACACAATCTAAATCAGTACATTCGTTGTTTTCATTGTCCACACTATCATGTATAGACTAAAATTAAACATTAAGCTATAATTTGTAAACATATATATTAACACAGGCAAGAGGAATCTATTTTAATATTTATATAAGTTTTTCCAACTTCTATAACGCATACGTGCTCTAATTTTGTACATGTGTTTCTACTTTGAACAGTAGGTTCTTAAAAATAATGCGATTTTAGTTTTGAAAAAACATTTTTATAATTCATAGCATTTATTCGATCGTGGCCCAATTAAAAATTTTTTTTTAGTTAATAATAAATATTAACTAAATAATTTCTGTGGGAAAAATTGCAGTTTTTGAAGATTCTTAAATCTTAATGAATTTTACAATAACATTAAGAGAACGTCACACACCCGTTATTTTCTTCAAAAAACCCGCATAGCGCGAATTAATTTTACAAAGGCTGTAATCAAACAAATTTGAATTTATCCTATAGAAATGACTGTAATAGTCTAACAAAAAAAAGGCAGTCAGCAAAGTATCCTCATTACTGTATAAATAAGTATACATTATAGTTCAAACTCTAAATTATGATTTTTCAAATAATTTCCTATTCTTTACTCCTTAGAAATGGCCTGTGTGGCGTCCTCTTAAGGGAACGAAAAGTGCTATTTATTAAGGGGCAAAGGATAGGCAATTTTTGAAAATATTTATCTAGTAGACATTTTTAAAATGCCGACTAATTTTAAGTAGAAAAAATATCAAGATTTTCTATTTATTAGACTTTTAAAATTATTTTTCTCCGAGTTATGGCGCGTGTTTGATAAAAAGTGACTTCCGTAGTAATTTTCTGGAGTATCTATTGGACGGATTTACAATTTTTTTGTTATTTATGTGAAGTTCACTTTTTTTTTTGGGGGGGGGGGAGCTAAAAGGCCGAGTTTTGATTTAGCTATAATAAAATTAATTCGATGTAGTTAGTAAAAAACTATAAAAAAGTAAAAATATAAACGATTATAGTGAAATTTTGAAAACAAAAATAAACATATCGATGGACACTTTGGAAAAAGTGACTTTTCGTTTTAGTACTTGATACTTATTTGTATAAAATTTGGCACTTTCCGTTGCCTTTAATAACGATAATTAAAAATGTACTTCTATCAAGCGAGTATGTGGAAAAATCTGTAGCTGTTTTCAAAATAATTGCCGGATCACGCGTTTTGGAGTTCGATTAAAATTAGATTGAGTTTTTGATAAAAAATTATGCAGGCGTTGCCCAGATGAGTATAAATAACACTAAAATAACCGGTCGCTTCCAACCGAGCACCGGGTGAACATTGCTAAGTCCGCCGCGCGCCGGTCACAATAGTAGTGGGTAATAATAATTATCGATTTTGTATTTATAACAAAACGAAGAAAGTAATCGTTATCGTGTAAATCATACGATTCAGTAAATGGTCGATTAAAAATAATAACAATAAACACGAACCGCGTCCGTGCACGCTGCCAATACCTGTATTGTTATTGTAGTAGGTACGACGGTGTAGGTACGACGGTCGCGTGTAAATTGTAATCATCCGCCAGTGTAATAAGCGCGACCGGTTCGTTCGATCCGCCGCCGTCGGTTACAACGATAATTGTCTGGCGCGATGGCGATGTTGGTGGAACGCCGCGACAACGTGGTGTGCATATCGCCGGTGGAGTCGCTGAAAATGCTGGTGCTGTCGCTGTTCTGGGGAACGTGGATTGTTCTCAAGAACGGGCTGTTCCGGGCGATCAACACCCTGCCGGCCGGCGGACGCGGTTCGGTCAGCCGCAGAGACTGCCCGCCGCCGTGTCTGACCAGCACGGTTTACGGCACGCACTCTTACGCCAAAGTCAAGGTAAGCCCAGTCAAGCAGGACTCAAGTGAGGCAGGCAACAGCTTGTTTTCATAGGAATAATCATTAAAAAAAAAATATATATATATACTCAACATTTTATACCATTTGACTTCGAATTGATAAAAACTGTTTGATAAAATAAACTAAAAATATAAAAACGTTTTAAATTTGAATTTCAATTATACAGCTAAAACTAATTGTTTTGTTATTGACAAATAAAAAATAAAAATGATAAAATAACACTTATCCCGTGTTAAATATAACTGACCAGTCTGTTGTTATCAAACATATTATTATGGGCGTTTTATCATAAGTAATACTTAAGTAACTCGGTTTTATATTATGGTTTGTTATAATGAATATGGTTATTTATTAGTACATTTCTGCGCGTGTGGTAGACTCTAGAGTATGTAAAAAAATATAATTCTTAACGCAATGACATACAAATTACAAATTTATACAAAACATTATAGTTATTAATAATAACTTATTATGCGTACTTCATTGTATTCATTACAGTGTATATGACGTATATATATATATCAATGTGTGGCAATAAAAATCTCTTTGTGTATATTTATAAATATAGTTGTTAAATCCTAATGTAATTAGCTTCGTCGGATTATAGAAAACTATTAATTAGCGTATGCTCTCTGTACATTGACCTAAAGTATCGTCATTATTTATAAATAACATTTACAACAACAATGATTTAACTATGTGTAAGGTGGTTCGCACCGCACAATGTACTTAGGTACCTGTTCATAACTTTTTTTAAATTGTTTTTTTGAGTTTGACACAAATAGGAAAGTAGCGCTATTGAGTTTTTACAGGTATTATTAACAGTATTTAGTCAATTCGATTGTGTGTTAAATGTAATATTAAATAGTTTTTTAATTATTTACTTGTTTATAATAATTCTATGTAAAAATCTTTCCATAAAGTACAAAGACACTCACATAAAACTGTAAAATAAACTTGACAAATAATTAAGATATGTTGTCATAACATTATTTAATTATGATAATATATGAAACTGTTGATTTAAATAATCTGTTTCAACCTATTCTAATTAATATTATCCCGGAATCAAATAATCATTTAGTACCTATAATATAATTTACAAGCGTTATGTTATTAATCAAAATTGAGGTCAAGGCCTTAAATTTATTATATTGTGTTCTAGTTGTAGATAAAAAGTCACGCCAGTGAAATGGTCAAATATTTGTTTGTTTTTTTTTTTATAGTCAACAGTAAACAATAATATTAATGTTTATTTTAATTTTAATTAGTTCCTATCTTCAAATTATTCCATCCATGTCTGTACATTGTTCTTAATAATTATATGTAATAGTGTTTTATTTATTTATGTGTTTTTAAATAGTGACGTGATGTTTCGTGATGTATGTAAATAATTGGACTTGCTTTCGATACATGTACCAAATACACCCAGTTTTTAGTGCTTCGAATGTTTTTATTTACAAATTACAATAGGTAATTGGTTACGACCCTTCGTGAATAAAATCATCGAGTATTGATTGTACATTTATATACAATCTGTGTTATAGACTATAGGTACTCAAATGATATAATGTAAACAAGTTATTTTCGTTTAAACTTTATTGTACAAATGAAAACTACTAATTTTACATTTAAAACAAAAAGAGTTACTATTATAATTTATTTGAATTGTATGAACTTTTTGTGTATACAAAGAAACCTTTTAAAATTTGTTTTCATTTCGTTTAGGGTGTGAAATTTCATTACGTCGAATGCGGTGACCCCAAAGGCACTGTCGTTCTTCTGCTACACGGATTTCCATCATGCTGGATTAGTTGGCACCAACAAATACCGCCACTGTCAAAAGATTTTCGGTAATGCACTTACTTTAAACCAAACCAGTACCGAATTTCATAATATACTTAGGCACTTACAGTATGTAGTGTGCCTAAGAAACAACCTATTATACAGTTGTATTCGACTGCATGTAAGAATTTTTTGTATCGTCCAAATTCAAAATATTAAACAACAACATGTAGAGGTAAAAAATAAATATGACAGCAGTTAGCGTATGCCAAACGGTTAGTATTTTTAAACAACAATATTTGTTTGAAATGTTTAATAATCCATTTGTGTTTATATACATTTTTGTTTAAAAACATAAGAGGTCATCAGAGTATAATTTTTTATTCTATGAAAACATCACTAGTTGATGTAAAAGAAGTCTATAGACGACACGAATGCGTTTTCTATACGTGCTAAAGAAACACGAAAATTCTTAAAAAAAAATTAATTAATGACTTTATAAAAAGTTTAAAATATTTGTAGCGGATTTAAGTTGTTTAGCGTTTATTTTAATAGGAACTCCGGTACAAATATCAGACGCGCGTTTAAGTGTTTTTATTACTAATTAATTAAAAATAATTTCCCAGATATGTTCGAGATCAAACTCTAATGTTAATATTTATATAGTTTTACTGTTGTAAGACATTTTTTTTGTAATATAAATATATTTTTGAAATCAAATGGTAACTTCCACATTTGAACTACCGATAAAAAGCAGAATGATGTAATGACAATAATGACTTAGTAATAATCCGTTTTGAATATATTATAGTTAAATGTATATACGGGAATAATTGTAGAGTATGACATTATTTTATCTAAATATTTGAACAAAAATAATTGTTTTACATTTTTTTAAATACATCAGGTGTTGCTAGGTTAAAATTTTGCTTGCTATGTTTTAATCTAAATTTTCTGACTTTTGACATGGTCAAAATTCAAAATACATATTAATAAACGATAACCCAAATATTTTAGCCCGTTGTTTCACATTTAATCAATAATTGTAATTTACAAAAATATATTACTGTAAGAATCATTAAAAATTGCAATTTATTACATAGAAATAATTAATTAAAATATAAAAATAATTACGCCACGGTCGATATCTTGTAAGTGTTATAAAGAATGTGTTTTTCAAAATAATTGAAATCCATGTATTTTTCGGTACGCGCCGTACTTAGAAGTAGCAACACATATGTAATTGTACAAAAACAACAAGGCACTACACCAGCGTAGAGGTTCCCATTCGAATAAAACACATTTCTTATGGCCGCGTGTCTTTGATTCTGGTTTCAGTGTAATCGCAGTGGACCTGAAAGGTTTTGGGGATTCCGACAAACCGTCGTCGCGGAAGGGCTACAGAGTGGACAATCTGGTCAACGAGATGGTCATGTTCCTGTCTACAATTGGAGTGGAAGCCACGCGAAAATGCCACGTGGTCGGTCACGACTTGGGAGCACTTTTGGGCTGGTACTTAGTGCACTTGAGGCCAGAGTTTGTTTCCAAGTTCGTAGCCATTTCGTGTCCGCATCCAAACGTTTACTGGGAATACCTGCCGACGTCTAGCTTCTTCAATAAAAAGCAAGTCGTGGCACAATGTGTTCGAGTTTAATATTCTATGGAACCTAACCTAACCTAACCTAACCTAACCTAACCTAACCTAACCTAACCTAACCTAACCTAACCTACCACCGGGGCTGCGACCGAAACGAGTTACTAATTTTGAGGACCCCCCTCCCCCCCCCATTGACTCCTGAATGAGTCCTTACTACTCGCGTACTGTCGTTTAACAATATAAACCGTCCTCGCTTCTTTATGCGTACGTCCGTTTGTCAAATCCATAACGGATAAACCCAATAACGTAAGCACCAACTACCGAGTGCCTTTGTGTTATGTGTATAATGTGTAGCTATTTATTATTCACCCATATTCAATTGTGTCAAACAAGAGTAACATCTTTGACAGAACACGTAATCAAGTCCCAAGACAACGGCTTACCGTTTTGTGGTGTTCATATTGTACGCTTGAATAATTGTCTTAAATTGATCTCAGTTCGATTTTTTTATTTGCCGAATTAAGAATTGCACAGGCTAGAAAATAATAATTATAGTTGGAACAAATAATGGCTAATATTGGGATAAGATAATGTTATAATAATGTAAATAATGTATAGATTGAGTAATTAAATAAATAGTTAGGCCTAGTAGATCTTTACTTAAAATACTATACATTGTGTTCCTATTTGAACTATACATTTTTTCCGTGTAGTCCCAGAACAAGTTTAGAATTTTTAGACTTTATTTTTAAACACAAAACAAAATTGAAATTATTTCTTAATTACATTAAAAGTTGTAAGCCACTTAGAAACAAAAATTAAGAACTTTCTCATTTTATTTTGTGTTAAAAAACACCCTATTATGTACAAAATCTAAATTAATTCTTAGACTAATTCTGAATTCAGTATAGAAAATATAATGATACAGTTAATTTGTGATGTCGATAATTTTTTTTTTTTTTTGAGCAAGGGAATAAGCCCTATCATTCTCATAATTGCGCCTACGATAAATAATTAAATTAATTGACAAAAACCAACGTGTTATTATTATACAACAATATTCTTACTTGAAAAATGTTTTGCATTTCAGTTGGATTTGCTTTAGTCAGCTACCGTATTTGCCGGAAATGGACGCTTTACAGAGTGATCTCAAGATAATAAATCAGTGTTATCAACATTTGATTAAAACCAAACAAAAAGACGACTTAGCTTACATCGACGCGTACAAATACACGTTTTCGAGAACTGGTAATAATATATTTTAAAGAGCCAATACGTGATTTGCAATGTCATTATACCGCGAAAAATGTTTTTTTTTTATATTTTCACTTTAGAAGACTGGACGGGTGCGATTAATTATTTTAGAAATTTACCATTTTATCGAATCGATTCTCGGATCAACGACACATCAACGACAATAAACAAGGACGACCAAGACGTGCTGCACGTACCGTGTCTGCTCATTACCGGCAACGACGATGACCACGTGCGAATGGAAAGCGTTATCAAATCCACAGAGTACCTTAAGACGTTTACCTTGAAGATTATCGAAAAGTCTACACATTTTCCACACCAGGAACAACCACTAGCGGTTAACGATATTTTAACTTCGTTTTTAGGTTAGTGTGACAATTCTAGAAATGTAGAACAAGCCACTGATTTTGTCTTGATAAATTACATTTTGTAGTTTTAGAGACACTTAAGTTTATGTTATTTTACAGTATTAGACAACTCATCAACTTGCTAAGTTAACATAGGGGAAAGGGTGGAGTGAAGTATTACTTTTATCTGCGCGCGTTACTGTATCTCCCGTCCTAAAATTTAAACTCTAATAACTTAAGAGGACGCCACACCGCCCATTTTTAAGGAGTAAAGGTTTTTTCAATTTTTCAAAAAATTTTAACTTAGAGTTTAAACTATAATGTATACTTATTAAAACAGTAATGAGGATAAATAGGATTCTGTAGGATAAATTACAATTTTTTTCCCATCAAAACAGTTTTACGCGGATTAATTGTTCTCAGGCTTCATGTATAGTTAAGGAAAGAAATTCATACATATTATATATGACAAAATTATCAGTGCTGCAGCATCCGTATTTTTTTCGATATACCTAATACAACCGACGCTATATCATTTTTAAAAAAGTCCTTAATTAATTAATTATTCAAATTGAAATAATAAAAAAAAAAGGGGCCATAGTAGAGCACAGACAATGTTGTTGTCTATATTATGTGAAAATTTGGTTATGAATCATAAAGTGTATACCATAAACACACGAATCGTACGATTTTTTTGCTTACTGTTTTAGTTCCTGTCAAACCAACCGAAGAACGACCACGGCGGCCAAACAATAGCAGTATGGTTGAACGATTTAGAGGCTTAGTGACGTCGACTGTTCAAATGGGATATTCTTTGAAAGACACGGTGCAAAAACGAAGAACGCTGTCAACCCTTCAATTAAAAACATTAGAGTTTAAATAAACGATTGTTTTTTATTTTAAAGTTATTTGTGTATAGGGTTCAATATGTTTGTTCCAGTTCGATTAACAGTTAAAAATGTAGAGTCGAAAACAAATTACTCGTATCTAATCTAGTTTTATTAATTGGTTTAACTAAAAATATGTTATTTTAAAAGAACACTATTTTATTGTTCGTATAAATGGCAATTACTTAAATAGGCTACATTAAAACGAGTTTATATTAAAAAAATATTATCTATGTTAATACATTTCAATAGACTGCTCAGAACCAATTTTGAGTCAATTATATTAATTGGTCTAACAAGATGTAAATTGTAAAGATTGCAGGATTGTTCAAAGTACAATTGTACCTAATATTTATAGTCATTTGTATTGTATATTTTTTTTTTTAAGATGATTTCTGTACATACCTACGTTCATTATTGTTGTTATTATTATTATTATTTAATTATTTGTTAGATTCCAACTATAGATATTGGACTTTTTAGTAATGTACGCCGAAGATGTGTTTTTCATTGATTTTACGATTTTGTATGTGATTGTTTAAATTATTTAAAGGTTCTAGTTATATTTTGATATAAACTTTTTATACATTCAAATTTTAATTCTTCTTATTCTCTGTCGGGATCCCAGTTATTTGGGAACGACCAAATAAATGTATCAAAATCAATGTACCTATCTTTGTATTATGCTTTTAAACTCATTATTTCATGTTCTCCTAATCAATATTCTCCTGACATTCTCGTCAAAATTTCTGTTAAAACTGGTTCTCCTGCTTTCTTATCAACTTTAAATTGCTGTCTTGTTCCTAGGTCCAGTTCCATATCTATCATTTACAAATTTCCTTGAAAATGTCTCTATTACATGTTTAATGCTGAGTGCTAACCTTTTTTTGTAATAGCCTTTGTTTTTTCCTTCTAATATAAACATGTTTCGCTAATACTACCTTACCTCATGTATCAGCATACGTATGTACATTATAATTATAATTTGGCCTTGTCCCGTAAATATAAAAATAATTATTGGTTTTTTTTAAAAAATCACTTAAAATGTTATCTATAAAATTGAGTTTACACGTGTGTTTGCGATGCTGTATGTGTGTAAGATAAACTTTGCTAAAATATTTATTGGTTTAAAAACCTTTATGTTTTCTATAATGTGTAATCACAAAAGCAAATAAAAAAAAAAAATTTGTGTAATCTAAAATGTTATTAAATATTCTATAAAAAAAAAAAAAAAAATCAGCAAATTTAAAAAAAAACCCAGAAAATAATTTAAAAAAAGGTTATGTATTGTTTGTATTTATTTAATAACTGAGGCAATGCTGTATAATATTTAAGTTAAAGTCTTTGGATAATATTTAAAATGAATTAACTACTTAATGGACAGATTTTCTTAAATCACTCGACTAAGTAGTAATGTTTCATACTGTATTACAACGTGTATACTTATCTTAGGAAGGTCATTTAAGAAGGTCGTTTAGGAAGATCATTGTAAAATTTACCATACAAATTGTAATCATTGCAATTAAAAAACTCAACGATTATAGAAAAAGCCACTAACTAAACTATGTTTTATAAAATATTGTGAATTGGATTGCACTGGCTAAACATAAATAATTGGGAGCTAGATTGAACTGACTGAGGCGAAGGTAAGTCAAAGGTGTGTTCATTCATGAAGAATAACACGTGTGTTTTGTTATAAATACACTTTAAATTGGCATCAAATAATCAACAGCTATTAAATGTTTTTATGAATTGATATATCTTTTAACGAACTTGCTTATACTGTACTATAATACATGTATATATTTGAATCTGTTCGTCGATTCCCTTTGTTGTGTTCCTTTTGTTGATATTTACACACTGGTATAGACGCTGTAACTACGGCGTAATGAAATGATTGCCTATTACATGCTATTACTACTTAGAAAATGGGGTACGACACGATTGCGTAATTTAAACTATTTAAAGAAATTACCGAATATCTACTTAAAAAAACTGCACGAGCATTCAACATAGGCGCAATTTCAATTTTTAACTCGGGGGGGGGGGGGGCTGGAAATTGTATTTGCGCCTATGGCGTTCAACAATATTGTTAAGATTGACTATTTAGAGTTCGAATTAACTTTGAAAGGATAACTCTATTTTTTAAATTTCTTAGCCTTTCACAAAATTTGTTTTCTAAGTTTGGAAGGTTGAAAGAGCGGGAAGGAATGATTGTTACGGGTTTAACCCGACATAGCTAGCCGGGTGGGATCGTTATTATCATTAATGAAAAAACCCGGCGGCCGAAGTCTTAGCGGGTAGTCCGTTTGGCTTATATGTGGCCGACCCGAGATGTTTTACTATAGTTTTAAACGGTACTCGACCTACGAACAACACAGCGGCTATACATACGTACAACCCTGCGTTAATCCTATAATAATGTCGGCGGACAGACCGTTAAATCTACCGTGTATAATGGTCGCTCGTGTAATGACTTCTGTTTTTCCGAAAGACATATATTATAAATGTACCACACAGTCATCCGAGCATCGCCGGCGACACGTCATTATTATTATTATTATTATATATTTTTAATATCATATAATATAACATATATATATATATATATTAAGTATATTAGTGCATGTTTAATCCGCGTGTCCGTCACAAACGCGCTGGATTGTATCGGATGACCCGCCGGAGTGCTGCCACGGTGTATCAATTAATGTGTCACGGAGATATCCTTAAAACGGATTTGTGTCACTCAGTAACCCTGATGCGATCAGAACTATGTGTTTGGGGGGGGGGGGGGGGGGAGGGAGGAAACCTCAGTAGAGGCCTAGACGACTTACACCGAGTTAACATGTGTGTAACACGTCACGACAACACGTGTATCAATTAACGTGGTAGACCTAAAAGCCCTCTCCACGCCCCTCCACCACGAAAAAAAAAAAAAAAAATTAACCGGTTTTCCTTTCTGTAGATCATTAATCGATATTATTTGGTTTTGTGAATGACGGAGGGTAGTCGAGGCGCTTAGAACCTAACCAGCGCTTAACCCACGAGTTTTCAAATTGTATTTATTTGTAATTTCAAAAATGGTGTAGTTTATACCTTAAGGCTTAAGAGCACAAGAGCCAAGGAAATACCAGCCGCGTGCTTCTGATCTTAAGACCATTTTTATATAGACTTCCGGATGTCTATAATTATTTTACAGTATAAAACTGTAAATAGTGGATAATTATTAGTTTATTAACAGCCGTAGCTGACGCGATGGAAATTCCATAGGGTCGACGACAAGGACAAGTGGCCGTAGTTATAGTAACACATCCTTGAGGCTTACCAAGCCGTTAAGATTCCAGTATATTCCGTAGGAGCGCGGTACATATACCGACAAATGTATAATAATTATTAGGATAGTTAACAATGCAAACGTTGGAAACAGACTCATGATAGTGAAATAAAAATTAACTGGCCAAAAAACTCCTCATTACTGTAATGATATAAGTATAAATTCATATTTTAGTTTTGAAATAAAATTCTGGCAAAAATAATTGCTTACACCAAACCCTTTTTTAGCTTACAAATGTCGGAAGACGAGTTTTAGGTATTTTACAAAAAATTATGTCTAATGTGGTAAAATACTAATAGTTATTATTGAGATTATTTTCAGGTTGTAGCTGTCAGTATGATGTTGACAAAATTTACTACCCAATATGTATTTATTTTTAAATTGGTGAACATTTAAAATAATTTCAACATCAAAAAAACATATTTACTTACGTAACGTAATAAAATTACACAACCCAATTATAATAGTTCGTTGAACTTGGAAAATATATTTCTTTGTAGTGACCTACAAAACAAAAATTACTGCTAATATGCTGTTATAGAAACCATACACTTACCTAATTGAATACACTGATGTGAAGTTTTTAAATTGAGCGTCTGGACTTCAATCGGTATAACGAACTATAATTAATAATAATTTTAATGTGTTTTTTTTTACAAGATAAAATTACCTATATCCTATATGTTGAATATTGCATAGTTACAATCTTAATATAATTGTTATAAATGTGACCCAGTGTTTTTGTATAAAACTATTTTAACTAGGTACTTACATCAAATGTATGTAATTATTATTGCAATATTTTGTTTTACATATAACACGAATTACAAGCGCATTGTAACTAAAAAATAAAATAATTTACGAGACAATAAATATGACTGACAAGTTTTTACATTTTGCCTATAACTCATGCTCTCTTTTAGATGTCGTCCAAAGAGATTTAGTGCGGTTCAGAAGGGGAGTCCATTTGTTAATAGCATGGCTTAATGGCTATTCTGTGGTTACTGTAGTTTGTACGAGTCAAACAGGCTTCTTTAAATTATTATGTTTTTTTTTTTTTACTGAGAAACACATTTCACTTAAGGAAGCACGATATTAATTTTGTGAATATCGTAAAAGCGATCATTTATCTTCAATGTACGTCTCTATGTTATACAAAAATATAATAAATATGAATAGGTTAAAAGGTTTGCGGTTTTTGTTTTAAAAAGTGAGAAAGACATTTCGTTTCTCATAAAAAATATATTCATATATATATATCGTTCTACCGCCTTTTTTGAATAGTATTATTCTTTTTTTAATTACTAATTAATGTATAACTCTTTAAATTTCAATATTTTACTGTAATCAAACCTAATCAATGTTCATTTATTGAATTTTCCGATCTTAAATTTTAAAGAACCATTTATAAATCAACATACAAAAAAATCCCATCTCTTGTCCGGAAAACTTATTTTTTGCATTATATAAAATATTTTATCTAATTTTTCACAAGTCTGAGGGAAGGGACAATGCGGCTATGGCGTTTTTGAAGGTGGAATTAAACAAAATCGGCACCGAACGCCTACAAACGGTTGCGACGGTTTAACGTATCGAATAATATATTATACTCTATGAACACTATCGGTATTGATTCGAATCCGACGGGGACACTGCCGGCCTATGTTATGGCGAAACGGATTGACTTCTTTGGCATTATTATTATTATTTTTTTTTTTTTGCGAGTCTCGTTTGTCTATATAGGTTTGTCTACACAACGTGCGGCTCGATGTGGGGCGGGTGGGTTCGGATACTTAAATGTGACCAATAAGAGCAGCCGGATGTCGGATCCCGAGCGAATAATAACGCGTGGCTCGATACGCTCACACAATATAGTATAGTTAAGTTAATAACCGAAAGCGAACACAAAACGAGACCGTTGCGGGAATATTAACTGCAATGTCAAAAGGGGGAGACCGCGCTGGATGTATGGAGGACGTGCCTTATACTATAATAACGACAACGGGCGACGTACAAAAGCCCCATGTGGTTCAATCAAATTTCATTTATGCCCCGACCGTCCCCCCTATCGATTGTGTCTTTGCCGCCGACTTTGTCCTGCACTTTCGGCCATTGTGCGCCATTATACAGCGTTATTATTACAAGTATTACTGTAGTATATAAATGTATTATAATAATATTATGTAGATGTGTACGGCAAGAGAAAAAAAAAAAAATAAACGTGGAGTGCACGGAGAAGAGCGAAATCGAAGTGCGAGGACAAAATAATAATAATACATTATTTGTACGTTGTACAGTGTGTAACTATTGTCGCGACGGGCGTTGTTAAAAAAAAAAAAAAAAATAGTAAGCAAAAAAATCAGTCTACCTACACTCGATAAGTGTTGAATATTATAGGAGTTAATATGAATAGTTATTATTGTTCGTCTAGAACCTAATCCCTTTGTGTATACGACGAAAATAATGTTTAACGA